ACCTCATATGCGTGTTACCATTACTATAAAATATGTTTGGCGCCGAGAATACCTATAATTTTCTATCAGCGTGAAAATAAGGTCGTATCCTTTCATCCAAGGTATCCTCGAAGTAAAGGACATCGCGGTGGCTTGAATTCAGCCCGATAGAATTCGAATGCATCGATCGTAATTTTATTCGGCGAAACCGAGTAACATCGTAATATCACAAGGAGGATAATAATTTGTTACAAAGAGTCGCGATAAATCGCGTTATTATTGATATGTGTACGCGACTGCGTATCTGTACGCACGATGACTTTGGAATGTTCGAATATTTTATCGCGCTTTTACGTTTCCAATGTATCGCGTTACATATCAGTAGCAAGTAGCAGTTATGAGTGTATTGGTGTCATTGACTTCGGATATTGTTAACGTCACACACGGAGAGAGAGAGAGAGAGAGAGAGCAGTCGAGATAGATAATAGTGGTGTGCTTTAAAGTCCGCTCATTAGTCCTTCGCATTATTTTCTTACTCTAGCGTATTATTGTGCAGTAATTCTCTTCCTCTTCCTTCCGTCGATTCGTCTGATTTGCGTATCGCGTTACTGATCTCGCATTAGCGCCGCGACGGTTTCTTCCAGTTCACAAATACGTGCACACACACACACACACACACACACTGACACAGAGACAGGTGCGAATCCGGGAATCCGTCGTGACGTTTCAGTTTTAGCGGCTGATTCCCGGAGACACGGGAATCCCAATACCAAGACTGTCGAGACCGCGATAATTCTCAAATGAGGAGCATTCGAAGCTGGCCGATTAGCTTGTTAAATTTGTTCGTCGCACGAAGAAGACGAACGAGCGGTTCGTCGGCGAGATTTACGGGGAAAAAGTAACTTCGAAGCGAGGCGACGCGCACTGCGCTCACGATGTCTCGGAAACTCATTTAAGAATCATTACGACCGTGACATTTTGGTATTTGGACTTTCGTCCCGCGTCTACGAATATGACGGCCGAAAAGGTGACGCGCTAATAGCTTACAACGACGTGAGAAATATCGCTTTTGTTACTTTCCCGGAGTCGAAGATTACGAAGTGGCAAGAACTGTTGCAAGAGTAAACTTAGATCTGGGTCATCGGCAGTGTTTCACGAGTCATAACAAATTCTTGCTGTATCTTCTTCGTGAGTTGTACAGCCGCGGCTCGCTGGATTTTCGTCGTTCACGCCGACGGCCGAGATCGATACGAGAGGAAATATTGTTCCCCCTCTTTTCTTTCTCTCGCGGAAAAGCAAAATTCACGGAAAGTTCGGGACCGATGAGACGGTGACTGCGCGTCGAACGACTCGATTCGCGATTGAACTCGCGCGAATTTTACACGAGCAGATCTCTGATTTATCGCGGTTAACCAATCAACGTGTCCGAAAGGTGAAACGCCAATTTAACGGTTCGCTCTACGCAAACATGATTCGCGCCACGGCGTGCGCGATACACGTGCAAAATCACGGGCCCTCGCTCGTTGACGGCGAACTCGAAGCGCGAAACGTGCAAAATTGGAATAATTATTGCTCTTGTCGCGTTTCTCTTCGAGATTCCTTTCTCTCTGTCTCTCGTATCCAATTCTCGTACGGCAATCAGCGCCGGGTTAAAAAAGGACAAACTCAGCGATAAGAGCGGGGGCATCCGGGACCCACTAAGGGGGGTCAAAGGTTTCTCTACCGAAGAAATGAATACAGCATATACTTTCTATGAATGGGCCGTGTCGAACATAATTATACGCTAACCCACGCGCTGATGCTTCTTGAAACAATAATACTTATTAGCGCGACGGTATTTCGAGACAAATATGTCCGCATACAATACATCGAGACATGTTGTGCCTTAATACATAAAAGAAAAAAGTGCTAGATTCAAATAAATAATTACTCCAATATTTCTTAGCAAATTTTTACTTGGATCACAAATAAATACTGTTCGATCCAAATAAAAATTTGCTGAGGAATATTGGAGTAATTGTTTACTTGAATCTAGCACTTTTTTTCTCGGGGTAGAAATTGAATCTCCTGGCTACCTAACCATGAGCTAGTAAATTTCTGTCTAACGTTGCTATTGACCAATAATGTGACACTCACACTTCTCTAGATAATGGCTAGATAAATAAGTTAGCTGAAGGTAAAACGGAAGAATTAACAGTTACAAGATGATAAATCATAACTAGTACTATCAGGCAGTAGTAATGTAACGCTCACATCAGTCTTTTCAAGATTTTTCTGGAATAACGTACCCTCAATTTGACTTTCTATTGCACTTTTTAATGCGGCGGCTATACAGTAGCTAAATTATGTATATATAACATATTTCTTTTGTATTTTCATCCAAACATTACAATGGTTGTCATAGGCGATAAATTATTTGGAAAAAGTAACACTACGTTAGAAAAATATTAAAGAATTTCTTTGTTTCTCAGTGGTACAAAATATTTCATATATAATTAAGTAAATTCTTTTAATTGGAAACCAAATATTATTTCCTCTAAATAATACTGTTTTTTTCTATCAAACAATATGGTTTACTCTAGTAAAACAATAACATTTTCATTCAAACAAAATGATATTTGATATTAAATTGTGTTATTTATTTTACAACAAACCCAAGTCAAACAAGCACATATACTAAATCCAAAGAAACCTTTTTCTCTAAATAGGAGGAGAAAAATTCCTGTAGGAAGTTTTCTTCAGTCAATTGTTCTCAGTTGTTGTTTCAATCAAGTTTGAATGTTCGCACGAGTGTTCTCAGTCACAAAGCACATCAGTGACAAAGATACACATCACTTCTTGCCGCCGAGTTTTCATCTGATCCCTACTCTGTTGCAAGAACCGAGTTCTTTTTTTCATGTAGCTATTGACTCAAGCCGACTAGATACATTTCGGGTCACGCACACACACATACACAATTAAGCGCAGACTAACCAAAAGAAGACCCGATCGCTCGTGTTCGCGAAGCGAAGCGATTTCGCCGCCGAATGATCCGCTCTTCATCGTTAGGCATCGTATCGCTTTCTCGTTAAGGCCTAACCCCGGAGTCGATATAGCTCCTTTTCTAATGCGTATCCCATTTGACGCACTTGCGCCGCGCTATTCACGCCATCATTATACGAACCGCGATAGTTATGTACCTGAAGATAAGATTTCGCGCGCGTTCATGCTCGTCGCGCGGCGCTCCGACCATTGGCTCGGCTATATTAAGCATCTAACGATCGCGCGGCTAATTAACCCGGGGGAGAGAAAACGTAAGCGCAGTAAATTAAATAACGTACGTATTTACGATTAGATTCAGTCGTGTGTGCGCGGGCGCACGCGCGCGATTCGCACGTGCTCGATCGAGGGAAAAATTTCTCCCTCGCGCCGGACGATTGATGACCGCGCGATCTCGTTATAATAAAATATCATTATATCCCGATGTAATACCAATCACCATATCCGCCGATATCAATGTAAAAACGATAAACGCGGCTCGTTATAAACTTTGTATGCACCCATGTTCACTTTGCGATATAATAACGTTATTATGCTCATGGCCCAGTAAAGAACCCGACTGGCGTCTGTGAAAGCATTTCCCGTGCCCTATCTGTCCCTAACATTCCAACCCTAACTAATTATCCAAGGTAATATATTCCCGCCTCTATTTCGCGGCTTCTTTGACGGTTGCCTAGTTTTGGGGTTACAAACTCGCGTTGCAGTCCCGATTGTACCAGCCTGAAGCGAAGACACGAGAGGGAAACACAATCGGTGTCCTTTTTCATCTTCTTCAAATATGTTTCCGAAATATACGTTCTCAATATATATTTTTGAAATACATTCCCGAAATACCCGACCTTCCATTCGTTGAAATAATAAGGGATTATTGTAACGTAAGCTGCGAGAAACTCGAGCGATTAAATTTAAGTAACAAATCAATCGACTGTGATCACAGTGATAAAATTATCAACAAAATTATCGACAATGTAAATCGAGATCTATCGAGCCTGCGATTTCGAAATTCTCAACTGTGATCGGCGATCCGCGGCTGCTGCCGAAGTTTGCACGTACGACTTTTTGCATATAATATTCGCTGACTTCATTCTAACTTCACACGGAGAAATATTTTTTGCCGACACAGCAAATTATTAATATAGTGACAGCAGAGAGATTTGTTGCGCGGAAAAAATTATTTTGCTGTTGTGGCAAAACATCGTTGCGACAACAGTGAAATTTAATTGGCATAATCAAATTATTTTGCTGTCTATATATCTGGCAAACAGCGATTAATACTCCGAACAAATCTTTCTGCTGTCTAAACAATTTTTTGCTATTACTATATTAAAAAGCAATGTACTTTTCTAGCAAAATTCATTTCCTTTGTACAATTGCGGGAAAATTGCAACACTTTCACCTCAATAAACTTCAGAACGCGTTTGTTATCCAAAAGAAAACTATCTTCTAAAAGTTACTAAAAAAAAAAACAACTTCTATATGGAAAAAAATTAGTCTTAAATCAAGAAAAGATATTCTCATATATAAGCAAGAATATCATAATCTTCTGAGGGGATTTTTAGTCTTGATTTGATTGAATTTATATTGATGCGTCACTTGAACTCAATTCAAGACGAAAAATCTTCTAAGAAGATTATCATACTTTTGCTTATATACGAGGATGTATTCTATTTTCGATGTTATTAATTTTTTCCGTATATTAGACACATAAATGCGTGCCACCTAATCGTGAGAATAAAGATCTTTTCGCGTGTAGTATTTAGGCGTACAACGTTCACTGAAAAACTCAATAAAAATGCATTCTAAATCACAAGCGGGCGAATTTCGTCGAATTGCGCTCGATGACACAATTGGCTAATCGGCTCTGACGCTTTTTAACACGGTAAATACAGGTGTACGATGGACATACGACGATTGTCGTGCTACGATTGCACAGACCGCACACGTCGTTAATTCGCGTCGGAAACGATGAGGTTTGTGCTCACCTAATATGATCGAATCCATCGGGAAGATGCGCAGCCCGCCAGCCGTCGGCTACATAAGATGCGTGAGCCCCGCGACCGCACGTGGTTTTCTAAATTCACTCGAGGCTACTAGTTTCGTCGGTCGGTTCGGCTGTTACGCTTCCCCGAGCGCGCTTTTAATCTCCCGTGTGCGTTGCGCAATGGCCGAATCATCAGCAACAGATGATCCGATATCGAGGAACGAGCGGTGCGAAGAAATGCATATGAAAGACTGGGCGCGGAAAACGGGAGATCGCGGAGATCTAGAGGCGACCACGACCGTCGGACGCGCGTTGCGTTAACGAGGAGGCGGCTGCGATTGATCTCGATACAAATAACGTCATTGTAATCCCTATGCGATCCGCGGCTACCTCCGAGGGCGAGAAGCGGGTTGACGAGCACAGACTTGTTGCGACGTTACGCTCGGCTTCTCCGAAACAATAGGGCGATCGGGATGCGCGCGCACTCGGTCGCGATTCGAGTCGAAAGAAGGAAGGAAGGAAAGACCGGGAGATCGCGTTCCGTCGGTCCGTCGCGCGGATTTGCGGAGGAGTCGGCGGCGGCTGCAAATGTGAGAGGAAAATGCGGCGAAGGCGATAATGGAAGAAAACACGGGCTTCGTTCGCGACAATGCGTAGCAACAAATCGAGGCGGCTCGGTAAAAAAGACACACGCACTGTGCACAACGTCGCGCGCGCGCGCGCGCTCTTAGTCGGCGGGAATCGCGGGCTCTCGGCCGCGAGAGCAGACGAAAAAAGAAGCACGGACACGGTCAATGGTGCGCAGCTCGCCCTTCGCTGCCTCACTGACTGGAGCGACAGATTTACCAGAGCAGAAATAAGAAATCCCTCTACGGCTCTTAGAGAGGCCACACATCCCCCGCCTGCACGTCCGAACGTTGTAGCGTTCTATACATATGCACGCGCACGCATGTAGTTAGAGGAGAGCGCGACTACGGGCGCGTTCAAATGAATCGGCCGAACGCTCACGGAGACGCGGAGAGAGCTTTTCTCTCTCTCTCTCTCTCTCTCTCTCGTCCACCCACTCGCAGTGACATATCTACACTTTGGCATTTGAAATAGCAGAAAAAGAGGGAAAGAGAGAGAGAGACAGAGAGCGGATTCCAGGGAAAAAGAGTGAGGGGGGAAGAGTAGAGTCCACGAAGGCCACAAGTGGTTGAATAGCCGATTGGTGGACGATCGTGCGAAATGCGGTCTTAGATGCGCGCACCCTCGCGCCTTCGTGTGTGTGTGTGGCGCGCGCTCGCGTGCACAAACGTTGCTGCGCACGCTCGACCGAGCGCAACCAAGCGATTACGGTGAAGCCGCGCGCGCCCGAGGAAGGAGAAGCCTGGCCACGCTAAGAGGCGGAGTCACATTCGTATGGGCCATTGGCGACAGCAGTGCACCGTGAGCAACCATGGTTTACGCCTCTTCACTGTGCCTTACCTGATATCTCTGCCCGGCACTCTGCTTGGCGCTAAATACTTGGCTCGTGAAACCGACGCGTGATAGCACGCGCGCGTGCACAAACTGTTGGCGCTCGCTCACTCACTCCTTCGGTCTCTCTTTCTTTCTCCGGCTCTCGATCTCGGGTTCTCCCGATCTTTCTCTCCTTTTCCACGACATTAAATGAGACACGCGATAATAAAAGTAACGCGACAGAGGGTAGCGTAACGTAAGATGTATTCGCGAGCGTAAATGCTGTATCAACAGTGAGGAGCGTTGAAGCGCTTTCTGACTATTCGTTCGGTTGAATTAATTGCCGTCCCGCGAGACGCTTCACGACGCGTCGAAGGTGATTCCAGCGAAGCGAAGTGAACTACAGTCGGTGACAGAAGGACCGCGACGATCTCACCTCGACAAATTTCGCATCCGGTGTCCAGTAGAATTTGTTTTCTGAAAGTTACTAGATACAAAAAAAATTTTGCCTTACGAACGATCTACCTGAACTTATGTGCCACTTTGGCACGGGGGATATGTTAAAAAGTTCACAAATATGTTGAGTTAACGTATTCGCCTGGTTCAAGTAATACAAAGTGAACCGTTGAGTGAACCGTTTGTAATGGCAAATTTTTTACTGCGTAAAAAATAAATTCTTTATAATAACAAAGTTTGCGTTAAAAACGGCCCACTGAAATTTTGTGTTACTTTAACAAGGTATGTTAAAAAATAATATGTTAAAAGATGAATTTAATATTATATTTGTGTGCATTTTAATACATCCCATATGTTAAAGTAACACAAAATTTCAGTGGACCGTTTTTAACACAAAGTTTTTTACTGTGTTCTATTGGGACACATTCCGAATTGCGCGAAGCTCATTGAAAATAAAGCGCTGCACCTGTCTGCCGCCGAATCACTTAGATGGCTCTTCTTTAAGCGAAGGTGGAAAGAACCGATAGGGTAGAAATAATATTTAATTTGCTCATAATCTGCAACTTACAAACTCTTTCGAAGCCGATGAATTTCAAGTGTCGTTCGTGAATTAAGACGAGATAAGAAATCTTTGCGTCCAATGATTTCTGACTACGCTTAAAGATCAACCAAGTAGCTTCGCCAATTTTTTAAACAGTTTAGAAACTTATGTACAATTACACACAGTAAAAATATTTTATATTTGTGTTAAAATCGATCCGTTGACATTTTTCACACAGCTGTATATTAATTTAACATATCGTATTTATGTTATCTCGACATTTTGTTCGTATAAGTACTGAAATAACACATTTTATACTTCAATGTCGATTAACGTATTAATTCTGTATTAATTTTTGATGCAATATCTGCGTTAAACTTTTCAACATATTCACTATTCGTTATTTCTGTATTAAATTAACACAAAAATTCGAGTGTTTGGCGGCCATTTGAGACATGTGAAATGTACTAAATTTAGCACAAAATCTTTTGCCGCGCACGCTGTATCGTCTCATACACGGCGATTACGATTACGTCGCACGTTGCACGCAGTTTATCCTCGATACACGGCGAATTTCTTTGTTTTAAACATTTCTTTGTGAAGAGTTTGTACGGTGCGACGGCCCGCTCCTTTGAAATACGAATATTCTCTTTTTGCTCTTTAACGGCGGCGACAGCGACGGTGAGCGGCGGCGAGCAGCGGTATAAGATGCTCCGCCCCTACACTCTATTATACTAGTTGAAGGAACGAGACGAGGAGAACTCTTGGGGAATGGGGGGGACTTGTTACTTCTTTGGAAATCGTTCAGTGTCAACTTTCTACGTTCTCATTAAAAACGTGCCATTAGCAGAACCTGGAGAGAAGGGCCCACCTTATTCGTTACTTCTACAAATTTTTCTTCTCACTCGATAAATCCCGCCGATATATTGCGGCCTGTTTAATCACGTGATAATAAATTAAACAGCGCTAAAGCGAAAATTATGGTCTTAAGGTATGATGAAACCCCGACGATAAAATAACTTCAATTATGATAGAATGGAATTTAGAGAATGTGTCCTTTTTGAAATCTTGCTGAAATTTGTCCCCTCCGCGAAAATAACCAAGCATTATTATCTCCACTTTCGTTGCTTGAGGAATTACTTCCGTTAACAAAAGTAAATGATCAAGTAAAACACTTCGCGCGACGTTTACGGCACGCGACAGTCGGTTTAGAAGCAACGGAGCGAAAACGGAACGGAATAAACACGCGAGATAAAGCGTTGTGCTTTCGTTAGACAATTTACACCTTTAAACGAATTTTGCATCGATTCAGTGTGTTGTGACATATTCGCCACATTTATCTCCATAATAATGCTGAAACGTAGGAGGGAATAGGCGCAGCAAAGGGGCGTTCCGCTATGCAATCTCAAAATATAACTAATGCATTTCTGGCTACCGCGTCGGCTGCTCTAACCCTTACTACTCTCTTCTCTCCCTCCCTTTCGCCCTCCTTCCCTACCGATTCCCCTCCCTCATCACCACTGGCGGCTCTTGTATGCTAAAGCCGGATCTTCCTTTGGCCAAGCGAAAGAAAAGGAAATAGATTAAAAGTAACCGCGACTGCGCCAACATTGGGGGCCGTATAAAGCCGTGAAGCTTGTGCGACACGACTTATCCGATGATGGTTGAAAATCCTCAGAGCGGTCTGTTTTCTTTTCTAGTCTCATCCTTTGAGATCCTGTTTGATAAATCCAGATTTGGCCCATATGCTAGGAATATGATGTCTAGATGCAGCTTTTTGTTCGTTAATTATCACTTAGGAAATAGCATACAAATATCAGCTGTGAGACAAACGATGGCTGTATAGTAATAAAAATATTTTAGAAATAGTCTTGAAAAGTTTTGAAAAATATCTTGGATCTTTACATCAAGTGGATTCCACATTCGGTAATAAGCACCCACCAAACGCCAAGTAACAGTAATATTACACTAATATTATAATTTTCAATTCAATAATATAACACGTGCAGTACACAACAGTTACATTGCTGAGTGAGAGATTATAATATTGGTGTAATGTTACCTAGTGTTTGCTGAACAATATCATTTGTTAATATAATAATTTGTTAATATAATAAAATATAAATCTATATAAATTATATATAATGGTATCCATGTTAAATTTATCATTCTTATATTTATTCATATATTTTCTCAACTTAATTAATAACCTCTATCTCAATTAATAACATTTATCTTACCTTGAAACATTAACAAATACCCAAACAGCACACGATATCCCATGGACGCTTTGTGGAAATTTCTTTAGGACATCGAGACGTCCTCAGGAAAGTTCTTAGGAAATTTATGTTGCCTAAGTAATTTCTATTATTAAATAGGGCCCATCATAACCAGTCATGTTTTCAATTAAATAAATTTATTTAATTCCATAATATATAGATGTATATAGAATATGTTAAATATAAATCTTTGTTGCATATTTTTATGCCGTCTGTTTTAATTATTTAAGAATTAAATAAGCAATTAATAAATGACACTGTCAAATTTGATAATTACTACATGTAATGTTTGTAGGCTCACCTGCGTGCTCTCTGCATGCGATATTCGAAGCTGCGATTAAAATTTCCTCTTGAGTTTTATGCAAACAATTACGGTATTAAGTAAGTACGTATCGTGTATAATGTTACAATAGATTCTAACGAGCATGTTGCTTTGCGCGTCTCCATTTTGAATTTCGTATCTCGTTAACACGATAGATATCGCATGAAGTTTGTTCGTTTAATAGCAATCAGAGAATTTGTTTTCTTTAACTAAAAATTTCTCTAGCCGAAGTCCCTAAGTCCCCAGTCTACAATAGGTGTTTTAAGCTTTAGGTCTTAAGAAATTTACCAATCACATTCGAATATGAAGAGAATAATCAATTGTGATTGCTCAATTTCTTAGGGCTTAAAACGCCTGTTGTAGATCGGGACTAAAAAGTATCCTCCTATTGGATGTTGAATATGTCGCATATTGAGTTCAATGTGAATCCTCCAGAAAAGGCGTTAGAAATCAGATTTGTGATTATTTTTATGATTGAAGGTTAATTTAAATTCTTGACAGGTCAAGAAGAATATATCAATCATAGGTAATCGTAAAGCTTTAGCTTCTTCTGAACACTACCAACGCTTTTTACTGTTGTTAGGTTAGATCAGTTTTCTGTCCGTGTTCAGCAGAACGTTTATTTTATCACTGTTGGAAATTTCTTGTCCTGACATTGGATTATTCCTGTAGATCTAAAAGAATAATCCAATCTCAGCTCAGAAAATTTTCAATGGTTTCAATTAAACGTTCTGCTGAACGTGGCCGTTATGGTAGTGAAAGATTACTGCGCATCGCGGTGTGTTTTGAAAATAATATGGCTGTTGAATGAGGAGCTATCGTGAATTTTCTAATTGGATAAATTTTAATTCAACTAGAAATGACTGTCGAGGGTGCAATTAACAATGAACAAGTGATTTTCGTAACGGGAGGTTATGATCATACAATCAAAATATGGCAACCACATACAGGCGTTTGTCAGCGTACAGCACAACACGCGGATTCTGTATCCTCTTATGATTATGCGAAGAAATCTTGGCTATATTATTCTTTTATGCAATATCTTATTATATTTGTACATTATATATTACTTTTGTTCAACGTTTTATTTAATAAGTATTGCAATTTTGCATAAATAGTACATTAAGTAAACTATTGTTAATAATGGAAGAATTAGTGTAATTTGCATATCTATTTAATGAAGATTGCATATTTTAACAGTTAGCTTATTGTGTAGAATTTCCCTACTATAGTGTTTCCATAAGTTTCCTTAATGAACTTTACAGCAAGTTAATGCGTTAGATATCACTCCTGACAAGTATGTTGTCGCTGCTGCTGGATATCAGCATATACGGATGTATGACTTAGCATCAAACAACCCCAATCCAGTTATAAATTATGATGGAGTGTCAAAGAATATTACCGGCTTAGGCTTTCAGGTTTAATGTCAATATTTTGTGTCATATGTAGAATGCTTGTGTATGATTATACATGTGTTATTAAGTTAGAGAATTGTATAAGCTGCAGTATACAATGTAAATATGTTAACGTTAATAAACGTTATTTGCAAATAGGAAGAAGGAAAATGGATGTTCACTGGAGGAGAAGACTGTTCAGCAAGGATATGGGACATGAGGCAAGTTATTTGTATGGATAAGAAATAATTTGTAGAAGTTGTTTCTTGACTTAGAATCGTTATTTAATGATATAACAGGTCCAGTAATTTTCAATGCCAAAGAATATTTCAAGTTACTGCACCTGTAAACTGTGTATGCCTACATCCGAATCAGGCGGAACTGATTGTTGGCGACCAGAGTGGAGTCATACATTTATGGGACTTGCGTTCAGATCACAATGAACAATTAGTATGTAGTTGGTGTTTTATATTGGGAATTTTTCACATTCTTTAGCATAATCCACGGGAGTAAAATTTCAACGGTGATTTTTTCCCGTTTTCAGAAACTTGTATTTGATAATATAACATAGTACAGCTTCACATAAGTATACAAACAAAAGAATGCAGATGCAAAAATGTTTAGAGAAATCATAGTATTACAATAATTTTAGCAATTCGATATTTGAACCATCTTTGTACGTGTTACTATTTATAGATTCCCGAGGCTGAATCTTCAATTCAGGATATCGCGGTAGATCAGGATGGTACTTATATGGCAGCTGTAAATAATAAAGGACATTGTTACATCTGGACACTTACAGGGGGCACCGGGGAGGAGCCCACGAAACTGAATCCTCGTCACAAACTTTTGGCTCATAAGCGTTATGCTCTTCGTTGCAAATTTAGTCCTGATTCTACGTAAGCATCTCTGTTGTAGAGCTATGGACAATTGCTTCCCTATCCACCTTCCTGGTATTTTAGAATGATATATTACAAACTTGATATTATAAACTATCCTTTTTATGAGTTCTGTTGAACATTTTCCACGCTTAAATTGATCCATTAAGATTGTTGGTGACGACGTCGGCCGATCAAACTGCCAGAGTGTGGAGAACGACGGATTTCTCCGAAGTGCAAGTTCTTCAACACGAGGCGAAACGCTGGGTTTGGGACGCAGCATTCAGTGCAGATTCTCAATATATATTTACTGGTGAGCACAGCATCTTCCCATTAACTTTTGCTAAATTCTATCAGAATTTTCCATTTTTCAAGAATCGTAGAAAGAATCAAGAGACTATACAAAGCAATTGATGTTTTATAATATTTCTTGTATATTTGATTTTACTTTGTGTTGGTCGCATTTCACGCAGCTTCCTCAGACGGAGTCGCGAGGTTGTGGAACGCATCTACAGGAACAATAGAACGAGAATATCAAGGACACCAAAAAGCTGTCACGGCTCTTGCTTTCCGCGACGAAATCGTTTCCGCAAGTTAAACATAAAAAGCAAATATATATATATATATGAGATAGATAAGACGTGTATAGACGTTTCTTAATTTTTACAAATTACCAAAAATTGAGAATTGTGCGCTTACGATTTCGATGCGAGCAAGAGAAATTAGAGTCAGGTACGCGTATATAAATGTATATTCGTTTCTTAATAATATCTTAAATATCATTTGCAAGTTAGTTTTGGAAAATCGAAAATTAATCACCTCGTAAGACTTTGTATCAAGGAAAGAAATTCAAAATACGCATTATAGAAATTTGACGGGAAATTCGCTCGACGGTGTAAAAAAAAAAAAATCGGTGTAATAATAATTTAATAATCTATTAATTAAAATATCATCAAAACACTTGCGGAATTTGTTTTGCTTCATATAGACACGCTACAGCCCTTCCCGTTTATTCCTCCTTAACCTTATTTGGTTTATTAAACTCGCAGTCTTAAAAGTAGGTTTACACTTATTAAAGCATATATCACAAAGCAGCATAAAACTACGTATGTACGATAGACTCTTAAATATGTACGTATGAATAAACAAATACCGGAAATAGCGTATCGTAAACTAAAACGAAGATGTCCGTAACAATTCGAAAGAATTTCACCCTGCTTAATCCTAGTACGCACGTCCCTTTCGCATATTCGATATGAGAAATTCTTAGATGCTGAGAATTGAACTAAGAACGCGTAAGTAGAAGTATGCCGCCGAGTCTAAAACAGCGCTATGCATACTAGCTAGATCAAGGGTGTATGTGTCTCTTCCCTTCTTTATTGACACTCTTATGACAATTCTTGCAAATTTCGCACTAAGATAATTTAATTGCTCTTACCTCTCGATGTCTCGCTAATTTAATCCTAGAATGCACAATTTGCAGCCGACGTTTCGCTTCGTCATACTTATTGTACTTTCATACAAACTATGCGAATACACAATACATAAGACGACATCTTACGCGCGAGAATAAGTACTTTTATATTTTATATATTACTTCATGGCATAATAAATATTACGAAGTGTCTCACACCGGATACGTTTCAAACTCAACTCGGCCTCGAAGATCTAGCGAGATGAAGTAGCGTGTTTTCTCGATCTCCATCTAACATATATCGCGCGGGGGACTCGAAATTAGAAAATAAATATAATTCAGATGGTTGCCGATCTTTACGTTATTATATTTGAATGGAAATGTACGGTTCTCTATTAGGGTACGAGATGATAAAAGAATATCAACACACTTGGTATCGGCACACATGCTCGTTTCGTATGAAACGTTCACTGCGTCTTTCATTTCCTTTGAGAGAAAGGCATCATTCGTGCGCGGGGAGAACAATACATATAAAATGTACAATTAGGGTAGTCGTCAGACCGATCTCTCCAGATTATTATGCATTCTAAGCTTAAAGTAGCGCGGGGAAAAAATCTAACAAATTCACCTCTCATTGCACGTATTCTTAAATGGGATCGCTCTATAATTGGAATATTTTTATGTTACTTTTGGCCTGCTGAGGGCACGAATACGAATGCAACGTCGCATCGGGATCGTCGCAGAGATGCGCTGGACCTCATAGATGAGGTAACTTGTCCACTTCGCCCATCTCTGTAAACGTTTCGTCGTCCAACGTATAGCTCAGCATAAACTTCAAGGACACGGGCTCCTAAAATTACAAATTAATGAGAAATGTAATTTTCGCCCAACGATAACGAATTAATCGGGCTGATTTGAACGAGATGTACGCGTTGGGCGGTTAAACTATTAATTTACCTTAAATTTTAAGATACGAAAAAATAATAATTACGTTACCTTGAGAGGATTTGCAATCAGCATGATTTGCGTGATCGCCGATGGTGGAAGGAACGGATTATGCGCCGGTAACTTTGTGCCGGAAGGTGCCTGCAGTCTGCACTTGCATTTCTGCGCACACGTTTCGAAGTTCGAGAAAATTATGATTGTTCAATTGTATGTAAATTCTCTCGGATCTTTAAGGATACTTTAAGATTCATCAGACGCTTAAATTTACGAACTTGAGGCTATCGAGTACACTCACTTTGGGCACGACTGCTTGGAATTGGTAATTACTAAGCGGCTTTGCGTTTTTGCTCATTGTAGTGATCACTACCACAGATACGTCCGGCCTAGGGCTGTCTTGGGCAAAATGAAGGACCACGGTTATGCTGTTTCTTTCCTCGATTACCGTCAGAGGTGGATTTGTACCTGTCGATTGCGATTGATTCTTTAAGTATAATGTACAAGAAATAAGACAAGGACTGATAAAACAATAGTTTGGTGTATCAATTAATTAAGGCGCTGTAGCAACCTGGTGTGATGTCCTCGAGATTAACATTGATATCAGTTAGTGGTTTGATTTCGGGCTCGGCATCCGTCGACGAACCATTGCGCGTCACCTCCTGATGCTGCTGCTGTGATATTCTCGCGTCCGGTGTTACCGCACTACTGTTCTTGTTACACGAATCGGCGATCACGTTGATTTTCGACGAGTTCGCGGACGCCGAAGTTTCCGAGTCACCGTTTGTTTCACACTTTCTCGCACGTCCCGACTGGTCCGTCGCGATACGTTGCGACGCACTGTTGTTAGAATCGCGGGACCAATTTTGTTTCCAAACCGAGTCAGTGGTTTTCGTCGTGTTGCTATTCAATTTCCTGCAAAACGATCATCCACAATACATGTGTAAATATGGTGTAGCTTTTGCGTGTAGACAACAAATTGTTAAGGCACAAACAAGTGACATAAAATATACTCACCCTTGCGACGTGCGCACACTCGACAAACTTTGTTTGAGCAAAGTCTCTCCCAACTCATTTAACTCCTCTAGTGCTTTCGCTTTACTGTCTATCTTATCTCCCTCGGTATTGGTAACTTCGTCTACATTCAAATATTGTCATTTCAGAAAGCAACGCATGACTAAAACATTCAATGACTAAGCGCAACGGACAAATAAGCAAAAAAGGAAAACTGTTTAAGCCATAAGAATAGTTTCAGCCTCGAAACCTTCTTCGTGAACTTAAGATTCTTGCGATCGAATCGTCCCGGTTACGGATCTATGCTCACTTTTCTTGTTTACGGGCGAGATACTGATCGGTTGCATGATGTTGTTCGGCATCAGGAGACTCGCATCCGACTTGACTGGTTTCTCCAGCACGCTAAATATGTCCCCCAGCACGTCCATGTCCGATCGATGGTCCGCCGAAGTCGCGCTCGGCGTGCTCAAGGTGTCCTCGCAGGGAACACTTTCCGTTGGGGACGATAGATCTAAGAGTGACGGCCCGTTGTTGAAAGTGTTCGCCTTAGAAGACTCCGTTGTGGACTGCCCGAGAACGATGACAGACGTGTACTTCTCGAAGACCTGGCTGAGCTCGTCGCTCGCGGCGAGCACGTCACCTGAGTAAGCAGAATCTCGGCTATTCAAATTCGCTCTTATCGCTTAATCAAATCTATCTAATGAAGTCGAATGTAACAGAGAGACGAATGTGTTACACGCGCGACTCGGTACAAAATGAAACATGATAAGGTACCGAGCATTTCAACGTTGCCTTGAGTCTCACTGGCGAGTCTCAAGAGCATAGGTTTCAGCCGCTCGCACGCCTGATGCAGCTCCTTCATCAACTCAAGATCCTCCGCGCTGGTCTCATTCTGATTGTACGAGTCCAACATCTCGGAGAGGAGCTTCACATTGTTGTGCACCGACTCTAATTCCATGTGTCTTCGCGAGCTTAACTGCAATCTCTCCTCGTCCTAAAAAAAAATATAACGTGTGCAATCTACATAGGATCCAAGGAAAAATGCAAGAATCAGAAATAGTTAGAGTAGGAAAATATTGGATCGAGATTTAAACACTTCAATGCCTCCATTGGAGCGTTTGAATTTTAATCCAAGGATCTCTCGCTTCAAATATTATCCTGCGACTTGGATATCTACCTCTTTTACCATAACCTTGATCAGTCGATTCGCGGTCTGCAGATCGTAAGGGTCCTTGCTGTGAAGCAACTTGCGCAAGTGCTTCGACATCTCTTCATTTTCGAATATATTGTTCCTTATCTTCGACGACTTTTGACTCTCCTCACTGTTAGCCATTATGAACGCAGCATCTTCCTGCAATTCGATGTTTTTTTTGTCTTTCTTTCTCAATACTTCACATACGCGCACAAGAAGATGCGGTAACTATATTTGAAGATTGAACAAGACAATGACGATAATTAGAAATGTAAACTATAAGTAGGCAAAACCAACCAACCTCAATGACCCCTTGTTTCTTAAGCATCTCATAAGCTTCTTTAATTTTTAATTCACGAGGATATTCCTTGATCCATCCATAAAGAAGTTGCAGGACCTTCTGCCGCACACTGGCTGTGGTACGATCGCCCAAGTATTTCGGCGAGACAAGTTTTATCATCTCGTTTAGAAAACGGAATTTACCGACTTCAGCGTGAAATAATGGACCGCATCTTTTCATACAAGTATCTAATAGCTGAAAATAAATATATATATATATATATATATATATATATATATATATAACATACAAATACAGGTTGAAACTTTTTTTAATATCATACAAGCTATGGTATATGGTATATCTTGAAAATGTATATCATTTTAAATTGGATCTATATGCCTTTTTTCATTTTCAAGATCTATATATACTTTAAAGTTTAGATCAATACTGTCACAATGTTTTAGTAGTATCTAGATATCAACATATACAAGAAAATCCATTAATAGCTAATATAGATAACCACTATTTTCTCAAGGATATAAAGTAGTATTACATAATAACAATAGTACTGTGTAAAATATCTGATAATAACATACTGAAAGAGCTTGCAAGGCTTCCGATTCATTGAGCGACTGAATATGCGTCGCCAATAACTTGGTACCTATTTGAATACCCTCAGCTTCTTTGGTAAGCAACACGCAGAACGCCTCGATGGCTGCTACATCTGGCTTCTGATTTTGTGAATTCGTCGCTCTCTCTGTGACAACGCAATGTTACAATGTGTACATTCATTAAGCATCTTCGCTAAAAAGGCCATATTTAAATCACCGGTCATAATCATACTCACGTATGAGAGCTTCTAGGCTAGTGGTCACCACGTCCATCTTAAAATCGTGATTGTTTATCGTTGCATGTAACTTTCGAGACCTGCGCTAGCTAAAGCGAAGCCCGCGACATTTTGTATCAGATCTCGCACTTTTCTGCAAAATCACATGAGAGCGTGTTATCGGTCATTGCTAGCCGAAACATTAAATTCATCCTAATGCCTAGTTCGCAACAATCGGCTATTATAATTAATTGGCCAGCTACTATCTACTAACGGGTCTAACGATTTATACGAGAGGTCGGTCTTTCGTCGTTTTATATTGTTTCCAATTTATTATTTACTTGCTTTACGATGTCCTTCGGCGTAAAACAGCTGTTCCTATCGATGGAGCCATCTTGCCCTACCTACGGCTAAATGATCCATACCGGAGAACGTAATGACTCCTGCACAAAAGACACGACGAAACTTTAATATAATAATCGCCTGATTTATGTGGCTGCTAATTAATCTCCCATTTTTTCTCCATCGGTCTTTAATATCTATCTATGCCTGTTCTGCGTTTAAATTAAATCGGGTAGAAGAAATTATTGTTAATGAAACTTTTTTATATAGGTCCGCCCTGCCGTTGAGTCGCACTACTTTAGAGTAGGATTCACTTGAAGCTACAAAGCTTTCGAGTACTTAAAGAAAGGATATGATTGGCCTATACGGCGCTTCGAAGCATCTGCAGCGTGAAGTGGACTCGATCTTTTCTAAATAAACCGTCGTTTGACCCGTTATTGAGTTGTACCACAAACTTCGTTTTTTTATTATTATTAAGGGTGTACAAAAAGAACACAGGGACGCGGTCTATTCGACCCAAATACCACGACCTCGTTTTTTCGGTCGAAACGGTGGCGGCTCGTAGTGGAGATTCCGGAACTAATAATAGCGGCCATGACAATGGCGGCGCACAATATACAGTCTGCTACGGCGTGTACACGTAAAAAGTAACGAGTCCTTTGATACGCATATTTTTGTGCTATATTCAAAATGAAGCAGAAAAGGAAAAGGCGCGACGAAGATGAACATGAATTCGATCCCGCTCCCAAACACCTGCAAGTAAGACATATCAAGAATCAAGAGAAGCGTCTTATTGTTATATTAGAGCAGGCTCAACTAGAATCCGTGAAGGTGAGGCTTGTTTTTTGTATCACTTAGCGTTTATGGGTTTAAAAATGTTCTCTTTTTATCGACGCCAATTATTTCTACGCATTTATAATTTCAACATGATGTCTACAAATGCATGAATCTCCTTGTAAAGTTAGCTTGCTGATAGAAACGGATGAATTAAGCGTTTATATTTCGCAGAATGGGAACAGTTTTGAGCTATTGAATTGCGACGATCACCCAGCTATTTATAAGAAATACAATCGCGATCCAGGCTCGTGCAGGCCAGACATCACTCATCAATGTTTGTTAATGTTAATGGACAGTCCGTTGAATAGAGCAGGATTGTTGCAAGTGTACGTACATACAGAGAAGAATGTACTGATTGAAATTAATCCACAAACCAGGATCCCGAGAACTTTCAAACGTTTCGCTGGACTAATGGGTAAATATTGATATCGTCTGTTTTTGCCTTATATCATTTTGTACAATTGATATAATTGTCATTAACATAATATTATGTCGCAGTACAACTACTACACAAGTACAGTATCAGAGCATCCGATGGACCGATGAGACTCCTGAAAGTAATTAAAAATCCTGTGTCTGATCATTTGCCGGTTGGTTGTCGTAAGATACTTATGTCATTTAGTGCTGACAAAGTGCAACACCCACGAGAACTTGCGCCTTCTGAAGAACCAATTGCTATTGTAGTTGGAGCTATGGCACACGGCCAAGTGAGTTATTATCGTTACATATGATTACTATCATATTGCATTAATAACTTGATTTTTTATGAATATTTTCATGTTCTTTTGTCTAGATCAAAACAGATTATACGGAGGATACCATCTCGATCAGTAAATATCCTCTTTCAGCTGCTATCACATGTAGCAAATTATGTATAGCATTTGAAGAAGTTTGGGGAATTATCTAGAAAACTGTGAGATCATGTATGTAATGTCATGTATATATAAGCCAATTATCTGAATATTTCACGATTTTACTTAAAAAAGCTGAAGGAAAAGTTTTGTTTCCTCCTGTCTTAGAAATATTTATCCTTTTGGAGACTCGGGTTCAGCTTTACTGATAAAAGTGAGTTCAGAATATGGATTTTAGTATCATACTTTTTTCTTCAATTCTTATTTTTTTAATATAATTTAAATAAATCAGTTTTTTTATAAAGATATTATTGATTGTGTGCTAACTCTTAAGTGTGCTCTTAGGATCGGTTGACGCATTCAAAATATATGAATTAAAGAACAATTTAAATATAGTTTACTTATAAGTTAGAATTGAAAGTTGATAATCTTAGACATTAATAAAAATACAAATATAAGAAATCGAGTTAATATTAAATGTACAAATTAATTCTCGACCTTTTTTCAATAAATTTATTGTTTGTAAAAAATTAAATCAGATTTTAAATGCGAAATAATAATTTCCATCATAATCTATACACTTTTGCCATCGATTGGGCAGTTAGCGAATCCCATGTCGGTAAAAGAATGGCGCCTCTTTGGATTGTTGCGCAATATTCACTTTTCATCATCGGTCACTATTTTGTACAAAAAATTCTTCCTCTTGAACGTAGACGCAGGGAAACAGCTATATCGCGACGTCTATCTTTATTGTCAAGAGAGCACGTGAGGGACTTAATGGCCCACCTTTTGATCTTTCCCAAACTTTTGTTGGCGAACAGATATTGCTTGTTGGGTTACTCCGAGTGCTTGAGCAAGCTCTGACTGCGTCTGATACAAATTATCTTCCAACCGTTCCGAATCGTCGTTTTCAACCTTCTTGGGTTGTCTAGGACGTTCGTTATCCGCGATATTGAAGTTTCCTTCTTGGAACCTTTTGAACCACTTTTTACACGTGCTATAGGACACAGCATCTTCCCCGAAAGCTGAACAAATCATCTTCTTAGCCTCGCTGGGATTCTTTTTCAGGTGGAACGCGAAAAGCATGCAATGCCTGACACGTTGCTTATCAGACGCCATTGTACTTGCTACGCTTATCGACCGCTTTTTGAGGTTATGTCAACTGCAGAATCGGATATTAGGGAGAATTCACACCTTGACGGAAAAACCGAAAAGCAGAAAACCAATCAGTACTCACGCTGATAGTGAGCAGTAGATCAAGCAGAAACTTTCGAATACCTGTGCGAGTTTCTAATTGGCTGATCTGCTTTTTTATTTTCTGCTCTTTCGCCAAGGTGTGAATTCTCCTTTATAGTTATTTAAGTTGCTTTTCGAAACCTTAACATGACAGCAAGAAAAGTTCAGTATAAATAGGTGCTAATTGATTGAATTTGGAGGCTGAGAATTAATTTGTATACTTCATGGTATATAATTCAGCAACGGATCGGACATATTTTTTATTTAAAAATTTTACGACTAAAATTAGAAAACTCTTTTGTTATATTATAAAGTAGTAACGTTTATTTTAACACGCTGTATACAGCTAAATAAGTTACCCTTATTTAGCTGTATACAGCGTATTAAAATGAGTTCTTGGACTATCTTAAATATAATATCAAATTTTGAATAAACCGCCTTTATTGTGCTGCCCTTGCATGTCCTTGGTTGCAGTCCAAACAGTGCAGTTAAACACAAGTCTAATGATTTAATCGAGGTGATCAATTGTTACCTTAGATTGTTGTATCATACAGTAATAATTTAATCGTATTGTTTATTGCGAAAGTACAATTTATTAATTGTTTAAACTATTACTTTTAAATTACTCATATTATCTATGTGCAAGTGAGGTTAACGATAACTGGTGCTAACCTCTTCAACGCACGTGGTATCACGACAGTTGTTCGCGGTAAGTTTCGGTACGAATACAAATATAATCTGTTGTAAGAGAGAACTTTCCGAATTTATTATCAAAGTTCTTTATGCTTACATTTTATTTGGATGAATAGTAGATTCTTCCCTGCAGATGATTGACGCCAAAATTAAGAAACGTAAGGTGTCTAAAAAGACAAAAAAATCGTGGAGGAAGCACATCGATACTCAAGATGTAGACGCGTTTCTCGAGGACAAGAGATTAGAGGAACGACTGGGGGCTCCTTTGTCAGAGCAAACAGATTCTCAGCTATTTATTGTCGACAAGGTCGCCGATAAAACTGAAACTGTTTTATCTTCCAAACGTGCAGCCAGGTTAGCCTTGAAGGAAAAAGAAGCAAGATGTTTCGCTCCTTTGAAACCACACACGCAAGTTCCCGATCCGATCCCGAAGCGAAACCGAGTCAGGACCAAGGAGGAACGTATGAGTTCTATATTGCGGCAACGTGAAGCAGACAGGAAATTGAAGGGTATTCTTAAATTGAAGGAGAAAGAAGCGTTGAAGAATAGGGCACTTGCGAGAGCTGCTTTCCTGAAACGTCCTAAGAGGGGAGAATTTAAAAATGACATATGGGATGTTACGAGCAATCTACTACCAGAAGCAGTCACTGAATGGATGTCAACAGACAGTATCAGACATACAGTCAAGCATATGGGGGTACAAAAGAGGAAGTTGCCTTCATCTTTACATAAGAAAACATCTATTCTACCGGCAGTAGAAATACCACATCCTGGTACATCTTATAATCCATTGCACACTGATCATCAAAAGCTGCTGAACGAAATTGCCCAGAAAGAATTGGAACTTATGAAAGAAGAGGCACATTTAGACAGAGTCACGTCTAAGATGTTCAAGAAGGTAAATATTTTTTGAGTGTTTGTTTGGACCGTCACTTTGCTCTTCAATTTCTAATACTCGTTCATTCAGATTCCGGTAGGTAAAAGAGAAGAGTATCTGATGAAAGAAATGTCAGAGGGTTTGCCAGTAGAGAAACAAACCATGGCAGGTTCTAAGCCTACCAAAGAAGACCTTGTTGAAGAGGAAGATTTGTCTGTAGCAATAGCAAACAGTAAATCTGTCAAGAATGTCAAAAAAACGCTTGTACAGAGGAGAAAGCAGCAGGAGCAGAAACAAATAGTCAATGAACATGCTCTGGCTAAAGTTGAGAAGAGGAAGGTCTCTGATATCTATAAGTTAAAGGTTCTGAAGAAGCAGATAGATTCCAAAGAAAAGAAGGAAGAACTTTTGCGACAGAAACGTGTGAAAAAACGTGAAAGGGAATCCACCATACCAAAGATTCTGAGCAAGACGAAATTCGAGCCCTTGAATCCTGATTTCTTACTCTCGGAAGAATTGTCTGGAAATCTAAGAAACTTATGTAATCCCAGTAAGAACCTTCTAAAAGACCGATTCAAATCTCTTCAGCAGAGGAACATTCTTGCACCGAGCGTCATAAAATTGTAAGTAACAGAGGAGGGATGTTCTAAATATACTTGCGATAATATTCCAGTTTGAGAGATTTTTAAAGAAAAAAGCTTTAGTAGGTAGAAAGCAAACTAGAAATTAGGCAAAATAAATTCAAATATGAAAGGTTATTGATTAATTGATGAGTTTAAAAAATGATAAATTATTAATAAGTTACATGATGTATCTTTAATATATTGTTTAAATAATCTTCTTCTGTGATATAGGACGAAAGACAAAGCAAAGGTGAAGAGATTCGTGAAACCGGATCATAAAATAAATTTACCCGAGGCGTAAAAATAAGGAAGGTATTTTCATATTTCTTTATTATTTCATATCTATTTTATATTATAGTTAAAAGGATTTATTAATAGAAATTTTTTTTAATATGTAAGAAACCAGATTTCCAATCTTCAATGAAACTTTTTAGTCCTTCTCAATCATTAGTCATTCATAATTTTCATTTATTTTATTGTACTTTATTTCGCATATAAATATCTTGTATCTCCTTCAATCTTATTCAGTTTTTGATTAGTTTTAGCTAATTATTTTTTGCGCAGTTTTAAGACACTTTAATTCACATTGAATGTCATGGAGCATCTGCGTGTGTTTTTGTAACTGATTATTTAATTGTTGTTTTTTATCTTCGGCAATAGTGAGTTTCTCTTTCTCGCGATAGAGCAATATCTCCAAGCGTTTGACGCGCACCTCACATTGTCGCGCTCTGTTTCTCGCATTATCTATGTTCGTCACATATTGCTCTTCTGTCAGATAATTAAACTTGCTTATTCGGGATAAATTCGTTTCCGTCTCATCGCGCATTTCACGCAACTTCGTGCTCACGGATTTCTCCAATTTCGCGACCAGTAAGGATCGCCTTGCGTTCAAGTGTCCCTCACTGATTCTCTTTTTATATCCTTTTATAGTGTTTCTGTGCGAAGTAATAAGTGGTACAACATGTTTAATTTGGGCAAACCCCAAGTTTAACACCTATACACTAAAATTTTAAGCTCTTGTGATTCTACAGGCTTACTTGTGTTTGATACAGTCCTGTTTTTTAAGATTCATATTCTCGGTGATTGCAGATAACATATTGTCCACAGCAATATTTTCTGACAGCAATCTGGATATGGAATGTGGCATGTGTCGAGCTACTTCAAGTTGAAACACACCGGCCAAGTCCAGGAGGCGATTATACAATTCTTCATTGAGTCTGGAGCGTCATTCAAATGTAATATCAATTTCTTAGCGAGGAAATTTCAACAGGGACAAATAAAACTCGTCCTTTTTTTACTTCTTCTTGTCAGTCTTGAATTTTCTTTCAGTCTGCTGTAATTTGTCTGTCACTTGTTCCTTGTCGTGGATCAAGGCTTCATTTTGCACTTCTAATTTCTTTTCCAGAATCTGTTGCATCAATTTGTAATCTTCCAAAACGTTAGTTTTCGCATCTTAGCACATCAGAGGAAATTATAAAATTGATGACTGTAGACATCTTGGGTAAATTTTCCAAGAATATAAATGTACATAATATGTGTAACAGAAATGTGGTATGATGATCTCGAGGGAAATTTTATTAAGAAACAGAAATTAAGAAACACTCACTCAAGAGCTTGAGTTGCGAAATAAGCTCGAGTCGTGTATTGTCATATTTTTCATTAATACTCATCAATTTTGCAGCATGAGCGGATTTATTGTCTATTCTTGCATTTTCCAAAGCATTCAGTTGCTTCTTATATTCCTCCACTCTGGCCATCTGAGTGACAAATTGTGATTTTAAACCAGATATCTCTTGCGATCTCTCCTTTTGCAAGTCTTTAATAGAACTATCCGTATCTTTTAGACAATCCTTCAATTCCTTATTCCGTTCTTCTAATCTATTTCAAAAAATTGCATCGTTATCTGTTATATTAGAGGGTCATTGTTAAATTATTTCTGCATTCTGAAACCGATACCAAGAAGTAAAACAGTTAAAATAGCATATTTATATAAATATGCTTATTGAGGATCAATATTGGTGTTATCCAATGTACTAGTTATTTGTTAGATAACGTAATCGATGAAAGAAGAGATCTTCCTTCAATTATACATCAAGCAATATACATAATTAAAAAAAAAAAATATATATATATTGTATATTAGCATAAAATATACTTCATTGTATTTAGGATTAATGTAAGTATCTTAAAAGAAGTCCAAAGTGCTTCTCTCTTTAATAAATACCTTCGAATTCTCTTATTTATTTCTTCGATTTTTAAATCGTAGAATGCCTTTTGTGTATTAAAGATAATCTCTCTCATTTTGCCTACATCTGGTGGCTGTAAACGCGGGGGCAAGCTGACGTTGCCCTTATCCTTCCCGTACAAATCCATTCTCTCGTCGTCACGAGTTAGCAATCACAGCTGTTTGATTCAATAGTTTTGTTTCATGATGTGTGAAAAATATACGAGAAATATAGGTCGCTGCGATATTTATTTTCATTGAAGAATCGCGATACTTGAAGCCTCGCATACCAAGATTTGCTTGAAAAAGAGATAGTTGTCAAGTGTATATAAATTTTCCACGTCAACCGAAGATCCGGGAGAAAGAAAAAAAACGTGAAAATAGCAATAAATCTTGGGTTTGTTTTTGACGTCGGGCGATCTCGTAATTTTCGCGGGAAGACCGGTAATCGCGAGAATCGATATCGAAAGATATCGAGGAACGCGAGATGGCAGGATGTGTGCCTTTCCGTGCGGCTCGCGATCGTTGCTCACGATCCTTGTGTATCCTTGATGTGGATTTCTTGTCCTCGCGTGAAAAATAAGAACTCGAATGACGATTTAAGGATCAGCGACGTACGACGACGCAGTGAAATCGTACGGGATGAAATTTCGCTAACGTGAGATTCGAGCTGTCACCTTAGGTCTGAGTGCGCGCGACCGTTGTTTATGGATACAATCCATTCGATCGCGACCAGTTGCCAATTAACGAGTCAGGATAACGCTGTAAGGATAAAGGGGCAAGCCAGGTAACGGAGGTTATTTCCCGCGAAACTTGGACGCAAACCCGCGCGAATCCGCTTCGTGTGAAATGTGAGTATAACGTCGTTTATATTATCGTTTTTATTGTTACCACAATTGTTGCAATGTGATCTGCGAATAATGCTCATGTGATATGCAAAATTACAAAGTCCCCACCAAAGCGTCACACCGTAATCACACGTTTCAGGTGATGTTACTTACAAATCGAAGACCATGTTACTTTCCACTAATTTGGAGCGGTAATTCCAATATTTCGCAAATAAACAGAACTGATATTCTTTTGAATGAATGAAGAAATCTGGATCTTCCTCTGTAAGCTATGGACACTCTCAGCCTGTATACTTTGTTTAAAACAAACAGCCATGTAGGAGTTCGTAACGAATCAATGTCTAGTCAATATAAAACGGCGATAAAAAGATATCAGAGGTTATACGTGAAATAATGATGTTAATGATGAAATTCCCGTCACTGTATTTATAAAGAAACTGGCGTGAGAAATAATTGTACATATAAGTAATGTCCAATTCTAAGGAGAGTCCTGATCACAGTCAAGTGGAAACGAAATTACCATCGTTGTCTTTGTAAAATCGGCATAAATATTTGTATATACTCGCAATGTCGAACCCTAAAAAAATTCCTGACCCTAGTCAGAGGGAGCCCGCAATGCTAGACGAGCAACCGCAAGCGACGGTAAGGAAAAAAGGAGGAGACAGGGTGCAACCCAGGTGTAAATTGGACTCACACGGTTGCTTAAATCTTCAAGATATTTTACTGATATTCGATAGCCCTGTTAGTCAGGAACGAGCATGGGCGTTGTGCTATCAGACGGCTAAGAGTTTGTCGGGCTTAACACAGAATAAATTCTATGAGATATCAGAATTCTCACAAATTGTGCTTCACAAAGACGGAAATGTACGGCTTGATAACTTAGCAGGTGATGTGTTTTGTCCTTTCAGAATTTCAATGAATAATTATAAACTTGGTTGTTAAGATATGAAGGATGATTAACAAACTCATTTGTATTACAGGCTCTAGGCAACCTCTTGTTTCTGAGGATAAGGTAATGTTGCTTTTAGCAAAATATCTAACTATATTTTGCAGTGTATATTAATTATATTTGTTAAACTTAAACACTTTGTTTTTTATTTTGCAGGCGGTACTTTCGTTGGGTATGGTGATCTTCAAGGCCTTGGATTTTGGTTCTAATGCAGAAGAAGAAATAGCTTTGTCACCGGATTTAGAAGCTCTTATTACATTGATGACAAATTGTAATCGAGGTGAGTAAGTCGCTCTCACTAGTGATGCACGGTTGCGCATTTAACACGTTGACTGCCACGGAACTTTTCACGATTCTGGTCTAAGAAGGTAATTTGATTTAATCAAGTAATGAAGCGACGAGATAACTCGTAGTTGGCGTCCTGGGCAAGTAAACAACCTACGAGATATCTCATAGTTGGCAGTCAACGTGTTAAGCAGAATTTTAAATTACATAAATTCAGATGTTTCGAGTAAGCCGTTTAATTTGCATCAGTAGCACCGGAAGGCGATGTTGAGGGACGCCTGCAGGAAACTGATGACGAAGGCATTGAACGAGACTCGGGCGATACCGATGCCGATGACGATATGATGCCGAAAACTGCCGAGCCGTACACTAGTAGTTCCGTATGTACCCTGAAGACCGTTCTCCAAGTAAGTTTAAATACATAGTCCTACAATTAAATATAATAATTCATAATTTATATATAATAAGCAACAAAAGCACAGGAAACACTCAAACAACAACACACTATCGCTTGCATTTCAGATATGTGCGCGGCACGTGCATGAAGATGCCGATAATTATTATCAGAATGTGATACAAACGTTCGTGGAGGAGGCCCTTAATCTCTCTCAGTTTCTCGAGAAGGTGGTTGTTGATAAACAATCACAAGATTTCTTCAATATGAATGGGACTGAACATAGTTCGACCTCGTTGCAAAATCTCGACGCGTTAAATTTCAATGATTGGGTAAGCTTTATTGAAATACGCAAAGATACAAGGATATTTAGGGATTATCGCGAAAAGAGCATCGAATTAAGATTTATCAGGGAAATATATAAGATAGAATATATTCGGAAAATCCTCCCTAAAATACACTTCTCTTATTCACGTATCTTTTCCAGAGGAAAGATATACAAAAGATATTAAAGTAAAATTGGTAAATAAACGCGTGATAATAATTATATGTCTAATTTGCAAGCTAAATTTATTGATTGATGAATTGCATTTACTCTTGTAGACGGACGTTAGAATTTGGAGGGCCATACAAGTACGTTTGTCCTGTTAAGATGTATTACAATTTCTTATTTCATTTTAGTTACATTTTTCTATTTAATTTCAATGAAATTAGCGTACCTACGCCAGAGTTATTGAAATCAATATAGTGTGTATTCAGCATGATAAATGCACGCAGCATGATGACAAGTTTACCAGTATTTTTATGTAAAACATATTAAATTTTATATCGGCAGAACTTATACTTTATTTGTTCCAAAGAATTTTTAATTATTTATACAAGGATTATTTAAAAAAATTGCGTTGAAATTATAATTACTTAATGAGAATAAAAGTCGCACAAAGGTATATAATGTAGATTGTTATTTAGTTTATTGTGGTCTCATAATGTCACATGTTGATATTGTTTACTATTTTATTTCATGTTGACAAAATGAGCACGTTCGTTTCGTGGTTTTTATTTTATTATTTATTGCGGTAATTAAATTGTTTAGTCCCAGAGAATCTTATTATAAAAATCAATACATATTGTTACGCCCGTGTCTTGATGCCCGCGCTTTTAGCGCTCTGAATGTACTGATTCTCTTGACAACGAGTCGTAAACAATAGATGATCAGCGTTGACCGATAAACAACGGGTTTGAAAGATTCTCTCTGGGGCGGTCGAGTTGCCGTGACGTGTGCGTCCTATATATTTGCTATTTACAAGAAAGCACGCGTAACTCGCAGACTCAAGCTCTCTCGCGAAAGACCGACGCGCACGTCACGGCATCAAGACACGGGCGTAACAATATATATAGTGTTAATGAATAGTTATGCCGAAATTTTAGAAAAACTATGCAGGAGAATCGTAGTGAGGCGATTTTATATAGTGGACATAATATGATCATTCAGTAATGTCTTCGTTTTATGAGAGAGTTAAAAGGCTCGCTAATACTATTCATTAACACATTATAAATTCTGTTGTTAAGATTTATTGTCAGTAATACTGGAGCGTCTTTAAATGTAATCGCCAGGCCAGATTTTGGGTTCAAGTTATCGGCGAATTGAGACGAGGAGTAAAGTTGAAGAAAGTTGAAGCTAATATGGGTTCTCGTGCTTTCTCACGTGGACAAGGAAGAAGTCCGGACTATAAGCTCACTCCTTACGAGATTCTGATGGACGATATCAGGGAGAGACGATATCACCTCAGAAAGACACCGCCCACATCTTCGAGGAAAGATGCGCATGCCATTATCCTCGAGTTCATTCGCAGTCGCCCACCGCTTAAAAAGGTAAGATTTAAAAAATTTAGTTTTAAAAAGTAGATATTGATTTTTCGAAGAAAACGTTGACTCTGGCAGCTATAAAAAAATAATATGAAGATATCGTGATAATCTTAAATCGGGTTATAAGTAGACACATATTTTATATGTACAAAAAAGTTGATGTCTGTCGGTTCAATATTTTTTTAAGAAATCATGTCAACTGACTAAAAAACATAGCTTCGAGAAAAAAGCATTAAAAGTTTTGAGTACAGATGAAACATAAAAAATGAAAGTTTAGCTTTAATTGGCAATATCAGGGCCGTACAATAAATCCTTCTCTACTACAAAATGCTCATTTTGTTCGGTAATTTCGACGAGCGGCACGAGTTCCCTTTGATCCTTGCTTTTTCATGTCCTGCGATTATGAGGTTTTTATTTTCTCAACAGACATGCTTGGAAATGATGTATCATGCTCGACTGTACTTCGATTTTCATGAAATTGTTTCTTTTTTTATCTAACAACGCATTTGATATTTGATCCTGAACTTTTTTGTCCATTACGACGTTTGCTGTGCAACGGTCAGGACAACACTAAACGCTTGTAAAATTGTTCTTCCGAAATCTTCAACGGTCGTTTTAAACTAATAAGTACACATAACTTACACGGTCAATAAGCCAAATAAGAAAGGGTCAACAAGCTAAATAAGAAAGATAGACCTGAGAAGCTATTATGTGCCAGAATATCTGTTAGACGCAGCTGGGGCTTCGAACGCATTGACTTTCAGCCCATGCACTGTTATCTATAAATTCCTGTAACTTCGTTATTTTTTTTTTTTTTTTTCGTATTTCGATAAAGCCTTCTGGGAATTCATTCTTGAGAAGCATTTAAAATGTTACAAAAAATCGATTTTTTTTTTAGTTCTAGATTCGAATTCCCCCTTAATTACTTATTGAGTTGCTATCGGTTTTTGCCGAATTTTTACTAACGTTCCATTTTACTTACAGGCCTCGGAGAGACGATTACGACCGTTACAGAAGGAATGCACCCTGAGGGAATTACTCATGGAGAGCATAAAGAAGCCTCCAAAGCCCTTAAGATCATCTTGCTCGAGGCAGAGCACTGTGAAAATTGAAAAAACATCACTTTGTAAGTCCATGCATCTTATATATTTATTCGTTAATAGATAACAGCATTCTCATAACTATGATACTTTAAATCTTTTTTTTTCAACTTCTATGTATCTTTTTACTCTGTAGAATGTAGAAACTGTAAAGGGATAGAAATAGCGAGGTAAAACTTGGAAGTAACAATTGTCAAATATTATGTCTATTAATTGTCTGTTAACTGAAATTAATACAATATATCACTTAGATGAACCGACGTCGTTTTCTAACTCAAAAGTAGGACGATTTGCCTTGCGTCACGTTACTTTTGAAATAATGCCGTCACGCTTCGTCAATTGTGTTGGAAACCTGCATGTGCTTGCTTTTTTAATTTCACAGTGAAAATTTCATTGATATTTTATGCGGTGGGACTCTCTTAATGCAATCGTTGTATAAGTTTTACTTATGTTTCGTGTTATAAATTATTTGATTGAAGTTCAGATCATGTAAAGTGGTCGGAAGGACCTCTGTTGAGAGAAAATCTCTGTTTTTAATATATTCCTTCTGCAATATTAAATAATTACACGATCCATCCGTTTTGAATATAAGGGTGGTGGCTCGTACGCAAATTGTTCCACGCAATTCGAAACACGTTCAGTTGATTTCATTTCATATTTTCAACGAAGCATCAGCTACGCTTTAATGACTGTCGACATTGTATCGCTACGACGAAAGTTCCCACGACAGTTCACCAGATATATTTTTTTTTTTTTTCGTCGAGGATTTCCGAGGACTTTTGGATTTCTCACTTTTCAAATCATTTGCATTCTTCAGTCTTCGAAAATTGCAAAGCTTCTATTAAATTGCAAAGCTCGCAGATTTGATCAGGGACTTCGGATCCTCTCATTTTTACTTTGGCTAATGCTCGCAAACTTTTATATTGATTTCGATATCTTAGCAGCTTTTGCAAATTCGAGTCGTGCCAAAGGGCGCGAGGAGAGAACTTGGTATCGAATCGCGCCCTGCGCCACGATAGGATGAATCACAGAATTTGGGGCGCTACAGGCGCAGGCGGAAAAGAGAGGGAGATCCCGGACGCGATGTAGACGATCAATAACTGTAAGCGTGCAAAGGTGAGCTGACGTTGCCTGAAACGTCATCGCGGCACGCCAGTCCAGTCGGATGTCAACCCTTCCTCGCGAGTTCTACGACGAGTTGTTCGACGTCCTGAACGATTGTCCCCGCATCGACGTGCGTCTTCCCCTTCGTGAAATTCGCGCTGATCGTCGCTGATCCGAAGTGCGTCGAAGTATCCGCGGCGTAAACGATCCCGATGCGCGTACTCTCTCTGTGAATAGTCTCGCGGGGAATTCAATCAAGTTCCGAGGAATTATTGTGACCTAAGAAGAGTGTAAGAACGCGAACAGTTAGTTGTTACCTCCGTTCGTCTCCACTCTGTAAAATATATATGTACATGTAGCGATTATAGAGTTGAAAGAAAGTAAAACTCAAGCTCGTGTAGAAATTTCTTATATGTGAGGAGAAAGTACGTGATCCTATCCTCGATATATCGCTCGTGAGAATCTATTAAGAGGATTCATATCTGTCACAGAATTGAAAATCAATTTTTCAAATAACCTTTCGCAAGATGAAATTTTCATAATATATGATCTCATAAAAGAGGGCTCTCTCCGCACTCGGAATAATGTAGTGAGTGTCTATGGGCACATTGTATAGTCAGCGAGCGTTTGTACTTAATCAAGCCTAAGCTATATTGATTTTTGGATCCACAAATCTCTGGGGTTTTAGATTCAGATGTAAACTACACATTTATGACCTGTAAATTTAGAAATTGCCGGACGAAAGGCTCAAGATTGATAAAAATTTCAGTCATTCTTCACTTTAGTATGTAGAAACTTGAAAATTGAACGAGTCAGTTGCGAAATTTCAAGTTGCAAAAATCCAAGAAAATCCAACACATCTAATACGAATAAAAAGTCTGAGGATAAAAAATCTCACGAGTGGATGCTTTCCAAATGTCTAATATAATTATAGTGTTTCCACCAAAAAGTTCCAAACTCAGTGTAGACACGCTTATTTTTAACTTTTCGAAGTACGCGAGTGCAATAATAGTTTATCGATCGAAGGATTCGGGTCTGGATTTACAATTTGTAAATTCGGAACTCCGGATCTAAGAATCTCGAGAAACGGAGGTCTCCCTATGGAATCCAAGATCGGCCTCTTGAAGAGGGACGCGCGGACGTGAGAACTTCTGCGAAATATCCTCGAGAACGAACTTCCGTAAAAGTAAGGACATGTGGACTTAAGGAGCCACGCGAGTGCCTCTAAATATCTCTCTTCCCCAATCTCTCCTCTCATCTTTAAGGACGCTCCGATACATCCTTCGAGGCGACGAAAATGACGACGTACACTCCCGCAGTCTCCCTTTACTTCGACAAATCTAAAGACGCCACGAGATCCTGCCTGCCTCCTTTAAGATTATTGTAACACCATCGGGATCCGCTGCTGCCTCCGTCGTCCTTGCCACAAGTATAAGCTCGCTCTCACGAACGAAATTGAAGGATGATTAAAGCATATCGAACGGAGTGGCTAAATAAACTGATAAGCGGGAAAGCTGGACGACATGCACAATTGAAGCCGTGAATTTATTAATAGCACAAGTTCACCTTTTGACATTAGACGAATTACCGGTATTGTCCTCCTTATCACGTGTAGTATCGCACATTGTGACAATCGGGAGTTATAAACGATAATTAATGAGGATCGCGCATATCAATTGTGCAGGATGGCTCGTCTTCATCGGACGGAATTTTAGCAACAAGCTGTTCGGCTGACAAAGCGACTTTCCCTCGCGAAATTTGGACAAATTATAATCTCTAATTTACAAGATTTAATGTCTCACGATTAAGTTAATATTACTGCAACGAATATCTATATATAGATTTATTTCAAAAATGATATGATCTTTCACTCGATTTTCTTTAAAGAAATTATTTCACACAATATTTACATAAAATCTTATACAAAGGAACGTGTTTCGCAAATAGATCATTTCTGTAGTTTCTATTCAGAAAGATCTTAGGTCGGAAATCCTAAGCGCATGAGAGTGGCTCATCAAAAATTTCATTCGACGGAGATGGAGCATCCTTTCTGCGGAAAAGAACGAGACGCGATACGACTGTCGGCCGAGTCTAGGATCTGCGAGAAAGAGAAAGAAAGATGAATCGTCTCCCGTTGAAAGTCGAAGCCGAGTGAACTTGTGCTCCCCCCCGCGAGTCATGGCTTCAATTTTCCCAGGCGACGCAGGCGGCGTGTCTCGCATGATAGTCCTCGGGGAGGTGCCGCCGTCGCAGCCGGAGCAGGAGCAGGAGTCCGCGCAGGATGTTGCGGCCCAGTGGCTGCAGCCGGAGGATCAGAAGACGGCGGCGCCGGGTCCTGGCGGCCTGGCAGCACCAAGCCGCAGGAAGCAGGACGTCCCGCCGGTGCCGCAGCCACGGCAAAGGATCGCCAAGGACCGACCCGACGTCAGGGTCGTGCCAGCTAGGAATCGTAAGTCGCGTAGAAGGCGCATTACGGTCGCAGGTAATCATCTCATTTCATCATCGTCTCATCGACATAAGTAAATGCGCGCCCACGTCGTCTTCCCGATTGGAGAGCGAAATTGGAGAATGACTGAATAAATGATTGACCAATCGTAGATTTTGTTGTACCGGCTCGTGTGTAATAATGACAGTTCGGTTTCTTCACATCAGCTGACGAAAATTCGTCGGAGAAGCGGATTTTAGAATTGTTTCTTCCTACACTGGCAAAAAAATATTTGGTATTTTTGTAATCGCACAGAAGAAAATTAGTCTCAGGTCGAGATTAGATATTTTCATATGTAAGCAAGAATATTGTAATCTTCGTAGAAGATCTTTAGTTTTGATTTGATTGAATCTATGTTGATGTTGAAGTATTGCTTAAATTCAATTTAAGGCTAAAAATCATCTAAGAATGTTATAATATTGTTGCTTATATATGAGAATATCTACATTCAAGACTAGTTTTTTTCTGTGTATGATTGTCACGGTGAAAGAAGAATCACAGTTAGGAGAACCATTTTTCTAGTGAGTGTTAGTACGGTGTGAGTGATAACCCGGTGAGCATAAACCATTGACACAACGTTATCACAATGACATTTTGTAACATATAATATTTTCAAATATGTAGTTTTCAATTGTATACAACATCATTGTTAACAATATTTGACCGAAATATTAAAAATAATATTTCTACACTATGATTTTAATATTTAGAAATATTATATTATATTAAATAATACAATTTAAAAATATTCATAAAATATTATATCGGAATGTTTCTAAAATCCATATAAAATCAATGTTTCATGCATTTACATGCATATTGTTACTATTATTCTTGTGGTTAAAATCATGGGAAGAGTATAGTTGAGGCGAAAAAAATAACTATAATTTCTCTCAGTGTATGTGTGTGTGTGTGTGAAGGAAATTTATCAGAATTGTTAGAATTAGTTGTTAAAGCGAGCTGATACTTTGAACATATGGCGAATTGGCGAGTCGGGTTTAATAAGTTAAATTTATGAGAGTTCTCAATCAAAGACAAGGAGAGATACACGATAATGATGAAATAGAAAATTATGTGAATAGGCAATGGAGACATAATTATGGCATTTAAAATATTGGTTTGATATTTTAACATTAGAGCCGCGGCTTTGTCATTTTCGATTCACTTGTAGATTTCTTCCCATTTCTTGAATTTTCATTACTGGGAAGCCTTTTTTCTTATAAAGCAATTAAACAATATCGTAAAGTTAAAAAAAAAATGTCCACGGATAATTACAAAAACAAAATTGATTTAATTCAGGCAATTTTTTCGGGTTTGAGTAGAGCTGTTACATCAAACAAGGCATTATCATGTAACTACCGGCGAATCTGTTCTCCGCCGACTCTTGATCACGTCTGATCGTCTCACCGCATAACGAGCATATAACATGCAACACTAATCTGAACGCACGACTTTTTCAGACGTTTCGCTATCAGTGTCGATCTAAACTTTGCTACCACAATGTACCGACGAATTATCTCGACTTTTCAGATGTGACACACAACGGAGAAGGTACCAAGGAATACGAACAGTCGGCTACCCCGAAACCACCCGGGAGGAACTTGGACGTGTCGAGCGCTGCCAGGCGGCCCAAGAAAGTGATTCCCGTGGATTTCGACCTGAAGGTCTGCTTTTGTGTTTCTCTCGGCTAGAAAAGGCGTGGAACTGGATCCGGCTCTCTTTACCTCGCGATATTTAGTGTCTGATTCAATGGTGACACACGAGTACTATTCTTGTCAACAGTTGGACGCGGAAGACGACGACGACGACGACGACGACGAGTATTACAACGATGAAGATTTCGCCGAGACGAGGTTCGAGGAGGAGGATGAAGCTTCGAATTATTGGCACCTGAAGGATTACACCTTCGGTGGCCGGGGTGTGCGAAACGGGCACAAGGACCATGAGCAAAGGGACGACGACGAGGCAGGATCGGCGAATCCCTGGCGGAAGACTGGCGGGCTTCGTTTGACTAGGAATGAGTACCACCGATTCTGCGATGCTCAATTAGAATGTAATTGTCATGTTCATTTTCTTTATTATTTTTCTTATCACAGTATCGCATTCAATTCTTTCGTTGCGGTACGCTTCAATCAAAAGTGCACGCGCGTGTGTGTGCGTGTGTGTGTGTGTGTGTGTGTGTGGCATAATATTCAATTGTGTGACACTGAAGCATTATAATAAAGGAAATTCTAACTGAAAGATTCAAACGAGGTACATATATGTAGTCGATCGCAGAACGGTTGAAAATTCACCGTTCGAGATATTTGCAGCTAAAGTTGACATTTTTTATATGCGTTTCCTGAGAGAAATTAGTGTGCTATTTTTAATTTCTATTTTTAATATCTTCCAAACTGGAACTAAGATTTTTTGATGAAAATCCACCATGGTATTGAAAACTAATATGCAGAAATTATACACAAATTTCAGAATTACGGACTATTTTGTTTCGAGAATATAACAAAACCATGTAAAATTCACAATGTATAGTAATACTCGAATTTATGAAAATGGGACACTGCAGTCTCCTTAAACGCAATACGCTGTGACAGGATTTGCTTTGTTCGCTACATTTAGCCCACGAAATCCTCAATCCCCGTTCAAATTGCAGCTTACGATTTGGCGACGCAATGTCCTTCCCGGAGAGCGTCCGCGAAAAGGCATTCTGCGAAATGTACTATACCATTAACGTCGCTCACGGGTACAACGTCCTTACCGCAGTCGCGGCCGCAGAGTCGGCAGCATGCCGGTCTCACGGATTCATCGTTGAGCCAAGGGCCGAGCCCTAATATCAGTCTGAACCCCAGCCCGAGTCTCAGTCCGCAGCCACGAGCGAGGCAACCGCGACGGGCGTACACGATCGCCGAGGGCAAAGACGAGAAACCACCTGCCGAAGAATGGGAGGATGATGCCGATCGAGTAAGGAATCCTGTTCTCTCATTTATCATCTCGGATCTGTGAAGACTCCATTAATGCTGTCTGTAGGCATATCGCCATCGAAAATTTGCAATCCAAGGGCATTACGTGCGAATATTCGTGCATCGTGACTGTTGATAATTTGATGAGTCGGCAACGAGGCTTGAAAGCAGTAGTCACGATGCACAGATATTCAAAAATAACGCGTTTAATTGGAAATCTTTAATGTTACTATGTTTAGGGAATGAGATAGCATTAATGGAGCCTTCTATACGACTACCTACGCGAGTGCGTTGAATCGAATGATACGATTATAGATCGTTTTTTTTTTTTTTTGAGATATCACGCATGAGAGCGATTCACTTTTAAGAAAATAACTCGCTCTCCTCACTTTTCGTTTATTCATCTGAATTGTTGCTTCCTATTGAAAATTAAATTGACTTAATATTTTTCATTTTTTTAATTTCAACAACTACGATAAGTTTTCATCGATTCTCGGCCGATGATTTTTTTCTTCTTAATGAAAGTTTCGTGATGCCGATAGTTAACAAGAAGAAAGCTTCAGGTGAAGAAATCACGTAGCAGAAGTGTATTCTGCGGTTGATTTCAAGTGTACTTAATGACACTTTGTAGAAAGCGACGCTCGGGGACATGCTGTTGGATGAAAGGCTCTCGTTGACGTTGGACGAGATCGTTCACATCCGCAGTGTCCTCACGAAGGCCGAACTGGAGTCCCTCCCCGTAGAGGGACGCGTGAAAGAAGACGTGGAGAAACGCCGTGTTTGCTTCCTCTGTCTGAAAACACGCTTCGGTCTCTTGGGTCCCTGGGGCCAACGTTGTCGCTTGTGCAAGAGGACCGTCTGCGTAAAATGTTATTCAAAAGTCAGTACTTCATCGTCACAACGTATTCACGATTACGATGACTTGAGTGCGAGTTAAATGTTCGACCGCAGTTGTACAGAGAATTTTTGGAATTGACGGGGAGCCACGCAGCGTTACCGTTGATTTCAAGTCGGCGTATAAAAGGGCCGATTCATTCAAGTGAAACAATTGTAAATTGTCGCTCGGCTCAATCTCTCGGAGACTCGAATCGAAAATTAAACGAAATTTTATTAAGAAAAAATGGCCGAGCAACCTGTGTTGTATCACTTGAGATGGATGAATCTACGTTTAACTGTGAATCCAACTTCGCATTCCTTCCAGATGCGGATACCGACGGAGCAGTTCGCCCGGGTACCGGTCGTATTACTTTCCCCTGGACTGCTGCTCTCACCTACGGAAACGGAAAGTAGCGGCGGCGGCGGCAAGAGTACCTGGTTGAGGAACTCAGGCGCGGTCGGCTCGGCACCGGCCTCTCCCGCGTCTAGACGAAAGGACTCCGCAATGCGCAGCGGCACACCAGCTTCAACGCCAACGACGACACCTGTCTCCGCCCTGACGCCGATGTCGACACCGCCCTGTCACGCGCGTCGGGAAGTAGAAAGTCAAGGAATGGACAAGAGGTCAGTGAGAATGTGGCCGTATCACATAACGCGGGATAATCTATTATACAGGTGAACAGAGAATCATTCTGCGTGAAGAAACAGGTCGAACTCGTGGATAAGCATTTCCTTTCCAATACCGTCGATAGCAACTCTGCACGGTGATTGGACAAATTTCCGACTATTTTCATTTCGCGAAACTGTAATCAACAAGTGTCGGAATAACACATTTTATACTTCAATGTTGATTAACATATCACGGATATTAATTTCGTGTTGATTTTCAACACGTTCACCTTGTGAGTTAAATGAACGCAATAGTTTGCGTGTGAAAATATGTTAGATTTTACTGCGTGCCCCTGAAATTCTTCTAACATATCCTCGAAGGCTTCGTTATCAATTGGCATCTTGATTCCACTGAAAAAACCGAATGGTTCACAGATGCTACAAGGGCAGCGGCAGCCCCGCCGCCCTCTCGACCACGAAGACGTTCTCGACGTCCAGCGGCGGGCCGACCGCCGAGCAACGTATGGCGGCGGAGCGGCTGCGCGGCGTCGCCGTCGTCGTCTGCCACGACTGTCGTATCATGGTCATTCAGATAATCAAGAGCTCGAGAACGACGCGCGCCACGATACGCAACAACGTCATCTCCCGCCTCACCCTGAACCTCTCTCCAGCGTACGTGTAATCGTCGATCGCCTCTCTCGAGGCTTCCGTCAGGAAGTTCCGGTGTTTGTTTTCCACGCGTTTACCTTGTTCCCGAACGCATTCCGCATCGGCAACGAGAACAATCGCCGCGACTTGAAAGTGTCCCCCTCGGCGAGGAGGAAACGGCGTTTGTTTTCGTTGTGGGATACGAGAATACATTCATATGAAATGTGGATGTGTCTAAGATGCGGTACATAGTGCGCGCTACTCGAGGTGTCGAAGTCGATATGATTGCGCGGAGCTTAATTTTCAATGGAAGGGTCGAACAAAGAAACGCGTCGATGCGCTACATTTCAGTTGCCCGCGAATGAATACGTACAGGCGCGTCATCCGTTGATCGGATTGCCTTTCCCGTATTCAGATTCGAGCTCGGCGAAATCGCATAGGTTCCGACGAACAGCTCTGATGGATTATTTAAGGAGCGGATTTGCTTTAACGCGTTGAGACACTTATTCCGAAACTGAAAAATTTCCTCTCCTTTTATTTCCCTTATACTGCACAAACCGAAATCGGAGTTTCGAAGAACCGAAGGCAGTATGTACTGTTTTTGTAAGACATTTAAAATGCTCTACTTCTACAAATGTCTTTGGCTTTTGCACAGGAAAGTTCTTTTTTTATCGTAAACTCTTCTATGTCATAGGATGTGAAAAAACCCGTTAAGATTAAAAGCTCCAGTAATTACAAATTCAAAGACTTAAGAATCTATGAATTTGTAAGTTTCAGATGACCAACTTCTTCGCGCATAAGTTAAAAACATTTTTCAGGAAGGGCATTGCGTTACTTTTTGATAGGACAGGAGTTCCAATCCGCGAGGCATTACATAATGTTAATTTTTTCAATTGAATCGTATTGTATCTTGCATGTCCATATTTTATTTGAATAAACTTTTGTGATTTAGTATATATATTATTTATTGGCACTGGAATTCTCTCAGAATACTTTTAAAGTGCCTGTCTCAAACAACGTTGATCTTGGATAGACAAAAAAAGAAAATAAAATTTCGAATTATATATAGTTTACTTGTATTATTTTTCTACTTGTATTATTTTTTCTCGTTTTTTGTAAATATAATATATTTATTGTTTGTTATTTATATCATGATCGAAGTACCAAAGAATTTGGGATCCAAGCAGCTAAAGACCTAAGAGAATTACACCTAAAGATTTATTTAATACAAAACGATGCACATCTCTAAGACTTTCAAAATATCCAAGGATCTGAGGATATGCAAGAATTTAAAAGCTTGAGCGTGTTTCTAAGAGCGTAAACCTGAAGTAAGAATCTCGAGATGCAAGGATTCAAGGATTTACGAATTGAACAATCCGAAGTTCTCTATACATGTAAAGGGTTAAAAATCTGAGAAATCAAAGAAAGATTAATAGTCGGAAGTGTAAAAACTCGGCATTTGGAATTAAGCAGTTGAAAACGCTACGCGTATTATAGGAAAATTTAGGATACGAAGATCCGCATTGTTTCCATAAAACTGGCTTTTTACAAAAGTCCGCCCTTTTCCCCGCAAGGCATCTTTGATTTCCAAGGTTGTTGTTAGCAACAAATTCGAGTCCTTCGTGCCATAAAAGATTGACCGCATGAATGCTTCATGGCACGAGTTCTTAAATAAATAGAAATCTTTGGATATTCTCTTCGCTTTTACATATCTTTGGATTCTGATGTGCTTAATTATACAAATCCTTGATACCGTAAGTCATTAACATTGTATATTCTTAATATCGCGGAGATTCATGAGAGCGAAAATCTTTGGCTGCTTACTCATATAGATCCTTGCTTTCCATCGATTCTCTTGTTTCCCATTAGTTTCGCGAGGTCAAAAGTCCCATTCTTAGATGGGGCCCCGATTACATACACGTGAATCCATTAGAAAAGAAAACCAAATCACGATCCACCTTTTGCAATCTCCGATTTTGTTTCTCATTATCGACACCAAATATTACAGGTTTATAGAGAATGGTAATATGTAACGTTAATTTAGCTTTTAATAAAATATACAAAATTGCGAATACAAAAGTTAAAGTATGCGATATCGTTAGCCATTTTAGAAATGGAGGCAGAACCAAGTGGGGACGAGCCTTATAAAAATAGTGATCGATGATAAATGGGTAAATCGCGTAGAGTGCAATTCTTATTGTAAAATATTACCGTTGATCTTCCATATAAATGATAACGCATTTAAGAAGTGTATTTAAAAATTAAACTGTATTCGTCACTAGGGAGTATACAAGATATTTCAAAAAGGTATATACGTATACATATAATTTAGCCGAACATATATCGCATGAAATTCAATTTAATTTCTGAAATGAGTGAGAGGATTAATTTGAAATTTTTTTTTACTGCCATTTTGAGCATTTGGTTATTATTTACCCTTTTTTTTTATAGACTAATAGAAACACTTTTTCTCTTGAGTATATATAAATCGATGGGAAATTGATTTCTACAAGTAAAAGCTCGTATAGTAGCGTTATGAGCGATCTCTATATCATATTTACATAATCGTCAAATTAAACGAATAAATTAAATATGGACCAATCTTTTGCCCAGCAAAATCAGTCGTAAACCTCTGCTATTTGTATGTATCTTTTTAAGATATCTCGTATAATTGATAATAACGTTCGGAGAAAGGTAGATCGAAGACGAATGTGAAGTGGGGAGATCGAATATGAAAATTATCGATGCGATTTATTGTAACAATATCTCTCCTCGTGTCAGTGGATAAGCAAATTTAATAGAAACGTTAGATAAGAGGAAGAAGAAGATATAAATGAAATAGGTTCATATAATGCATGTCAATGAGGGTCTAGGAACAATATCAATTGATCCCACGTGATGTTATTAATCAGATATTTAGTAACATCGATATCGAAGATCGTACGTTAATTAATTATTCTTACTGCACCTAAGCGCGAGAAGGAGAAATGAATTGTAATTATTTTGCTCTAGAGAGTTCTAATTAATTAATTATTAGAATTGATTTATCTCACGCGCCGTTCGTACAGATGAGCGCGTAGAGATGTGTATAAACGGGTTATATTCCATTAATTGTACATATATATTGTAAATGAATTTTTGGTTTCGCGCATTGTAAAATACGTACTCACACAACGATATTATTTATTTCGGGTAATTTATCGTTTAAGGTGCGAATGAAGCTGATGGATGACGGTGATGATTGTTGTTCAAAGGATGTACATAGATGAGAAGATCGGTGATCGTGAATGATCCTGGCCGTGATCCTGATGATAACGTGGTGCAGAGTACAAAGAAGTGACATAACGAATTACGAAGTTCCGCTGCGAGTAACTGCGAAGTGTCTCAATGTTAAAGCCGACAAATGATATATGAATAATTAGGTTGTTGTAAAAGCTTGCAAGGATCTGAAATCCCCAGGATGATTATGCAGACGTTACGCAAAGATCCGAGAATTGGAGGTTTCACAGGCTCCGGAAAAAAATCTAACGGCATAATGAAAGTTGTTGAAAGTGCGGAGATAAAAAAAAGCGCGATGATCGAAGGATCCAGAAATATCACGAAGATCTTTCAATTCCGAAAGCACAATTTGCTTCATGCACGAAAGTGAAATTCTCATTTACGCTGATCTCCTATTCTTTGAATCCTTTTTTCTCTCTGCGTGTATGTCTCTCTATCTCTCTCTGTCCCTTTCTTTCCGAATTAAATTTATTATCTAATATATTTATGCATTTTAGGTTATATAAAAATATAAAAATGGTTTGGAGTTTTTTGAGGAAGTCGCGTGGAATCAAAGAGATTATACAAATTAATAGAGAGATTAGTATCTAAATCCTGAAACTATGTTTATATATCCTCTAACATATCTCTATATATCCTCTAACAATTAAAATATTGTCCCTTTTGGAAAATATCTCATTTGACTCCTTGATCTTGCCTCTTTGGAGAGGTGTTTTTCCATTTCTGTAGTTCACACGACTCTCTCTTTCGAGAAAGAGGAATCTGTAGATATTTTCTGAAAGAAGAGAGAGAAATATATCACACGAGGGACTCAAGGATCCAAGGAACTAGCAGTTCTGTGTAAAATATTGCAGGACTTTTGCTAGAACGATATGCGTTGCGCGCGAGCTGCAGGTGTTTTTTTTTTTCTATTTTTCGTTCGAATATGCGTTTTAGGAGAATTGTTCAATTAGGCGAATTAGAATTTATCTGTTCGAGCGAAATGTATTCGCTTCGTTTTGTCGTTATTCGCAGAAGCTTAAACGATGTAAATTTGCAACTATAGCCGGCTATAATAATATAAGTGATGATACGATGAAATATAAAAACGAGAAAAAAAAAGGAAAAATGAGAAATAAAGATATCTTCGAAGTGTTAAAATCTTCTTATCTCATCTTAGTGCACGTCTCTTCCGTGTCGTTTCCACCGGCATCAGCTTTATGTTTCGTCATATCCATGTTATTTTCAAACTTTCAACAGATAAATTTTTCACAACGTAACGCTCATCTTTGGCTCGTTTTTGTTACACGTTGAATTTGCTATCAGATTGTATGCGAATCCTTATTAAATTGTAACCACACTTCCACCGTTATTACGACCGAAGGAACAAGAATCATCTGTCAATCGTACATTATTTTTATTTCAATGCTTATTACATAAAAACAAGCAAGATCGTGATATGCAAGGATGATGAAGGGGTCCACGGATCCTTTGAATTTCATACATTTATAATTTTTTGATTTTCTCTTGTCTTAATTTATTACGTCCCGCGCATTCTCATCCCGCACGTTCGCATATTTCACGTAGAATATGTGAAATTAAATTTGCTCTCTCGTATAGTTTTGAAGGAAATCCCGGAGAGTATTTTTTTTTTAAACTATACTCTCGATATTTTTCTTGACATGTTATTTTCCGACCGTGAATCCTGTCCGACCTGCGTCGGAAGGCATCGCTCGAAAAAATCATTTTATTTCTTTCAACTTAGCGCTGTGTTCTTGCAATGTGCATGCGATCAGAGAACGCGCAGATCCTCTCGACTCCTCGAAGTCCTGAAACTTTAAGCTTCCAGGCACCTCCTCCCGCTCCAGTAATTTTGATTACATCGGCGTGATATATCTCATATATCGCCAAACGCGCGAGCTACCAGACGCTGCACTTGTTCTTGGGATTCATCGGCGAATCCGGCGGGCAGTTGAAGGCCCTGGCGAAGTCCTCGCTGTTCGACAACGGGCCCAACACGCGCACCGGCCCCGGCGAGTGCACGCTGCTGCGTATCTTCGTCAGCGCGTCCTCCGGCCTCATGGAGCCGCACCAGATCTGCGCGTAGTTGAGGAAGAACAGCTGATCGTGCGTGAGATTCACACCCGGCAGCAGCGGCTCCTCGCCGTGAATCGAAACCCACTTCTTGTAAGCCTGCAGGTTGTATTTTTCAAACAAAATGGTCAATAATTCTGTGTCTGCATATTAGTTTTTAATATTACAGTGCTTCTTCCGAGAAAATCTCTCATTCTTATAGCTTGGAAAATATTCAGAACAGAAACTAAAAAGAACATGCTAATTTCAAGGAACACATGAAAAGTTCCCCCGGGAAAAAATGTTCTAATAATCATTACCCTGAATGATTGCTTGAGACCACCGTTGTCCGCAATATTCTCTCCTTGGGTCATCCTGCCGTTGATGTAAAGATTCACCTCCTGCAGCTTGTACTTGGAATACTGATCCACGATGCATTGCGCTCTCTTGCGAAACGCCCTGATAGTGGCGTTGTTCCACCACTGCATCATGTTGCCGTCTTTATCAAATTGACGACCCTTGTCGTCGAAGCCGTGGGTGATCTCGTGACCGATCACTACGCCGATACCGCCGTAATTCAAGGACTTGGGAAAGTGCTGGGAGTAAAAAAGCGGCTGTAGAATCCCCGCAGGGAATACTGAAATGCCAACATAATAACAACAGCGGTTAATGCCGGTTTCAGCATCGTCAAAGGGATGATACACACGATCGTTAAATTTCCCCCCTTTGAATCCTCGGATCATCTAATTTTTATGTTCCCAGAACCTCGGGCCATCAAGGATTTCTTCCATTTCGCACGAGATCATGAGATCGTTTCAAGTTTTTCGCACCTCATGGCGCTTCTACGTCGAAATCCCTGAATCCTTGGATTACCACACCTTTAAGTCGCAACTATAATTAGCTATTTATGACAATATACTCTCACCTATGTCGTTCTTGTTAGGGTTGTAGAAAGCGTTCACCACGGCCGGCTCGGTCGACCATTTGTCCTTGTCGACCGGCATTCGCAGCTTTTGCAGATTGTGATAAGCGTCGTACTTCAGCATGGCGAGAATATTCTCCAAGAAGCTGTTTTCCGTTACGTTTAACTGAAACGATTCCTCATGAATAACGAGCAGATTGCGGCGAGTCGTCGATTTAAAAACGTGTGACACAGGTGGAAAGCAGCAAGTGAGAAAAATCGGTAAACTCAATCATTGTAATTTGTTTCGGATTATCTTTTATTTTTATCTTTAATATTCGATGAGTCATTTTTGACAAACTTGCAGATTCTTTTTTCCCCCGTTTCTTTGGATTTTCAGCATAGAGTTTTCTTTATCATTATATAAAGTTCGAAAGAATAATTATAAAAAAAGAGGTAGGTCAAAAGTGACCTATCCGCGATTCTAGAAGGAATCCAATCACAATATGATATTTTATAACATATGACTTTTCCGAATGTGTAGTTCTTAATGTTGCATATAACGTTATTGTTGACAATATTTCACTCAAACATTAAAAATAACATGTCTACACGGTATTTTAATATTTAATATGTTGTATCATTAAGTAATAATTTAAAAATATTTACAAAATGTGTCCAAATGTATACAAGATCCGCGTAAAATCAATATTTCAAAAGATTGATTTAATATTCTATAGCTTCTTCCTTGCTGGGTAGTGGTAAAGTGTGACACGATGACATTACCGTGACATATTCTAGCGAAAGCTCGAGCGGGTCCTTGAGAAACTCGGGATATCCGATTCGCTCGTTCATCGAGTCCGCTTTATTCTTCGCCACCGTCCGGGTCTCATCGTCCATCCAATGATTCTCGGCCAGCAATTCGTTGAAAGCCTCGCGAATCGTCCGTATCATCTCCAGAGCAGTCTCCTGAAAGGGAAAAGAAAGAAGCGAAATTCTAATCCATCAAACGGAAACGACCGATTCAATCGTAGCCCGGGAACAAAGGGCGCGCTCTCACCTTACTCTCGTGATTAAAATTGTCGCGTATAAAAAGGGCCCCGACCGCCATTCCGAGTTTCTTGTTGGTCCACTCGACGCATTGCGACCACCTGTTCCTTTCGCTGAGGATCCCCAGCAGGATCTTGCGAAATTCGATCCGCTTCTGCTGGTACTCGTCGATCATGTGAGGCATAATCGACATGACGAACCGCCACAGGATGTAGTTGTGCAGAGTCCTGCGAGATGTACAGTCGTGTTAATGTGCCGTCCGGCACGCTCGCTCCTTGAATTGACGAAACGAATCTCTCCCTTCGCGAATCTCCCCGGGCGGCGCGAATGCGCGCTTGATTGCGCGTCAAATTCGTTCGGTCGGAGGTTCGAGGATCTATACAGAATCCCTGATAGACAAATTGTGGAAACGGTGCACAATAATGGCATCGTGAATTGGCGAAAAATTTCACAACAAGATTCACGATCTGCCATAACGCAACGGTTTTGTCTGAATGAAACATCACAAAATGATATTTGTCCGAAATTAAATCACTCCAAACCAAAAATCAACTGTACGAACAGTTATCGATACCTTATAAAAGATCAATATTTCTACATTTTCTTAAATATATCCGCACATAATTGAAATATCACCAATCCCACGCAAGATTTCGTTATATAATTTCATAAATGTTTTCTTATCCCGGGAAAAAAATTCCTATACATAATGATATACATGGATATATTTTATATATAATTATAGACATATTCTATATGTGATATAATATACCTTATATATATTTTATATTTATATCTATAAATTTATATTTATTTATTCACTTGTATTTATTTATTTATATGTAATTATATTTAATTATATATGGAAAATTTCTTCCCAGTATTTCGGGTTTAATTCCGCGCAGTTTTCTCGCGTGAGAGAGAATCGTCGGGAAGTGGCCCTCACCTGCGATCCGTCCTCGAGATTATACGGCCCATCTGCGCGAAATACGGCATCGCGTACGCCACGACCGGTTCCTCCTCGGTGATCGGCGCGCTGATGAACTCCTGCAGGTAAACGAGCCACTGCAGCTGCGGCACCTCCCGCTGCAGTTCGCGCAATCTCAACTTTCGGTAGATCGCCGAGGTGTCGTGCCTGTCCGCTTCCGGCAACGAGACCTGGAACCGGAGTGGAAACGGTCGTAATGAGAGCGCGTCGTCGGAAGATCGCGACGGAGATGAGGATGCAATGTACATTAGCGAGTTGCTTTTCCAAAAGGATCACCCGATCGAACTCCTCGGCCGCTGAATGGGGATTTGCTCCCAGCAACACGGCCACGCTCGTCATGTAATTGTGGTAAGCCTTCAACTCGGCCTTACTGCTCTCCTTCAGGTAGTAGTCTCTACCGGGCAACGCCATTTGCATCTGATCCAACTGCGTAGATGGATGAAAACGTTATTACGCGCGCATTGAGAGCGTGACGGTAATAAGAAAACAAAGTTCTAATTGCAATAAAAATTGTAATCATTCTACAACGGCGAGACTGTTATTATACTGCTGAGCAACAGAGCGCCTTTGGATCGTCGCTATAAAACTTATAAACACGTCCCCTTGATGCGCCACTTAAAAATACGGCACTAATTCGATAATACATCCTTAATTGCGCGCGCTTCATCTGCGTTTAATTAAGCGTTATTTTTCTCACGTCCCCTCGCTTCGATCAGTTTACGGTTTTCAGGGTGCAAATCCGGAAGGTCCGAGAAACAAATTTAACCCGAGTCCTCGACTTCGACGCGTGGGCCTTATTCTCAGCAGGATAATACGCGTCGCCGTTGACGTGTTGTACAGCCGTCGACCAATGGGCCTTACTTTGCCGGCGCACCTGCAGGATGTTGGCCGAGGAGTTCTTGTCGTCCGGGCCGACCCACTGCTCTATCAGCACGCCCTCGTTGTACTCGCCGCGCAAACGACCCAGAAGGACCTCCAAGGAATAAGACGGCGGCTTCCAAGATGCGCCCACCACCGCTGGCCATCCTCCAAGACTCTCCAAGATCTCCTTCAGTGGTGCGTCCCCGATTTCTCGTATGCGAGCTGCGTATTTATGCTAATGTCGTTGGTGTAAGTTATGCGAGGCACGCGTGGTTTGCGCAATTTCATGAATCGATTTTCGGAATTTCAGAGTTACGTTCGAAGGTGCACCGATCATTATTCGAAATTTATGACGTTGTAAACACGTATAGTTGAAGAAGCTATGAAGGAACTGCGACTGAAAGAGAGAGAGAGAGAGAGAGAGAGCAAAGGGCGCTCTCTAATTGCGCGTATTGTCTATACCCACGGATGTCCATACACGACTTGTAGAACATCTTCGCTTTGAGAGTGGCGTCATTGTCGTCCTCGTTGGACGGTTCCTCGAGGATGCGCTTCAGGATCACCTGCAACTGATCGGCCAGGACCTCAAAGGTACTGATGGAGCTCTTATCCTCCGGTATCACGTGCAATCGATTCCACGTGCCGCAGGCGTATTGGAAAAAATCGACGCAAGGCGGTGCGGTGCGATCCATCGCTGTCAATAAGCTCGCCGCTGTGTACCATTAATGAACGCTCTTTCATTCACTCCGGCTGACACCTTCGGTAACATTAACGTGCTATCCAGCCTATCCAGTTATCAATCTATTTGGCGGCAAATATTACGCGTACTGCTGTTTCGCGATCGAATGGAGGTATTAACTAATAGAAATTCACAATCGGGAAAAATTCTCACAAAATTTTCATAATGCAATTAGCTTTAGCTGGAATGCATTTAAGGAAATGAATTGTATCGGTACTCTTATAGATAAAATATCAAAGAAATTACCCGTTCTGACGCATTCTTCCGACATGCAAACGTTCGGATCTGAAAATAGAGAGGGGCGAAATATTCATTTGAATTTCATTCACACGTTCTGAAATTGTTCCATTTTCCCGTTCTTCAGTCTCATACTTTTGTGCATTTAATTTAACTCTCGTTTTTGCCCTGACAAAAGACAGGCATCTAAGAAAGAGAAAAAAGAAGAAGGAAAAGAAGAAGACACGTCTCAGAATATACGGAGCAGTCTGTGATGCAGATGCATAGACGCAAAGCTGAAACTCACAGGGCTCTTGGACGCATTCGCGAGTGGTGTTCAACGCCAATAGCAAAAGTATGAAGAGACAAGTGGCCAACAGAGCAATGGCCAACACGCCCAACAGACGTTGCCTACTCGCCGGTCCTCTTTGTCTTCGTGTAATCGAAGTGGCGCGTGTCACGCCGACTGGTCTCCGCGGCCTGGCCGGAGGCTGGAAAACGGTTGTGGTGGTTGCCCCGCGTGGACCGTAAGTTACCTAGATCGGTAATAAACGTAGGGCATAGTGACGCGAGTGGATCATGCATGGTACGTTTCGTCGAGACGAGAGAGAAGTGAAGAGAGAAAGGAAAGTGTCTCAATAAGGGCAAAGATTCGGTTTAACAAAATTCAACTCAGCAATCATAAAAAAAGCTACGTAGAAGATACATATATATATATATATATATATATATATATAGAATTTACATGTAAATTACATAAGAATCACTGTTTAAAATTTCGCATTGCGAAGAGTGTCGTGACGTTCTTCCTCGAGGGGGAGGAGGGAATTAATTCGATCGCCGTGTCGCATTGTGTACTCCCGATAGGCAAATTGTGGAAACATCACGTAATAACGGCATCATAAAGTGACGAAAAATTTTACAATGATTGCGCTAAGTTAATTCACAATGTAACATAGCGGTTTCGTTTTCTGAATAAAATTTCGAAATGATGTCTAAAATTAGATAAATTGAATGCGGGATATTCTTTTGGAACATCGTTATAGAATCACTTCAATATTTAACCATTTTCAATCATTAATCGTTCGAAATTTTGCGCGATTGTTTGCAAAACGGTAGAGGACTTTTCTACTCAATTGAACCACCTTCACATGAATGATTGAAAGAAAAGTTTCGTATACTCTGTGTATATATGTATTAATTTGATTCCTTCAGACACAATTGTATTTCTAAATGTAAACGCATAACACAGCTGAAATGTTTTTCTCAATTATTGGACGATTTCCTTATCTTTCCAAATTTAATTTCGCAAATATTCCGTTGTTAAGATGATTCGCCATACCGCTACTGTTTTGCCGAAATATTATTTAGAAATTAACCGCGCGAAGAATGATCAATATTTCATAAAAGATCAATACTTCTCTACATGTATTTTCTTAAATACATGTGACTGAAAGAAGTGCTACATTCAAGTAAATAATTATTCCGACAGTTCTGAATAGATTTTTACCGAACTTAAATAAATTTTAGTTGGGTCAATAAATATATTACTTGAATGTAGCCCGAAAAGTGGGAGATTCGAGTAATATTTACTCAATCCGAGTAAAAACTTGCTCAGAACTATTGTGAGCGATTATTTGCCTGAACGTAGCACTTATTATCCGCGTACCCGCATAATTGCAGCGTCAGAAATTTTATGCAGAAGATCTCGCTCACAAAAATCAAATTTCACGGAGAGTTTCCCCATCGGGGATACGTTCCTACCTGAAGCGGATTCCCGGCGGACGCAGTGTCTTGGCCAGCTGATCCCGGCCCTGGCAAGTCGCCCGACAACGGCTCGGTGACGACGGTGGTTCGCAGATACCCATTGTTTCCCTCCGACTTCATCCTCGCCGACCTGATCCTCCGCAGGACGCCTGCTCGACGGTGGCGGGTGACTCTCGCTCATCGAGAGAGGCGACAGTTGGTCGTAGTGCGCGGCGACTCTTCGTGTTGGGGGGTTTCTGCGAGGAGCGGAGAAGGCGGGCGCGGTGTTTTCCCGGGCGGACGTAAATCTCTCTCTCGCGCGCGCCTTTTAGCATAAACAGCGGCCGCCGGTCGCAGGTTACGACGGTGACGCGGGCGCGGACGTGCCGCGGTCCTCCGAAAGAGCCGAGTTTTGCGGCGTATTCGCGCGCCCGCAACAAGGACACCGGTCGATCATCGTCGGGGGGGGGCGAGCGGAGGTCCTCTTCAGGCGGGCATCGGGGAAACCTTGAAATTGCGTGCCGGGATTCTTTCGTGCGTGAGAAACTCTTTCGTATAAAGATGATAATCTGCCTCGCGGCCCCTCGCTCGTACATCAATAACGTTGTGAAAGATGTACGGTATGCCACGAAAGTCGCGCGTCTCTCCCTCTCCGATTTATTTCTATTTTTAATTTTCGATATTCAGGGGTCTCGGTAACTGTGTCGCGGATGAAGAAAGAAATCTGCCGAGGAGAAATCGGCGAACGGTCGGCTAAAATTCATCGGGGAAGTAAGGCTTGATTGCTCGCCCGCTCCGCAAACTGAATTCACGCGGGATTACCTTGTGCGTCTATAAATTCCCCCTTGAGAAAAAGACACGATCGGATAAACGTTGAAATTAACTGATGATATTCTATCAGTTACCGACGTCCGAACATCATCAGTTACTGACGCAGCTAATCGGCACTTTTTCTCAAGGGCTAAGCTCTCGGTAACCACGGCGCGAAAATAAGCGCCGTTTTTCTTATTGTTCCAATAATATCCGTCGTAGCTTCTGCACAATCGGTGAATCAAAGTGCGCGACTTTTTGCGTGTTTTACGTTACCGATTACCAGCTCTCTCTATAATTACGTATCGTAATAATAGCGCTTATACGTACAAAAACGATGTATGTAAGAATCTCAACGAAGGCGCAGATTAAAAAGGCGCTGCGTGTTAATGGGAGATCATTTTCTCGAAATTTCGAATAAATCCGCCGCACCGATCGCCGGATCGAGATCCGCCGACACGAGTCGCTGCGGTTCTACACAATGTACCTTAATTAATCAACAACAATCGGAGAGAGGAACATTCATCGGGGGGTTACACCGATATCACTGCACCGCCGAGAGTGCTGCAGCGTTCACCAACGCAATGCAGGGACGAACGATATCCATCGAGACGCGAGAAGATCTCGGCCGAATCCTCGTCGTCGGCGTAGGTGGGCGCGAAGAAAACACAGGTAGGACGAGTTCACATCCGCTCGTAGTGTAGAAGCAACAAGCATCCTGCGAAAAACTGTCGGGGGTGTCGATCGAAGCCACCACCACCACCGTTGCCGCCACCACCATCGGCAGCAGCAGCGCGCGCGATCCCGACGAGGGGTGAGAAGCGGGTCGCGAGAGGGTGCAGGAGCGGGCAGGAGCGCTCCGTGCAAAGGTGCGAAGAAGGTGTGTGGGGGTGCGAGAGGTCGGGGGAAAAAAAAGAACCGGTCGATGCTGCAATGCAGCACAACGGTGGTGGTTCGAGATACGACGCGTAGCGGCGACAGCACGAAGCTATCCGGGGAAAAATTATTATATATGATTATATATAATTATATCAAATCATATATGAATTTTGCTTATATACGTGACTACGTGTATGATCATATATGTCTGTACGAGAAAAATGATGTTGCGTCATTTAATTAATAAATGTCGTGTGCTGTCAGAGGCACGAGTAGTCAGAGCATTTGCTTCGATCGTATTTGCATATAATTTGTACACAACAGTTATTTCCCGTTGTGGGTATATATATGTGATTATATCTAATTATATTCAATCATTCATCTCGTATAAATATTTTCTAAATACCCAATTGCCCCGGGAAAGTCAGGTATGAAAGAAATTATGATAAATATTTAAAAATATTTATGACAAATATTTTTCATTAATAATTAAAGCCTTGTTTGATCTCGGTAAAATCGTGCTTTTATTACTTATGAAAATTATCCTTCATAAATATTTTTGATTAATAATCACAATCTCCCTCGTATTTGACTTTCACGGACATTCGAATATTTACAGAGCGTTTAATATCTTTATTTCTCAATTATTTTCTAAATATTATCATATACCGTCCGAGAAGAAACCGAAAAGATCCCGGGTTTTTTCCGAGTCTTCGAAAAACCACGTATAAATTGTATCAGAGGAATTACGTTGTTGCTTACTCAACAGGTGTTAATTAGAGGAGAATGGTACATCGAGTGTTTACCTGCGGGGACCCCTTCCAACATTGTTTCAAACAATTCCCATCTGGCTGCAGATATCGACCGAGCTGGCTGCGAGATGCCCTCTGTGCAACCGCCGCTAATAACTCGAGCGGCCTGTGTTGTCTCCCCTCGTTCGGCACGCAGTGCCGCGGTGAAATTCATTCAATTTCGGTCACCTTTTCGTCGGGCCTCCCCTCCTCCCCATCAGGTCACCGCGTTAGTAGTGCGCGTACAGCGTCCGGTATCGTTTCGGGGACTGGCCGACGCGAACTCGACCGACCGTAATCGGCGACCGCGCAATTGCGCACACGATCCAGGTGTCCAGCTGCAACTGGTGGCGTTTGTTAGGTTAGGACGCGACCGACAGAGGATGCATCGCGCTGGAAAATCGCCCGGTGAAAGTGCGCGCCGTTGGGAATTCCGACAAAGCGAAGGCCGGCGCCGCCACTACTCGCAAACGCCATGAAGTGAGTGGCGTTTCAGGAATAAACGTCCCGTGATAAGCTTCATTTGAAGGAGGCGTCGACGGCGACGGTTTTTCCCCAGGTATGCGGATTCTCGCGCACGAGCTCTCGTCTCAGACGAAGGAGAATGAGAGAAAGGCAGCTCACGTAACTCGTCCTGCCGTCTGCCTGCTATTTTTACAAGATGCATTCCGTGACAAAGCAACCTGAACAGCAAAAGTTCGAAAAATCAAGGATCACGCAAAAGGTTCATTTGTTCGTTTGATCTCCTGCGGCAATTGCAGGAAGCAAGGATCGGTATATGACCTTGTCGATTGGTAATAATAGAAAATGAAGAGAGACTCGCTAAGTGCTCTCTATTTAATAACAAATGTTAAAGCATTTTCATATAAGCATTATTCTTCGTCTCACATCCAACGAGTTGCATGGATAGGTTGTGATGCTTGTGTATTCTTTAGAGTAGCTAAAAAGCAAGCATCCTGTGTCACTAAGTGAAAAGAAAGCACACACTAGTTTGTTCTTTATAGCTGAACTGGCTGCACGGCTTGTATTTTTTTTTCTCCTTTTTACACAAAGTCACAGCTGTATATCTGTTTCTTTTTAAGTTCCAAAATTGTACACTAGTTCACCTACAAAGAACAGAAGGACCTTGTAGATGTATGTTCTTATTGGATCTATTCTTTTTAGTTGAATTGACTGCACCGGTTTGAGAAATTTACATACACTGAAATATCAGAAAATATGTACGCTTCATAAGCATCGATGTATATCTAAGTTTCTTGAACTAGCCAGTTCAGCTAAAAAGAACAGACCAATTGAAATATAGATTATTATTTTGTCACGGCTATTATTATCATTTTTCATTGTATCACTCTATCATCCTTCATTATTCTTCATTGTATCATTATTCTTTTTCTGATAGATATCGGAATAAGATGCAAAACAAGAAGTATTGATCCATATTTCACATACATATTTTTTTAAATAATTCCATTTATATTAATATGTTTTCAGAGTAAATTTGTAAATTTGATTGAACAAACCAATCACAACGGTCATGGCAGAGGACGAAGGCACCGAGTGGCTTCAGGAGCTGCTACACGATGTGCAACTGCCCCAGTTCTTTACGAGGATCCGGGACGATCTGCAGGTCACTCGCCTGCATCACTTTGATTACGTTCAGGCCGAGGACCTGGAAAAGATCGGCCTCGGTAAGCCTGGCGTCAGGCGACTGTTGGATGCAGTCAAGAAGAGACGCAGCACCCAGTGGAAGAAAAGTCTGATCACTAAGATCAGGCCTGGCGGCAGTACCAAGAGCAACAAGCGGTCCTCCCAACCCATCGAGACTTCCTCGATGCTGACGTGTCTCATACAGGAAAAGGACGTGACCCTGTCGATCAAACTGGGCGACGGCAGCTTCGGTGTGGTGAGAAGAGGCGAGTGGACCTCCCCCTCGGGACGGGCTTTTCCTGTCGCTGTAAAAGTCCTCAAGGCGGATGCTCTGACGCAGCCGAACGTTATAGAAGACTTCGTTTCTGAGGTGCAGGCGATGCACACTCTGGATCATCACAATCTTATTCGGTAACGTCCGTCCGCGCCGATTGAAGTCCACAGAGTCGTAAAAGTTCTCTTTGTTTCCCTCCTTAGATTCGCAGTTAAATTCTTGGTTCCAATAATATTCAGTATTAACGGATTTTTGGCCATTGCTAATCACACAGTACTCTTCTGAATTTTGCGAGTTATTGATCGCCAAATAATTAATGTTAATATAGACGAAGTAAATTTGCTTCTCTTTATTTATAGTCTGTACGGTGTGGTGTTGTCGCAACCGATGATGATGGTGACCGAGCTCGCACCTCTGGGCGCGTTGCTGGATTACTTGCGCCAGCAGTGCAGCAGAATCTCGGTCCTGACGCTCTGCAACTACGCGCTGCAGGTCGCCACGGGTATGGCGTACCTGGAAGCGAAACGTTTCCTACATCGTGACCTGGCGTGCAGAAACGTCTTGCTGAGCACCATCGACAAAATCAAAATCGGAGACTTCGGACTGATGAGGGCGCTTCCTCAGCAAGAGGACTGCTACGTTATGACTGAACATAAGAAGGTGACTCTTTATTTTCCACAATAAACGTCCATTCCTTGATTGATTATTGTTAATACAGAGTGTCTTCTAGTGAGGAAATATGGAGGAACACCGTGTCACACATTATCATCAATTAGCGACTGTTACAAAAACTAAGGTGTTCCATCAAGCACTGTTTGACTTTAATCTTTGTAACAGTCGCTAATTGGCGATAATGTACACTAGAAGTTAACGAATATTACATGTAAAATTGTCGAATAAAGTAGGTTTTTCCAGGAACGATTCACCACGGCCCCGATAGTCATTATAAACCTCTATTAGCTAATTACAGAACTTAAAACCTCATTAATCGTTCCTGGAGCAATTCAAACCCACTTAAAAGAAAGCTGATAGCTTTATCGTCAATTATCATTTTGATTTATTGCTATGTGTCGTCCAAAGATATTTGCTACTCGGCAGAATATGATGAATGCTGTGGAATATCAGTTATTATTTCTTTATTGCAACGCTGCTGGGCATGTTGAGTTTATACTGTATTATAATGAATAAACATATATCATGTATAGAAAGAGTCAAAAAACACCAAGAATCGCCACAAAGAAAGAAAGCAAGCAATTATATTTAATGCATGTAATAACTTATTAATAATTGCATTTATAATGTAACAATTACAAATATAAAAGGCAAAAGTTGACAGCCATGATACTGGCACAAATGTTCGACTCTGCTCCGCAGCTGTGCCGAATTCTTCTTCTAACTCCTCAATGAATTTCCTTGTCCAGGTGCCTTTCCCTTGGTGCGCGCCCGAATCCCTCAAAGCCCGGCAGTTCAGCCACGCGTCGGACGTCTGGATGTTCGGCGTGACGTTGTGGGAAATGCTGACCTTCGGAGAGGAGCCTTGGCTAGGCTTGAACGGCTCGGAGATCCTGCGGAAGATCGACCGGGAAGGCGAGCGGCTTTACGAGCCGGAAGCGACCCCGCCGTTCATATACGAACTGATGCTTCGCTGCTGGTCGAAGGAGCCTTCGGACAGGCCGACGTTCGCCTCGTTGAAGGAATCCTTGACCGGTATGATGCCGGCCGTGATGAAAGCCGTGAGTGCCTTCGAGGAGGCCGGCAAGATGTCCATCGAGCCGAGCGACCAAATCGTCATCATCGATGGACGCTCGGAGAACTACTGGTGGAAAGGGCAGAACCAGCGTACTTTCCAGGTGGCGCACTTCCCACGCTGCCTGGTGGACCCGATGCGCCGGAAGCAGCCGGAGGACATCAGCAAACCGTTGGAGAATTCATTCATCCACACAGGCCACGGGGCGCCGTTCGGCAAGAGCTGGGGCAGCCCTTCGTTCATCGACGACGTGTACCTGAGGAACCCCATGGATCCTCCGGACATACTGGTGGCGTCTTCAGCGGAGAACCAGTCGAAGAAGCGGTTCTCCTGCGGCACGCAACGTGCCAGGAAACAATTCAACTACACCAAACTCCGTAACGACGCGAGATCCAGCCCCGTGAAAGTTCCCCAGGCGGCGTCCGTCTCGGCAAGCAACCAAGAAGGCACCTTGATCGACCTGTCCGCCGAGGAGCTGGCGAACACGAGCAGCCTCGAGCAGGACGTCGCGTGTAGGCGAGTGATTAACATTCTGGACGAGCCGATCGACGCCGAGAGATTTCCCTGGCAGAATGAAAAGGGCGCCAGGACGTACGCAAACTTCCCCAACGTGGACCCCGCGTACTCCGACCCCTTCGACACGTCCGCGGTGTTCATGAAGCCTCCGCATTCGCGATACTACAGTCACGTGCCCACCGATACTAATCGCTACATGCAGACGTACAGCAACGTGGACGGCCAGGAGGCGTCGGGTAGCCAAGGCGCCGCGAATTGCTTCGGCTCTGACACGGAGGTACGTTTCCTCCGGCGAATCGGTTGTTTGATTCTCAGATTCAATTAATTTGGAACTTGGTTAAAAGTAAAAATTAACTCACCCGTTTGGTTAGAATCCTCAGTAATTCTAAGTCATAGTTGACCACGTGTCGCGAAGAATGTGTTATGTATTTACGGTTTTCTACGAACCCGGCATTAAAATAATATCCAAATTAAATGAAAATGAAGGATCATCGTTATATTTGGGAGAGAGTTCTTGTTTATTCGTCTCGTCGGTTCCAGGAGATTCGCCAATATTCGGTGAACCTGAACAAGGACAGCCAGCAGGACGCGGTGAATCTGAACGTGAACGCGGAGAGCGAAGAGGCCGCGAGTCACTACAGCGAGATAGACAAGGCTAGTCCGAACTGGTCCACGTGGCCGGAGGATCTACGGAACTCCGCCAGCGCGCAAACGTACGCCAACGTCTCCGCCAGCGGAGTCCCGTCGTCGTCGTCGTTCGTCACAGCTGCCACACCGCCTCCTCCGCCTTCCGTCGGCCCGAACGCCAGCCCGCCGAAGCCCAAGTCCAATTGCGAGCTCGCTCAGAGCATGAACGAGCTGTCGCTGAGTTCCAAGTCCGGTACCGTCGCGAAGAAGTTGGACCCGGTGTTCTTGGCCGAGCTGGAGAAACACCTGGGCGAGAAAGAGGCGAGCAAGAACACCAACGCCAGCGGGGAGAGCCAGGAGGAAGCGTCCGGCGCGAATTACCTTCGCTACTCATCGTTGGACAAGCTGCGGCAAGGCTCGCCGGCTCAGCTTTCCCCAGCCGCGGCGGAGGACAGATCGTCCTCGCTGATACCGGCGTTAAAGCCTCCGCCGCAGGTGTCGAAGCCGAGGTCGCCGGTGGCGATGATGGATCATCGGGGAGCGTCCTCCTCGTCGCCGACGCCTCTACCCGTACTCTGCAAGGTGCAGAACTCTTGGCCACCGAAGAGCACGAACGTCCCACGACCGGCCGTCCAGCAGAACGATCAACGCTTGGAGTCGACCACTGATGCGATAGTGGGACAAATCTGGCAGCAGACGCAGATGCTGCCCCAGCAGGGCGTTATTCACCCGACAGCCGATCTCGCTCGTCAAACATTCACGCCCAGCGTTGCCGCGCAGGCGAGCGTGAACCTGCTCCAAGAGGTTCCCGGCGACCTTCCTAGTAACAGTGCCAATGAGGCCGTTCGACACGGTCCCTGCAACGTGGCCAAGGCCACGCTCAGTCAGGCGCAAGCCTGCTCGTCGAACACTCCGTCGAATTACCTATCTGCGAACCTAAGTTCGTCGAACGCTTCCGGCCAGGATGCCTTCAACCTGCTGCAGATTGTCACCGGCAACGTTTCTGCGAACGGTACCAACGAAGCCCAATATGTTTCCAAAGGCAACTTCAAGCAGACGCAAGTCTGCTCGTCGACCGGCCAAAATTACCTTCACAACCCGTCGACGAGCGGCACCATCGGCGGCTTTAACCTGCTTCAGACCGTCAATCAGATTCCCGTCGCGAACGAGTCCCAGTATGGGCCCTGCAACATTTCCAAGGCCACCTCCAACCAGGCGCAAGCTGCCTGCTCGTCGTTAAGCCATAATTACTTGGGAAATGTTGCGACGACCGTTAATCAGAGCGGCAATTTTGCCGCGCATCAGAGCGCGCCGGTGTCGTCCAACGTGTCGAGCAACGCTCATGGGATCACCCACATACAGAACGATTTGCAGCAACAGCAGCATACCAAGTCCACCGGGCTCTTTTACGAACAAGTGTACGCCGAGTTGAAACAAAACGTATGTAAAACATAATTGTTGCCGATCACATTTTGAACATTGAATCGGGGTTGGCTCCGGGATAATTCCAGTAGGTGGGAAAAAAACTAGGGTGAATTCCGGTTTTTACTTTCTCTTTGTCTGGACTTTCGTCGACCCTGCCCTTGAATATATTGAGAAAAATATCATTCACAGTTTCAAATTAAAATTTACTAAAATGAAAATTGTTTGGGAAACAAACTGACGGTCAAAACCGGCAAATTAGTAAAATCGGTTTAAGCGATCAAACTGATTAAAACGAAAGTTGTTTGGGAAACAAGTCGATACTTCAAAGCAACTAATGTCATAATATTATTATATATCCATATCTTCGAAATATGTTTCACAGGTACCTAATCTGGATCAACTGTCTCAGAACGAGTTCAATACTCTCTACAACAAGACTGTCCAGCAGAACATTCTCCGGAACTACTATTCCCACAATCTGTGCAGCGAGCCGAGCCAAACTCACGCTCAAGAAACCGTCAGCGGTCAGCAGCAGAAGAGCAGCATCGGCAGGAGTCAGCAGCCTGTTCAAGGGCACTTTTGCGATTTCAGCCCTTATTTGAAGCAGCCGCCGATTTACAATCCTCCGCCTCCGCCGGCAATGAGCCCGCTGAAATCCGGTGCGAACGGTTACGTGCAGAATCACTGTCCCACGGCGAAGTGCAACCTGATCCAGCCGAATCTGCTGCAGGCCGAAACGTCGGGCAGGAGCGCGTCCGGGCCGATGGCGACGAGCGACGCCGCCAAGGTGAACTTGCAGATGCTCGGTCAATATCAGCAGCACCACCCGGTCGGCACCAGTCCGCCACTCACCGCAGCGTCGCAGCAATTGGTGATGTCATTGAACGACGAGTTCAGGGCCAGCAGGGTCATGAGGGTGCAGAGAGAAGCCGCGGACGCCTCGCAGCAGGAGGTGCTGGCCGCGCTGCAGGCGACCGGCTGGGACACCAGCCAAGCGGCCAAGCAGATCACGACGGACAGGCAGGCGAAGGTCGAGAATCTCGTGAGGTGAGCTGTCTCCGCGAGATTACCCGTGGCCGGCAGAGCTATTCTGTAACTTCGACTTTCTTCTTTTTTCCATATGCCAAGCAACTGATGCAGTTGCAAGAAACAGACTTATAGAAAGGAATTGAATGTTGAATATTGTACAACTGATTGGCAGGTTGGGCTTGGCTAGTCGGCAGCAGTGCGAGAGCGCTTTGAAGCAGACTGAATACGACGTAGAAATGGCGGCTTCGTTACTGCTCGATCAAGCCAGATGAGGAACAGCCGTAATCAATTCCACGTCCTAAGACTTCCTGTGACATTAGCTATTAACTGCGCAATGCGGATATATATATACATACATACATACACGGAGATTTATTTATGGAACAATGAAACGCAACAAACGGAAGCCATTTCGCCCGAAAGCGAAGCTCTGCCAGTAATCATTCATATATTTTTCTTCGGCGTACCCTTTGCATTCCAGTCTACATCGCGATTTAGTATTAATAGTAATCAATGTCCATTGTTCGAGGGAGATAAGGGCAGCTGTTTACGCATAATGATCGGCAGGCGATATCGAGGATATTGCCGCCGATGTTACATCACTCGTAATAACTCGTAATTAACGTAAATCTGAAACTGTGATATGTGATACGTTGATCTCTATCTGGATTTACGATTGCGATCCTGTTAAATAGATCTTGTTAGCGCTGTTGCGATAGAAGATCAACAAATTATTTATGACGACGGATAGGTGCGGGCAGGAAAAAGTTTTGAGAGATTAATATGTAATATATATTATATATGATGGATATACTCGATACAGTGTAATATATGTGTGTGTGTGTGTGTGTGTGTGTGTGTATGTGTGTGTATATCATATATCGCGAATAATATAATTACATTCTATGCATGTGCATACGTATACAATGTGCATATACGTACACAGTGCAGAAGTCGAAAACTGTGAGGAATTTAGAATTCGAGGAAACCTGAACAGAACCTAGAATCTTGTAACATGAGAATACTAAAGGTTCGAACTACTAATTCGAAGTTGCTGAGAATCCGAGAATACAAAAGTCTAAAAAGCCTAGGATCTAAAGATTTCTTAGGACTGAAAATTCGATGCTTTAAATGCGATAGGAATATATATTTAAAAATCCAAGAATATATAAGAGACTATACGAGCCGGGGATGAGAAATAGTTGAAAGTAGTTATTATTATTATTGATACATAAAATTATATCGAACAATGTGTGAGAAAGAAAAGTCACACAAGTGTGATGTCACCGTAAGTCCAGGTAAGGATTAGGAGATTTCAACTGTATTATCCTGACATATATATGTATATATATACACACACACACACATACACACACCCACACACACACACACACACACATGTATATATATGTGTGTATATATAAGTATGTATGTATGTATATGTATGTATATGTATATGTTTTCTTCCTATATTCGTCGAGAAATATTGAAAGGGAAAGAAAGAGTTATTTTATTAAGTAAATCGAACCGGAAGTGTACATAACTGTTAGCATAATTTTTGATTTAAGCTTACACTCTACTTATACTCGTTTTTTTTGTCTTTAGGGCATCTTGTTTGAAATGAACGAACAGATAATATTGATTGATAAATAAAGAACTGCAGTGTCAAGTTTTGGTCTATATATGTATATATATGTATATATGTGTGTATACGAACACCTGAGAGAATATGCGCGCGAAAAACGACGTCTAACTCCATGCTCCCCGAATCCCCCCGTCCAAATCAAAATCTAGACTCTTAGACCCACTTTCGAAAGTGGAGCGCGCATCCCCGCGGGTGTGCGCGCCGCTTTGGTTCCGCTTGACGCATCATCCGTCATGGGATTCAAAATGCGACGATTGAGCCGCGGTCGCGCGGACGTGAAAGTCTCCGTGCGCGGTTTCACCGGGAGGAGAGGAGCACAAGTGGAAAAGGGTTTCGGCTTTCGCGGGGGCCGCAGATGCGAAACTGCAGCCGCGGCGTAAGCAACGCGCCTCAGCACGCCGTGCGAAAGGACGAAGGACGTAGGAAGCGCGTCCTGTTGAATTTATCGCCTGGCCGACTTCAATCGCACCAGCGGCTTTGCCGTCGCAAGGCTGCGATAAAGTCGCGAACCACAAAACCACACGTTTAATTGATTAATTAATAAGCACGTAAATAGCAACGAACGATACGGATCTAATCCGGCAAACGACGGATGACGCGTAATTGTTTGGAAAGGAACCAACTGGGGAGTGGAGGAATGTGTCCTTGCGATTGAGAAAGTGAGGAAGGCGGGATAGAGATAAAAGTGTTACATATGTAAGTAACTCATTAATGAGTGAGCTGAGTTTATTAAATGTGTGTTGTGAATGTATGTGTATTAAGTACATACGTCGTTTTCTCTTCAGAGAATTTCACTCGAAAGAGCGAGGATAAGGAAAGGAAGACGGCGACGAGAGAGAATCCTCTGAACTCGTCAGGTAAGATGATTTTTCGATATGTAGCAAGAAGAAAAGTTCAAAAAAAATGTAATCGATAAGAAGTTTTGAAAGATATAGAGAGTTCTGGATTTGTCGGGGAATCTTTAGATAATAAGATTAACAACGGTCGATGTATTCTTAAGGAATAATTCGTAAAAGAGCACGCACAATTTGTTCATATTTTCGAAAACACGAATTGATTAATTGTTTGTTTCTCATTTCTCTGTTAACGCCGAATTTTTCTTGGAAATATAATTTTGAAGGCTTGGAAAAGACCTGGTTTTTTCCTATTTTTCTGCATATTTCTTGGATTTCTGTTCTAAAGGTGGAAACGTTTGTTTTGAAAAATTCACAGAAAAATTGAAAAAAACTCGGTTTTTCGAGCCTTTCAAACTATACTCTGAAACTTCCCAGTAAAACATTTTCCTATATAATTTTCATATATAATTAGATTTTATTATAATTTTCATATATAATTAGATATAATTATATATAAAGCGTCATATTTAGAATTTGTCGATATGTAAAAATATATAATTACATGTGAAGTGGTGAGAGAGAGAGTTAATATATATAATTATATATTAATAATAATATAATCATACATAATCTATTATATACAAGTCATATATATATATATTTTTTTTTTATACATGGACATATATACTCTATATATTAATAATATATGGGAAATTTTTCCCCCCGGGTTCCAACATACAGTTTGAGGGAGCGACAGAGGTGATTAAGTATTACATAAGAAAGTACGGTGAACGTCGTCGTGAAGGCAAAGAAAAAGAAAAGAAAAAAAGAAAGAGTTCAATGACATTTTCCCGAAGATCCGCACCGCCGCATCGCAGAGGTGAGGAACGAGAGCAGGAGAATGCCGGCGGAATCGTCGATCTATTGGAGCTCGGTCGACTCCCGAAGATCGACCTCCGGCAGTTCCGGAAGCGGCGGTGGCCGGCATTACGTGGACCCGTGGGACCTGGAGAACTATGCTTACCTGCGTCGGCACAGCGTCGCCGACGTGCCACGCCGTACGCGACGGCCTCCCACGCATGAGCGTTCCCTCCGCGATGCGCCGCGAGCACGCTCGGAATATTGGTAATAATACATGAGAAGTTCCGGCAATAGTATGCAAAAACAATCGCAGGTCGTGCACGGTCGAATTACCGAGAGTTTTCAACGGGAACTCCTCGCGTTCCCCGACGGAACTCTCTCAACTTTGCGAGTCCCCGGATCGCGGCGGTGAAACCAACCGCGACGGCAGGCTTCTGATTGGCGCTCCGGTGTTTCGAAGGCTTTGACATTTCGAATTTCGAAGCTGCGAAACATACAGAGAAAACAATCAGTGTTGAATCAAGAATAGATATTCTCATATGTAAATGATAATGATATTATAATCTCCTTGGAAGATTTTTAGTATCTCATCGGTTGGATTTCTCAGCAGGCTTTCATTTCTTTCTCGGTTAATTGATCTTCGAAATTCTTCAGGTACGCGTCCTCGCCGAGAGAGCCGGAATACGATGGTTCTCCGTACGCGCAGGAATTACACCGCGGACCAGTTAGGCCGACAAACAATGGCTGCTATTATCAGCAAGCTATCTACGAGGACGAGGGAATGGATTACGCCGCGCCGCTTCCGGTCTACGCGCCCGTGCTCGGTAAGGCCCATCTCTGCGAGATGCTCACGAAACGTGTAATCATTTGGGAAAGCGCTTAATTAGCCGTTAGCACGCCATCCTCCTTGCGATTAAAAAGATCTCAGTTCAGAGAGAACGTCTTACCACGGTGGGTTTCTCAAATCCGTTAGAGAGAACATTTCAGAGGTATGAAAAGAGTATTCATATAATTATATCACACAAGGTGACTGTTCTGTCAGAATGTCCGAGCGATTAATTCGACAATCGGTGCCAAATCAGTCACAAATAGTGTAGATTTCATTTGCGAAATACTTATTTAAGGTAGCTGGCCCGTAGAATGCCAGATTTTCAGTAGCAATATTAAGGGATATATAAGTTTATTTAATGAAAAAAAAAAAAATTACTTTCTTATAACTTTACTTAACTATCTAATGCCGGCTTCTACCATGATGGGTTTAAATAAAAAATCAACGATTAACTCAATGAAATTGACCAATTGGCTGATGTATTGATCGGTTAATTAGTCAATGCGATTAGCCAATTACTCGGAGTTAATCGTCGAATGGATTAAAATCATGATGATAGAAACGGACATTAGGTAGTTGAATAAAACGTTATGAGAAAGTATCTTCTTTTAATTAAATAAACTTATGTCATGATGGTAGGTATGATGAACGGGTATAAATAATAAATGCTAATGTTGAGCGCGCGCGAAATTAAGACAAGTATGTACACAATATTACAAACACGGAGATATTATTTCTTCATCTTACTCATGCTTTATTCATACGTCAGTTGAGCTAATAAATTGAGCTAACGCGTATAATAGAAAGTGATACGTAAATATTTAAATACATGTACATCTACAATCGGCATAATAAAAGTTGCAACACTTTCTTTTTGATAAGTTTCGCAACGCTTTCGATGCCCAACGGGAGAATTTATCTTTTGGTAATTCTCAATAAATACATCTTTCCTATTGGATACGAAGTAAGTTGCGAAACTCATCTAAAAAAAAGTGTTGCAACTTTCATTATGCCAACTGTACAGCACTAAACAGGAAGTTTGCGGCGCTTTTTTCATGAGCTTCACAATGCATCTCGCACCCGAAAGGAAAATGTATCTTCTGAAGATAACTAAGAAACAAATTCTCCCATTGCACGCGTTCCCAAATGATCAGTAATTTTGAAATCGTGCATAATGTCTCTGTATTAATCCTTAATACCACAATAGTTGTTCACTAATCATTAAAACCATAATAAATAAATAGTATTGGCCGTAATAACAAAAGTGATTTAGAAGAAATTAAAAATAGAAGTTAAAGATAGGACATTAGCCTCTCCGAGAAATATAAAAGTAAAAAGTATCATTTTTAGTGACGAATATCTCAGCATCCGGATGACCGATCGTTTTCCAACATTGCAGACGTGCAGACAGCATTTCCGTATCAATATACAGTTGAAATTTGAAAGAACGTCGGTTCGGGTCAACTACTTTAAGGAGATACACTCCTCGCGATATTGATCGGGCTTCAGATTTCACTGGCTCTTGGCAAAAAGGGCAAAACGGGACGTGATGGTCGAGAACGACGCGTTTTCCAATCATTTTCCCGATTCGCGACGCGCCTCGAGAAATCGAAGAACGGTTTCTAGTCCGCGGCGTTAGAAAGTTTTTACGCGCTGTCGTTACACGATGCGATGCGGTCTTTATGTCGACACGCTGTCACGAGCATTCGCACGACGCGTTCCGTGCATCGTACGAATCGATCTTCACCGCGTAATTGCAATTTCGAGCGCGCGGGGACTTTCTCCCCCAGATATTAAATCATGCGCGAAACTCGGCGGCGAACGAGCGCGCGCGCGCGCAACAATTTACCTCGAGTGCACCGCGATGATTGAAGCGAGTTGCGCGGGCCGTAAAAAATGTATTCGCGACTTCTCCTCCTCCGCTTGTGCTCCGAATTTTCTGCACGCTGCATCCACCTCCAGACGAGCGACACGCGTCACACGACAGCTGTATGTGATTTGCAATCCGTGTAATCTTAATAATAGAACACCCTCCGATCGTACGAGTAAACTACCACCGACTCACGTGGCGAATCGTTCTCCTTAGAAATTTCCAGATTCCCGCCGCAGGAAGAGAGAAACTTGTCACACGCGATCTACGACGACAGATACGTGATAGAGGCGATACCACCGCCGCATATTGATCTGAACACGTACGGCCACTTGAAGATCGACTACACGAACAGCTGGAACTCGCTCAATCGCCGAATTAGCAAGTAGAAAACTGCGTTCGCGAATCAGAGCTGGCTTCCAGCACTCAATATCTCGCGTGAATATCTCACGTGCTGAGAGTGAGAGAAATGTTTTCCGAGAAAGATATTATTAACGAAACACGCGAAATATATGTTACGTAAATAATTCTGTTATGTATTCTTATAATGAAAATCTCTTCAGATTAGGAGAGAAGATAATCCGCTAATTGTGTTACTCTCTAATTCTTCTTATATCTCACTTATTTATTGCCTATTTATCTCTTGTTTGTTTATATATTAGTGTCTCTGTACTTTGTTGTCTTTCGTGAAATATTATATGTAAAATGAAATATTAATTATTATTTAATTACGAAATATTATTAATAAATTATTTACACGAGAAACTTATCGACAATATATACACACGTATATATTATCTTAATATCACAATGAGGGAAATGTGTAAATTATGATACTAAAATCCTACGTGTAGAGTAATTTACAAATAATATCGCCTTTAATTGATATCGATTGTAGTTTCATTATCCAGTTGAAACAATTTTCTCCTTTTTATGGTGATTTTACGAATTTCCAACTCAGGGAACCTTGAACAATATTATAATTTCATATTAAGATCAATTATACTTTGCTACCATGTTATTTTATGTGTATGTTAATCTTCTCGAATTTTTATAATTCAGACATTTATAGAGCTGTTAAGTATAATCAAAATGTCAGAATTATTTTCCAAAAATAATTCAACAATTGCCTGAGCATAAAATCAATTGAAAAATATTCGAATGCATGTTCTATAGTTTTCTCACTTTTTTGTTTTCTGTACTTCTTCTTCATCTATGAGGGCAGGATGCTTCTCTGTGGTCTTTTTTTTGTTTTTTCCTAATATATTGTGTTTTGTTTGCGGTAACTAGATGAAAATCAATTTCCACTCGGTAAAGCGCAATGAAAAGAGAAAAATTTGTGGCAATAAATAAGTCATTAACGAGTAATTTACCAATTAAATTGAATTCATCAGTGAGAAATTTTAATGAATTTAACGGTAAATAATATAATTATTAATAATTATTACACTATAATTACACTATAATTCACAGAAATATAATTCACAGAAAGATATATATAGGTAAAATATACCTGAAGCGCCCTCGCGGTCTCATCCTCCAAAAGACATTTGTATTTAGAAATTTCGTCCTTATGCTGCTGATCTCGTGATATTATCTGTTGCTTGTACTCATTGCTAAGCTGTGCTACTTGCATTCGTAAATCTGCGATTTCGTTTTGCAATTTGGAAACTGCAAGGAAAATTACTTGAGTTCTCTATTTTTCATGTACATTTACGAATTTTTGCACCGATCTCTCTTAATTTGCACTTTGCAATTAATTTCCTTACGTATGATCGTTTCGTGAGAGTCGGTAAAAGGTTAAAATAAGCCAGAAATCATTAACATAACGTTATTACAATGACATTTCATAACATGCAATGTTTTCGAATATGTAGTTCTTAATATTGTGTACAATGTCATTGTTAACAATATTTCACTCAAACATTAAAAATATAATATTTCTATACTATGATTTTAATACTTAAGATTATTATATTACCAAGTAACAGTTTTTAAAAACATTTACAAGATATCTTACTTACTAGGTACTTTTTAGCAGAGACACAGAAATATGTGCAAAAATTTTATTTACTCTATTTATGAATTTTACTCATGTGTAGAAACTATAAAGGAATGTGATGAGATAGAGTTTTTTCTTAACGGCTCAGAATAATTGCAAAAATTCTGTCGCACATTCTGACATGATCACTTTGTCTCGGAAATGATAAGCATCGCGACACCCGTTTCGTCCTACCTTTGATGTTGTTCGCGAGCTCGTCTTGATCGCGTTTACGTTGCATGTCAGTTAAGGTATATCGCAAATCTTCATTCTCCTTTTCCAGACAGCCTAGATACATTTTGTGATGAGCCTCGCGTTCCGTCAGCCAGGAGACCATATCCTTCAATTTGATTTCTGCCTTTTTCGTTTGCTCGCGCTCCAGTTCGATGCATTGCTGCTGCTCTGTGTTTAAAATGCGCAGCGTGGAAACAGTCTGCGTACGTAAGATATATTGTTTTTCTTTTACCAAAGCAACTCGAGATTAAGTAGAGATTGCAATATTGCAATACGTAATATTGGCTCTGTTCAGCAGGAAAAGCAACTAGTGCTTTCCAACCGTTGTAAGATTTCTTGCTGAACGCCTTAAAGCTTTTACGCGTAAGAAATTTTTAATCGTAACCACAAGCTCGTGAGAAAACTGACCAATCACAGTTAATTATTCTTTCGACCGAAAGGAGATAATCGATTATGATTGATTAGTTTTCTTATGAATTTACGGTTACGACTAAAGATTTATAATGTGCAAAGGCCTTTGACAACTTACGCTGTTCCAATGCTTACATGCTTATTAAACACCCTGATGGAAATATTTCGTTTAAATGCTTTTTCAATTGACCATATTTATTAATATACGTAGTTTTCTGTTCAGCGATTCAGTAAATTTCATATCCAATATTCCAAAAATTTCTTTATTAGAATTTCAAAATTATACTTTAATTTTCACTATATTTCACAGCCTTAAATTAAATTTCATGATGAAAATCACGATTTATTTTGAAATAAATGAAAATTATTATTTATTTTGAAGTTTATTATTATATATTTTAATAATTTTTCAGTAACTTTCATCTCACTATTCAAGTTTATAGTATACTAGTACTTGAATATAGAGAAAGTTAAATATACTGTTGGAGTTTACTGAATTTAACTGAAAATTGCGTACATTGACGGAATGATAATAGGGTCAACTGAAAGAGAATTTCAGTAAAATTTTCGGCATCATATTTCCATCAGGATGGCCCAGTGTATCAAAATATGCTGGGAAAAATGGTAATCGCTTAGCAAATATGTTAGGAAAAAATAAGTCATATCGTTTAGCAGAAAATTTTACAATTGCAAAACTGTTGCAGCAAAAAGCGTTTACTAAGCTGCCTTTGTTGTTAGACGCAGCTATTGAAATAGATCTGTTTCACCTCCCTTTCCCCTCCTAACTCTTCCTCCCGATGGTTTTCGGTTTCGCGTATCAATCGCGATTGAACTTGCATCATAATCAAAATTGTGTCACTCTCGACTTCGACTTGAACCTAACTAAAGACTTTGGAGACTAGCCTTCGGGTTGTCCGCCATAATTGAGAAGAAGACTTGGAGTAGAAGTAAGAAACAGGATTCTTCACTCACGTGGCACATTTCTACATACTGGTCCAACAGTTTCCGAAGGTCGGGACGCAGCATTGTGTTGTAGCTTGTCCTGCCAATTTTCGAGGACTTCTTCGACCTTCGTCAAAACAACTGCGACACAAAAAATGTGCGAAAGTGCAGGAAATACGTAGCAAACGAAATAATCGATCATAGAAGGGAGCCTGAGAAAATTTCGAGGAAATTACTAATGCCTCCCCCGTGTGTCTCCTGCTTATTTTTCGATCCCTTACAGAAAAATATTACTGGCTGCGATTGAAATTAGCCAGTGATAACCCATTTAGCACAGACATCTTAAAGACATCCACAGAACGTCCTTCGGATAAAGTGTGCTATATGAGAAATCACTGTAGCTCGGCAATTATTATTAGTTAATATTAGTAGATTTATTATTTGTACGATATTCGCGATAAAACTACCGAGTGACAATAATAATTTATCACAGACAATAATATTTTTTTTGCAAGGGATTCTACTCGTACATAGAAATTGTAAGATAGTGGCGAGATACTTTCCCTTCGGTTGCAAGAAAATCGTATTCATTTTATCGCTCATATATATGTTTCCGTTACCTCGAGAATTATGACAATCACGATACTCTTATTGTTTTTACCTCTAACGTCTTTCGGGGACGCAACCCGATCTCGCTCACTTTGCATTTTGGCTGNCCCCCCCCCCCCCCAAATTGTGTTTTTTGGCGCGAACATAGGTGGCACCCATGTGATTAATGGCCGCATTCAGCGGAAGGGGGGACGTTTATTTTACGACCGTTGGAAGTTTTGCGTGTTGAGGTTGGATTATTCCTCCAGACCTAAAATAATAATCCGATCTCAGCCCGGAAAATTCCCAACAGATGCAAAATAAACGTTCTGAACGTAGTTAATGTTTATCGCGCTATTCATGTCCGTTTTTACCATCATGGTTTAAATCTAATCGACTCAACGGAATTGGCCAATCCCATTGGCCAATTGATTGAACTGCAATGCAAATGCAATTGGTGAATTCCGTTGAGTTGTCGATTAGATTTCACGACGTAACGGGCATCAGACGAACTCTCGTATAGAAGAAAACTACAAGAATGTGAAAGAATGACTGAAACGTAGCTGTAGGTTGTCTGAATGTAAGTAAATGCGAAAGAAATAAACGACTCGAGAAGATCCGTTCATCGAGACGTAAGGAGTCCTTTATTTCGATCTTTCGCTATATTATCGTAGTGTTAATAATAGGCGACTATAAAACGGTATAGTACAGTAGCGATACGTTTGTCATAGTGTGTCAAGGATTCAATAATTCGAGGATCACGCGATCCAGGTATGTATAACGCTCAAGGATCACATTTAGAATCCGTGGAAAGAAATATCCATGGAAATGAACACCACAGATCCGTTCCGGAGGACCTCGAAATCCAAGTGCAATCTACATATATTCGAAAATCCAGAAAAATAACGATATATACTCTCGCTCTGAGAACCAAAGGACAGACTGCGGGAGATACAAAATAATTTTTTCGGAGGCTTCTCGAGCGGTGCCGTCTGTGATTTGGTTCGTACACATTCGCATTACGCGCATCATGCTATTGCAAAATAAATAATTACACTTAAGACATACCTTTTTAGTTTTACAATTAAATGAAAAGTTAGACGAAGCAAATATATCTTGTCAATGCTAATATCGTCGATATATCTCGTCCTTGTGTGACTCGTTCGCTCGAGGACTCTGCTAACCCTTTCGAGACGGAATTACGTTTCTCAAGTATTGCTTCGGTCCACGTACAAGGCCACGAATTTCAAATCAAACCATTTTACATGACAATGTTTCTTGCTTATCAGGTGGAACACGACTGACGATTCCTTGTTGAAAGGAATTGAGCCGAGGTTCGTCCCTAATGGAATTGATTTCTCAACGGCTTCGAAGCAAAAGATTACTTCAAAAATTGTCGCATCCACACATTTCTACTCTTTAGGAGAGGAACGATTTATTCTCTTACTAAGAGTAAACTAAGATTAATTCCTTAACGAAAATTACATTAAATCATAAAGTTACCTCACGATATCATGATCGGAAACTTAATGAAGTATCAGAACTTCCTGTGAGAAGTTAAATATTTGTCATTAAAATATATAATCTTTTCTTTTTCTTTGTTTAGAAANTGTATATATATATATATATATATACTATATATATATTATACATATACATATATATATATATTCCTATATGCATATGTATATATCAACTAATCCTAATCACCAAATGTACACACTTCCACTCGCTCGCACACTTCGGCGAACACGAACGCATTTACGATTACGGTAAAGTCTCGTTGCAGCAAGACTACTCGTACTGGGATTACTCATACTGAGCTTGTTACAGTGAAGTCGTGTCATGAAAGATCTACTTTGGATCCTCACAATTCCTTCAGTGATTCTTGTGCCTTCGATAGCTACATCATATATTCCACGCGACCGTCGTTGCAACGAAACTTTGCCGAATAGCTATTTGTCGCCTTGGTCGTCGCGTTTTTTTTTCTTTTTTTTTTAGGAAGAAGTTTAAGTACAGCTTGGCCTGAGATCGGATGACTAGCATTTCCGGTTGTTGTTCGCGCCACTGTTCTGAATGCGCAAACGGTCCTGGCGACGAAGACGTTTGCCCGTGATTTGTCGCACTTTGTTGCTTCTCTCCAGACGGCCCTTCTTCAGCTTCTGAGTCGAGCGTTTCTGCAGCACCTATCGGGGAATAAAAGAAAGGTAATTTTATGGTAAGATTTCCAGGAACTCGAGGGAGTTACTATTTAAGAATGTATTTGCCCATAACTTAACATGGAAAAATTATAAATTGATCTACATCGCATTTAAAAGTGGCGCCGAAACTTTGACGATAATTCAGAGCCTGGAATCATAGTTATTCCGCTTTAAAGGAAGTGATAAAGTGAAATAAGTAGAAATGTGCGAATTAAGGATTTTTTTACGTCGAATCGAATCGCACTTTTTATTTTCGAATCCGAATAGAATGGAATGAAATTGAATCGAATTGTTAAAAATAAATGTATAGGAATGTAATTTCACTTGACAAATCCTAAATTTATGTAATTCATTTATGAGTCGCAATCCCCTTGATGCGTCACTGACAAATACGGCGCTAATGGGCGATGTGTTCTTAACAATAGTGGATGTTTTTCATTTAGTGACACAAGTCGACACAAGCATCATTTTGTCTTCGTTCCATATTTAATGAATAACAAAGATAGGATGACGCTTGTGTGTGTCCACTTGTGGACACTCTTTAAATGGAAAGTGTCGACACAACAACAGCGGCAACTCGTTCATACCTTTTGAGCGGAACGGAGCTGATTCGTTATCCTAACTCTATTCTCGTCGTTCCATTCAGACGTGAGCGGTCTGTCATCGTGGATGGCGGTTCTGTGCGCGAATTCGTTGAGGTCGTTGAGGTCGGGGTTGCGATCTCGGTCTGGACTGGAGTCCAAGGACGTGGACGAGGTGGATAGCGTGGACGTGGAGGACATGAGAGCGAACGGCAACAAGAAAAAGCCCACCGGCTCCTCGAGCTCCTCCGCCGTGTCCGGCGTGGGGGGCGGAGTGTCAGGAGTAACATGAGACGTCGTCGCGCGGTAGACGGACATGCTGGGGTGCTCTATCAGCAGGTTCTCCATAGGCGATGTCTCCACGATCACGGGCCCCACCTGCGTGAAGCATGCGGGTGGTGTTACGTACCACGACTCCTCCAGCGCCGACGTGCCCTCAGCTGCAAGGAGAAGAGGGAGAAGCTTTAACACAATTCTGAAATAATCAAAGTTGCAGAAATAAAATATGAAAAAAAGATAAAATTATAGAAAGGAAAAAAGAAAAAATATTAAAGGAGATAAAATTATAGAAAGGAAAAAAGAAAAAATATTAAAGGAGAGGAATTCAAGTTTAAATTTCATTCTAATGCGTTAATATATATATATATATATATATATATATATATTAATCGCATTGGTTGTTAATAATTAACAGATAATTAACATTCTCTCAGATTAATTATTTGGTTACTTGAAAAGTCAAACTGTTTAAATTTAAATTAAATATAAGTGAATTTAAATTAAATTATTGAAATTTTACTCTCTTCTATGTCACAGTCACTTTCGATCGGGTAATGATCCGACAGATCGCGTACCAGCTCGGTTAATGAGGATCCAATCGTCGCCCTCGACCTCCATCTGCCTAAACCTCCGCATTATCGAGCGAGACGTTAAGGGATCACCCTCGAGCGAATCCTGCGTACCAGAGAAGTTCCCTCCGAACAGGTAGTTCACTAAGCTGCCCAACATCTTGACCCGTTACCGTCCGACGCCTGTAACGTGAGAAGCTAATGAATACACGAAGGTGCGCGAATCGTGGAAATTGCTTTGATATGCGAATTCCGCGAATGTGGGTCCGTTAGACGGGCAATTTCGGAAAGTATTCTTAGATTCTTCGGAATTTGTGGATTCTGAAACGAATCCTTGGACCGTTGCATCTTGGACTTCCACTATTCACCCTCGTCCCCCCCCCCCCTCTCTCTCCCTCTCTCTGTTGTATAATCTCGACGTGTTTCCGTGGGCGGGAGAGCGAGCGAAGCGATCACGGCGATCACGGCGACCTTGATCTCGAATTTGCTTCTCTTCGGCTAGAAGGGCAGCGAGTCTCCCAGCGAGTAGTTTTCCTCGGTGCATAATCACGCGCCAACTAATACGACCGCAATCTGACAGATACACACGCGACTCGCGCAACCCGCTCCTCTCTTTCGTTCCAAGTCTTTTCTACCAGAGTGACGTAAGTCCTTCTTCAGATGTATCGTTAAGTCTAGAACGCACGGTCCGCTCGCATCGTATACGCAAATTAGCGTTATTTATCTACCGATATAGTACAAATAGATAGAGAGAGNTATATATATATATATATATCGTTCGTTTTTAATTAGGTTTCTACGACTTGTGTTTTTATCACCGACGTCCACGAAGATCTGTTTGTACGCGTTTGTTGTGCGCACGCGTTTGTTCCTCCTAACTATACTTTCTACGTTCTCGTTCCGTTTTCTCTTCCTGAAACGCTCAAAGCGTGAATATCAGGTTGTTTCATCTCCGAGTAGAGGGTAAAAATACGGAGGATAGACCTTGAACCGTCATCTCTTACTCGCAACGTGTCAAATGGTGCTAATAATACGGCTTTTCCAAATCGAAGTATTACATAATATTAGCCACAACGGGAACTGTGCTGCTCTCTTTGTGTGATCTATGATTTATCTGTTACTACGATAAGAAAAACGAATCGTCGCGTATGTCGACATGCAGGACGACAGATAGGAATTTTGCTCGCGAATTCCACGAACGGGATGCTTTACATTTATCAAGCAATCGGGATGGCTCTCTTTTCTATTTAAACTAAAATTAGATATCAATAAATAATCCAAATTAGAGGTCGGATAATTATAAAATCCGGTGCGCCGTAAAATCGTAGCGGGGATCAGTCGATCGAAGCCTTGTTCTCGATAATCAAGACACTCAGAATGCGATGCGAGTTATTTAAGCAATTAATTAATATGTATAGCCATTGAATATAACAAGACTGCAGGCCAATCGGAATGTGAATTACCCGGACGGCCAGTTATGGTGCAAGCTGTCCCATCCCGTTCAATTAATGACGATTATGAGACAACAGCGACTCCGCGCGCGTACTCGAACTGATAAAGAAGATCCGCAGAAATAGAGTTCTCTGCACTCTCTCTCTCACTCTCTCTCTCTTTCTCTTCCTCTGTCGTAGCCACCAACTACGTAGTTAATTGTCTCGGGCTCGCGTAGTACGCTTCCAATTTAAATATCACGCGAGTGTTCGACGCGCGCGGGGTAGTCAGGGCCGAAGGGACAAAAACAAAAGATAAATCCCGCCCGTAGATAAATTCAATTACGAGAGAACGCCCAATTCCTCGATTTAATAATAACTCGGGTTCAGAATATGCGGGATAAACAAACCGTCGCCGGGAACGGGGATGTGGGTGGAAGTGTCCGCGACAGTTCGGCGACACCCGGTACATCGGGTCTCGTGCGCGAGCGATATTTTCCTTAATGCTCGCATAATTGCAACGGGCTCACAACGGCAAGCTCTAATGAGCGACCGGATTTCTCTGTCGCGCGCACGAGCGGGGGAGTTTACAGATTGTATAATTGATTTTTACCGTGACATCATCCCCGGCTTATTCCACAATTGGCTGAATGACTTACATCATTCGCGAGTTCTCCGAGCTGTCGCCTCGGGTGGCGACAACACTCGAGAATTCGAGGGATTACGGCGAGAAGAGGCCAATCCTCGTTTCACGAGATCACCCACAAAAACGTATCACGAGCGTGCATGCGGTCGTTGAACGATCGAACGTAAGCACAACAACAACGAGAACGACGACAAAGACCGACGGTCTCATGGGCGAAAGCGCCTTCTTCTCGCGTCCGAGCCGCAATTTCCCTCATTTTTCCGCGCACTGATCGCGATGATCGCCGCTAAGTGGCCATCGCCGTGGACGGAAAGAAATCGACAGGCCGTGCTCGCCGTCACCGAGCGCGATTCCGCCGTCGTCTTCCCTCAGGAAGACGCGCCGAAGGGCCCGTCTCTCCCTCGTCCGCGAGAGCGTCTCTCGAATTCTCTTTCGAATTTCGCTCTCTCGCGCGCACTTCCCCGCACACTCCGACTGACGCAACATTGACAAACGCGTGACGCCGCGCGCACCAACAGCTCCGCCGTACACAGATCATTAATGCCAGGACACGGTCGTCGAAGTTCCCGGTGATCGAAACTGCGACGTGCGGGCGATTGATGCAATTTCAGGACTGTCATCGTCGTTGAACGGCGGAAAAGCGCACGGTTTTTAACGGCGCAACGACAAAGGGAGAGTCGGGCCGAAGAACAAGGGTACGAGCGGACAGGCCCATCCCGGAAAGAAGATGACCCGAGAAGAGTTCACAAAGAGATCCACTCGCCTGAACAGTATCGCGTTTGAGGAGCCGTGGTAGCAACTGCTCGCCGTAATAGTCAGCTGATTTCGACTGTTGGCTGGCTGGTTGGCTGGCAGGCTGGCTGGCAGGCTGGCTGGGCGACCCGAAGAGCCCGATGACGAGGGCCGTGTGGGGGTGACGAGCGGACGGAGGCGGTGAGACGAAAGGAGGGGGCCTTCGCGCAGCAGGCGTTGAGACGCGAGGGGATACGCGGTTGGGAAAGCGAGGAGGGAGACTTTCCTGCGGCGAACCGAGAGAGGAACGCGGGAGCAGCGGGGGTGAAGCGGAAGGGACTCTTGACGATGAACAGCGGGCGACGAGACGAAAGGGGAACCCCCTGGGGAGAGCAGGCCGACCGAGGGGAGGCGAATATGTCGGGGGAAAGACAATGTCGACGTAGTGGGGTAATTCGTAGATACAGGGGTGTACGTACGAGGGTTCCAGCTACGAATCCCCCCGTTCAGTCGATACGTTACGATAGAATAACGATTTTTTGCCTCGCTGGCGCGATTATTATTATTATTATTATTATGTTTCCATCGTATGTAATGATATATGTATAATAATAATAATAATATATGATGTGTGATACGATGTTAAGTCGAGAGAAGGAAAGCGCGGAAGACACGGTGGTCACTTCTCTCGGTAGGATATTTCGGAATGTTTGAATATCTAAAGAAAACATTGGCCGCGGCATAATATCGGTTGGTTCTATTTTCAACGTCGCGTAAATAAGGAATAATGTATCACGGAGAGAGTTCATTGACAACTGAGAAGAGTTCAGCGCGAGAATGAGATAAGATTCCGCAATATGCGAGATTATACAACTTCGTGTTCAAAGCGGACCTCTCGATTCTTTGTACCGACGAACACCTCAGTCATACCTCCATGTGTAACAAACGCATATCGCTTGCGCTTTATCGCGTATCTAGTAGATCCCGTCGCTTATCGTTACCGACAAATTGTCACTATTATCATTATTATTATTTAAGAATTCGTTTTGTCGGGTAGAAATTCTCCCGTAATCTCTCGTTTCTTCTACGCTAGGAAAAAGAAAATTGCCACAAAGTATTGCATTAGATTAGAGCTTTGTGTGTGAGAATATTTTCCAATGAAAATACTTTGTTTTGCAATAGATAACTATATTATATACATACTATAACTATATATTATTACTATATACTATATGTATTATAAAAATAACTATATTATATATTATAGAAAGTTATGATATTGTAGGATAGAAAAAATTATTAAAAAAAAATCGGGACAAACACGCGCATGGAAAAAAAAGTTGGTTGAATTTGCAAGACAGTGAGCACGAACCAAGCGGGTTTTCGCCGAGGAAAACAGGATTTCTGGTTAGAAAAACCGAATTTGGGTCATAAGAGCCGGAAACTTCTTCAGCCAAAACGCATTTGGTTCGCGTCCACCGTCCGGTAAATTCGACCAATTTTTCTTTTGTACGTATATTATTTTTTTCTGTTTCACAGTGCTCATCAGTACCTCCAATCAGAATGCGTCAGAAAGCAACGATATCATCTCTTCGCCGGGAACCCTGAGGCCTCGATGCACTCGGAGGTACTTCGGAGCTTCTTTGTAGCCGCGCGCATGCGACCCTGCGAACGTGACAGCGAAGTCGATCGAAGGTGGGAGTTCGCTCAGCTGGTCGAACAGCTGCCGGTTCGTTCGGACTTGTAACTGGCTGACTACGCTCTCTCTCTCTCTCTCTTTCTCTCTCCGAGAAACATTGGTTGGTCATCGTGCCAGCGTCGTCGTCATCGTTGTCGTCGTCTCCGCCACCACAGCTACGATCGTCGGCTTTTTAAGTGTCCGAGCAGCGCCTGAACTCTGTCCACGTCGAGCGCGTTTTCCCACCGACCAGCCGTCTTCAAGTACGATCCCACGATCAGCGCGTCCGCGACCGCCGCGTAATTGTCCACGTTGTCCAACGTCACGCCCGAGCCGATCAGCACCGGTAGTCGCGCCGCCACGCACTTCCGCACTTCTACAAAGTGTCAGAGATACGTCTCATTAGGCGCGGGCGATCCCCGAAAGGAAGCGAGCTATGCCTCTCGCAGACCGAGGAAAAGTCCCCTCGAATTTCTCGCCGGCCGACGGCCGTCGGGATAAGTACCTGCGAGATCCTGCATGTCCACCGCTTCACCGGTCGCCCTACCGGTTAACACGATTCCGTCCGCTGAAAAGAATTCCGCCGCTCTCACCGTCTCCGGCAGGCTGACGTCGGAAGTGATGGCGTGCGAGCTGCAAAAATAGCGAGAGAAAAGTAGAACTCGGAACGGGGCTGGGCGAAAAGTAGAATGCCGTCCGGGATTTTTTCGCGCGCACACGGAGAGAAACACTGAGCGCGTCGCAGGGACTATTATCTCGCTTTCTTCGGCGCGCATTTAACGCGGGAGAAACTCGTGTGCAAAATCGGAGACGGTTTTGCGACTTCTTCGGCAGTAATTACGGATAGGGAGGACGCGGAAGGTCGTCGTCGCGCGGACGCTCTGCGGAGTCGAACACAATCCTGGGAGTCCTCAGCTTTGTAGTCGACAGGTACGCGAAGGAAATTCTGATGGTGGGACTGATTTTTCTGTTGATCTGAGGACCGGACAAAAATTCGGCTGTAGGAACCTTCAATGGACAGTTCCCGTTTCAGTCAATTGTTCTCAGTTATCCTGACCGAATTTTAACGCAGCTGCGTGTCCCCAGTAAGCAAGAAACGTTGAATCAATATTTGGAAATATTTATTTTACGCGGGTCTTGTTAATGTCTTGACATAATATTTTGTGTTTTTAAACTGTTATTTGATATAATTGTTATTATAGTTATTTGATAACCCGGTAAGCAAAAATTCATTAACACAACGTTATTACAATGATATTTTATAACATGTAACGTTTTCAAATATATCCTGAATATTGTATATAACGTCACATTGTTAGCAATATTCGATCGAAACATAAAAAATAATATTTCTATACTATGATTTTTTAATATTTAGGAATATCATATTATCAAATAATAGTTTTGAAACATTTATAAAATATTATATTAACATATTTATAAAATCCATATAAAATTAATGTTTCAAAAGATTGATTTTCGAAACATTAATTTTATGTGGATTGAATGTTCGGACGAATTTACTCAGTCGCGGCAACAAAGATATCTCTTCATGTCGCCGAGTTTTTCATCAGGTCCTTGCTTGCTCGGCTATTGAAACGGAGTTCCTTTTTTCCGCGTAGAAATTAATCCAACGGTATCAACGTAACGCGTGTCACCTGTGTTTCTTCTTGACGTCGGCGAACACGAGAACGCCCTCCGCGTCGATTCGCCTCCTGTATCGCAACAAAGTCCCGGCGCTCGCGTCAATAAAGCCTTCATCTGCCACGTGGGAGAAGACGAAGCCCTCGGCCCTGATAAATTGAAATCCCGCAGCCTTGGCAACCGCGATCGCCTCCTCGTTGCACCCCGCGAGAATCTACGTCAAACCGCGAGATGGCTCGGTCGATTAGACGATCTCGCAGCGATAAGCTCGAATCAAATCGCTCGATGCTGCTCGAACTCTCGTCGTATGCGGACAAAGGAAACCAAAGGGAATTCGACCGTGTCTCGTATTCCAGAAATTTATGTACATGTTTTCTATACCTGAACGCCACATACGACGTTTCGCGCGACCCTTTTAACTTCCGCACAAATTCTTGTCATCATAGTCACGATCTCTGGTGACAGGTCCTTCTTCCTAACATAAGGGATGTCGTGCATGTTCTCGACCAGAATGCCATCCTGAAAGGCACACATGTGGAACACTCGAGCGAAGTGCAATATTTGCACAAATATCCGTACGGGAAGAAAATTATAAGAATGCGAACAAATTATTGATGTATCATTGAAGAACCAATTGTTCAATTTTTTTTTGTATTCTAGTTTTTTTTCCGTACACGTAGCGCTGTATCATTTTTTTTTTTTTTTGGTTTCGGACAAAAGCTGATCCCGGAATGAGGTCGTATTTGAGACTTGTCGTGATATTCCATTTGTAACGGGAATATGCAACTTCTTTGGATCATTTTCTTTTCTTTTTTTTTCAGGGGAGAAGCTATTAGGAGAATTAATCTCTCCCGAAATGTCCCGTGCCCCGGAAGTCATCGGTGAATTCATCAATACGAAAGAGCCGTGTTTATTCCCGTGTATACACATGTTAATTTAACCCGTTGATACACGATAAAGAATTTTGTGCTCAATTTAACACATTTCATACGTCTCGGACGATCTAAAATTTTTGCGTTAATTTAATAGATGAATATTGAAAAATAACACAATGTGTGAAAAAACTGACACCAAATTAACACGTTAGTCGACGCTGAATAAAAATGTGTTATTTTAACGCTCACACGTGTTGAATATCGACACGGCGCAAAATGTGTTGAGGTAATATAAAGAACACGCGACACAACAATATATTCAATTAATACACGGATATGTGAAAAATGTTAACATAAAAGTTTTAACAAGGGCCGATTTTACACACAAGTACAAATGGTCTTTATTACGTGAGTCAATTTACCGCGCCGCACTCGACGTATATCGAGGCCTCCTTCACCGCGTCTTCCACGATCTTCTCAACGAGTCCTTTGTATCTCGGTGTTCCTGGTCGCACAGGCGCGCATGAAACAAGACCATTTTCCTCATAATACATTATGAGAATATTCTCGAAATATTTTATTGTATTAAAGTAAACTCTTATGTGAAAAATTTCTCACGTTTCCCCGCAGCACATACATCACATTGTGACGGGCAACATTACACATTAAGTTGTCCGATAAGTTATCTCTCCCGACAGAAAATCCGAAAAGACTCGTTACACAACACAACATTATCAATCTGTCTCGGTCTGATCTGCGAAGTAACGTCGCTTCTTCCTCTCTTCCTCTCCCTCATCGCGCAAATACGTTTCCTCGTGACGCAACGTTGCATCACAAGGGAGAGCCGGCCGTGTCGGCGGCGAGGAAAAGCGACACGAACTCGAGATTCACAACGAGATTGATATTACAGAGTCTGATTACACTTCCGAGGATCGATCGTCGCGTCGCGCACGGTAAGCGAATTCCTGCCTCGGAAAGTGACCGTACCGGGGAGCGCTCCCACGTGGACCATCCCGATGAGCGAGCAAGGTCGCGGGAATAATTTCCGGAATTTCAGCATCCCGGCGACGAACGTGACGATGACGACGGTGTCGGTGTTTACCGGTGGCAAGGCGCACCGCGACAACGAGCGCCAACGACGATCGTTATCTTAGCGCGCGTGGATTCGGAGCCAGCTGGCTGATCACATGCCGGCCGTTGACGCCCGCTGGCGACGAGTGACGCGTCGCCGCCATTTCCTCACCGTCCGGGGCTCGATCTCGCCTTTTTCTCTCTCTTTTATCGGCTTTTTCAGAGATCTCACGCAACTTCGTCATGTTTGATACGAGAGAAAAAGAAATAGACAGATAGGTAGACTGGTATAAATAGCGAGAGCAAACAGGAAGTAGTCTACTTTCAGTAAACACGCCTAGTAAATCCACCAGGGAGAGATTACGAAACCAATAGAGCAACACATTGGCCGGGACAGTAGCTCAGGATCGCTTGGTCGTGTGCAAGTAGCTTCTTGTCTTTCTTATTTTCGTTCTCTCCTGTTTCTTCCTCTCTCATCGTACACATCATGCGTTACCGAAGCCGAATTGCTTAACGTACACTCGCGAACTTTCTTCTTTCTTGATATCTTGAGAAGGAAGAAAGACGAGTTTCGTCGCACACGATCCCCTTACGAAAAAGTATCACTGCCTATGATAAATCGGTCGGTAATAAATAAAATTACTCGGTAATTTTATTATTTGTACGAGTAATAAAATTACTGGACAATAATAATTTATCACCGGCCGATTTATCATAGGCAGTAATACTTTACTGCAAAGGAATCCCGCGTTAAACGACTCGATCGTTTTTCTTTCTCCGTTGGGCGCGAAGTCGCTTGTGAATTTCATTAGTATCGAAGAATAGCAGGACCGTGGAAGGGGGTAGTATGTAGTAAAAAATAATATTAAATTCGACGGAAGAAGGAATCAGCGTTATGCTGCCGTGAGCTACTATTTAATATTCTTCCAGATCGCAGGAAGCATGGTTGATTCGGGACACCCAGTATAGGACGGCTCGAAATTGAACTCACGTTGACATTGGACGTGACCTAATCTTGGGCAGATATACACAGTGGGTAAAAAAAAGATTTGCACTGTTATCTTTTATCGAAACTACATACGAGCACGATATATCGTTATCCTTTTCATGCTGCAGAGTAATGGGGAGATACAACAAAACGTGCAAACTGCAAAATACAACAAAACGTGAAATGTGGTATAAATTTGCAACGTATGACTGATTATTTACAAGCTTGCGAAGTAGCGAGTGAAATTTTTGACAATGTTGCGAACGAGATTGCTTCTCAGCGCTCCTGCCAAACGTCTCAAATATGTTGGTGCAGGTAAGTGTATTCGTCACGAAATAATTGAATTCGAAACAACTTCTCAGAATAAATTAATTAAAAAAAGTAACACTATGTTAAAAAAAATATTGAAGATCTTTTTTTTTTTTAACTTGGTTTACTCTACAATGGAACATTTTCACTTAAACAAAATAATATTTTTAAATTAAACTGTGTTTATGTTAACCCTTTATGGGCCCGTGTAACTTTCAAGTCACATACTAATATACCGATATTTTAATACGTAATTTAATTTTTTTGCACAAAGTGACATATATATCTTGTGATATGATGTCTCCTTAGTAAATAATAACATTCTTGGTAACAGTTATCAACTCTAACCTGAAATATCAAAATTAATGCTTTTGCAAGTTGTGTGCAGATAGAAACTAAAGGAACCATCTTGTGTAATTGTCATTATTGTTTCTTCTATCGGTGTTTATTAAAAAAAGTGTACATAATAGCTCTTGGTTTGTATATCAATAATATCTTATTTGTTATTATTCCAATAATTGTTTTGTTACTTTTCATATGATATAGCTTCGTGACTTTTAAGTCACAATGAGCTATAACGGTAGGGTTCAGTGTATTTGTTTATTTAGTTGAGTTTTATGTGTTTACACACATAAAACTAAACTAAATCCAAAAAAATCTTTTTTTTAATAAGTAGCGGTTAAAAAATGTTCGTATCATAATTATCGTTTATCGATACAGGAGTAGCAATGTTGAGCGTCAGTTACGTCCTTCTCCCTTCAAGCCAGAAGAGAGTCGTGAAGAGCATCGCCGGAAGTTCGATTAGATTCGCGAGATCGTTCAAGATCAGTGCAACGGTTTCTATGGATTACCTAATCGCTCCTTTGATGGGGTATACAACTACGGAAATTCACCGAAGATGCGCCAACCGGATCGTCCAGGGATGTCTGGAGAACGGCGGAATTTACATAAAGCTCGGACAAGGCTTTGCGGCGGTAAATCATGTCCTACCGAAGGAATATGTCGAAAGTTTGTCAGTACTGCAGGTACGCTCTCTTAAAATCCGAAAAGATCTTTTTGCAGGGTTTAAAGTCACGTTAAATTTATATTTCCGACGCGCTTATTAAGGACAAATGCTTGACACGAGGAAAGAACGAACTCGAGGAAATATTCCAGCAGGACTTTGGCAAGAAACCCGAGGAAATGTTACGTGAAATTAAACCCGAGCCAGTAGCGGCTGCCAGTTTAGCTCAAGTATTAAAAACGATATATATATATATATATCTCTCTCTCTCTCTCTCTCTCTTTCTCTCTCTTTCAAGTAAGCCACTTACACCACGTAATTGTTGAATTGAAAATTCGTCCTACTGCTAATTTATTCCTTATTATTATTCTTTATTCTCTATTAATTTCATCATTGAACATACGTACGCAGGTATACAAGGCTGAAACTTTAGATGGAGAGAAAGTGGCTATTAAAGTACAATATATCGATCTTCAGGAGCGATTTATATCCGACATAAAGGCGGCGATTTTTCTGTTAAAAGTTGTTTCTGTTATACATCCGAAATTTGACCTGCACTGGGTATTTGATGTAAGCATGCAATTCATATACTTTTATCGGAATTGCATATACGCAAATATTGTATTATTATTCCAAATAACTTTTTCCTGAGAAAGTTATTTAGAGAAATACCCTCTCCTATATACCCTCTCCTTAAAAAATTGTTTAAATTTACAGGATGTTTTTGAGGCACTGGCGAGTGAGCTGGATTTCGAGAACGAAGGGAGGAACGGAGAACAATGCGCCAGAGACTTGAAGAAATACGAATATGCATACGTACCGAAAATCCACTGGGATCTTAGTAGTAAGGTTGTTTAATCAAAAATTTTCAGTGAATCACGTGGATTAAGTTTCATTATCTCGAAGATTATTGAGTCAATATTCAGAATTAATCTCCTCTGTATTCTTATGAACTATAATTTATGTACTTATTTTAGAGAGTCCTTACAACGGAATGGATCGACGGTGTGAAAGTAACCGACGTGGAAGGAATCAAGGCGCTCGGATTAGATGTGGCTGACATTGATAAGAAACTGATCACTTTGATGGGGGAGCAAATATTTCATACAGGATTCGTGCACGCCGACCCACATCCAGGAAACGGTATTATTCTTTTTCATCGGGCAATATTTCAAAAAGTAGCATTGGTTCGCATTCATTCACAGCGCCCGTAAGAAAGTTAACAATCAGAAATATAAAGCGATTCACGCATGATTCTGGTTCGTGGCAGTTTTCGTGAGGAAAATAAAGGGCGATAAGGCGCAAGTAGTACTGTTAGATCACGGCTTGTATCAATACCTGCCAGAGAAAACGAGGTGTACCTTATGCAACTTTTGGGAATCGATGGTTCTGAAGAATGACGGCTCTCTGAAAGCGCATGCGAACGACTTGAATGTAAAAGGTGAGCGCGTAGCTGCCAGTGAATTCTGTAATATGGTGACAATTATTTCTAATTCTACGCATCGTCGAACTCTTCAAATTCTACGTAATTCCGTGTCCCGAGATTTTTAACAACGTGGCGTTTTAGATCACATACTGTTGGCGGAAATATTGACGCAGGAGCCATACAGAATTTCTTTTACGTCACTCCCGAGCAACACGACAGTGGAAGAGTACATGAAGAAACAAGCGCGGGAACGTTTCGATAAGATCACAGAAACCCTAAGATCGATGCCCAAACACATATTGTTAGTAATAAGGTAAGACAGTGGACGCTATCCGTAGATAGAGCAGAAAATGACGACGTTAAAACGATGAGAAAATGATTGAAAAATGAGTTTTCACAGTCATTTTTTGTTCCTACCTGGATGCTGGCATTAAATTCTTCCTTTTTATTAGTTGGTAGAAGATCAAAAGAAGAGTTAAAAAGACATCGATTTAGCGTTCTTTCTCTCTTTCCTCTTTTAGGAACTTGAATACGATACGTGCTATTATCACGAGCCACGGAGATATTATCAATCGATACAAGTTAATGGCAAGGATCGCAACACGCGGCAAGTATCGAGCTGCGAAACAATCTGTTTACAAAAACATCGCGGGTATTTGCAGCCTCGTCAAATTTGAATGCAGACTTTGGTAAGTTAATTAACGGAAGCTTTATCGGACCAAGAAAAAAGGTAAAGGTGTCTGTGTATATCTAAATTAAGTTTCATATAATTTGATATTTATACTTCTTCGCACTTTTTCAGGTTACACAACTTTGTACAATGGTTACTTAACATCTATTTAAATATTTTGAAATTAACCGGTCATGACGTCACGGGAACTTTGCAAATAAACTTGCTCTAACGGTATCACTCAGTTAATGTCGATATGAAACTTTGTACGCGTTGTTACACGTCTGTAAATAAACGTGAGACATTTTGCACGATTAAATAAAGAGATGTTTGTTGATGCTTTTGAATAAAAGAGATCTCCGCAATTGTGATTAAAATTATTAGCTGTTTATTGCGTATTAATTATACATTGTTACTTCTTTAGTCCTTCAAAGGGAATCGGAAGAAACATATAAAAACATATAAAAGTAAATTTATTGCTTAGTAGATACAATTGAATGTATTCTCGAAGAAATTGTCCTATCATCGAACGAGTCAAAGGAGGCTGTTTCTAGTTCATTTTAGTCACAGTTCTGCGAATCTGCTGCTGAATTTGCAAAAGCGTGTTCCAATTTTGGGACTGCTGTATAGCACGTGGAAATGTAACAAATTATTGCTATGATGTATTTTTAACAATAATCGGGTATTCTTTACCATTTTACACCTAAACAGTGTACTTTGTACAATGCGCGGGTAAAGACAAATAAGTAACATTGCAAATCTAAATTTCAACCGGTTCTTGTGCACGTTAGCCGTCTGTTAACGAGACAAAGGTCAGAAACGGGAAATTAAATGACTCAATGCTTGCCAGCATTCTTTTAAATATGCACGTTTAATCTTATGATGCTTAAAAACTATTATAAGGCATGAAAGTTGGAAAGCCTCATGCGATATGAACCTGAAAACTTCTGTATTCTTGTTCTAGGATATCTCGAAACTCGGGCGAAATTCACAGAGATCTGCAAATTTCGGGAAATTAAGGGAACCTAAAACTTTTCAGTTTAATTATTTAAGGATATACCGGTATCCGAGAAATGCCCTGAAAGATTCAATGATCTTAGAAGTCGAATTACCGAAAAGTCGAAAATCCACACAATCCGACCGTGTAATTCGTGGAATGAGAAATGCGAAGATTTTAAAGACGCTTAAGACAATTCAGAAAGCTATGGATCAACTTGCCACAAGCCATCGTTTCTTTACATTAGAATTGATAACAAATTTACGACAGTCTTTGCGAGCTAACACTATCTACACTATCTACACTCTTGCACTCAAATCAATGTAAAGATGCAATCGCTCGCATTGTTTTTATTCCACAGTGTTCAACTGGCACTGGCATCTTCTTCGACTTTTAACCGCTGATGTTCCCGATGCGCAGGGAAACGTGACATCTTTCTTTGAGTACACAATTAGATTCTGAGCGTTCTTAAATCAAGTACAACGTGATGTAAAATTCTCTCCGTGATGTAAAATTTACGACAAGTGGAACAAAAGAAACGAACTGCACCGAATTGGAAGAGGACGTAGAAAATTTTCTTTAGGCAGTTTTTGCACGAATAGCAGCACGCTTTCCCGTGACAGCCTGTAAAATAGACACAGGAGGATCATGTTTAGAACATTGTTCTACTTTGGCGTGAAAATTACTTCTTCGTCATTGCATATTAAATATTAATACATTTCAAGGTTTGTTAATTACTGATTAAGATAATAGATGCATAATAAATCGCCAGAACGTTATTTTTGCTTTAAACAGAGACCAACTCACCTGGAATCCAGACTTTATACTAGCGACAGAACATCTCGATCCGCAGGTTTCGCACTGTAAAAAGAAGAGCCGAGTGTCCTTTTGAAGGATCGTGTCCGGCGAACGGCATGTATGACACGTCACGTACTCCTTGATATATCTCCTAAGAACATTCTCTATTTGCTTCTGCTGGAAGCGACCCTTAATGATCAACTGACTATTTCCATCCACCGAACCGCTCGTTCCCAATTCGGCGAGCAAGAAGTCCAGCAAATGTTTCGGCTGTCTGTGCAACGTTTTACAAATCTGTAAAGTGGAAACACCTGTAAATCGATACTTGTTTTCCGCAAGCTAGTTTTTGCAACTCGAGCACACTTGATAGAAATTTTGCATTCGTTCATCGCTTATTGCCCCTGCCATTCGCATGCTAATTCTTATCGTGATCACGCACCTCAGTGAAATTAGCAAAGGACGTTTTCTTCGTTCCAATGCGCACCACCTGTGGCGGACGCATGACGAATTTCTGCTTCTTCCCAGCTACCATGTCGGGATTCTTTTCTCGTAAGATGTTGAATACTCTAATGAGTAACTCGTCGTACGTGTAATCCCTGTCCGAGCCCACCCACGGACTCGGCTCCTCCACTGAGAAAAGAATTAAAATAGATGTCCTTATACCTGGGGTGCCGCTTACACGATATAGTAACAAATAACTCTTCTTTACGCTGGTATACAAATTGAATCATCTTTTTCCCTCATGGTACAAAGTATTGTGAAATGTTCTCCAGCTATGTAGCTATGTAGCAATTCTCTATTTTGTTATATTGTAAATATTTATCTTCTATTCGTATATATATATATATTTCTTGCATCTCTCTGTTACTTAATACCTACTTGATATGTAAAAGTATCGCAGAATCTTGCCTTTAATTACAATTACCATAAGAGAGCAATTATACGTATGCTAAGTTCGCATTCCTTTGTGAAATTTCTCATCGATATTTTTTATCAGAATAGTGATATTACTTATTGTTATAATAGCATAAATAATATTTATATATTTATAGCATGTGTGTATATTTGTGTGAAATTCGAATCTTCTATGTTCCAAAAGTGTTATTTTTGTCAAAACTAATCAAATGTTAGAGTGATAGCATACGATTCAATTTTCTTAAAATAAGATCCAATTCTTTGAGTTATATGAAGCGATTTGATGATGATTAGAGAAATATCTATATATTGATTCTATTATGAGATGTGCGAATGCAAAAATAATTGAGGAGGATTATCAAGTGCAGTATTCGAATTCGGTGAATACACCAAGCATATATCTTACCATACTCTGCACTTCGCTCAGATTCAGTGCAGCATGTTAACAAATATTGAGTAACATAAACAACTAGATAAAAAAGATATCAATACGAGCCATTTCTTATGACACATACCATTATCCTTATCTTCAATTTCCTTGCGCTCTTCTTCAGCCACTAATTCATCGAGATCCTTCTTCTTCTTTTTCTTCTTCTTCGTTTTGGAGAAGTCCATATCTAAATCAAAATCATCATCCACCACAACTTCCTCGGTCTGTTGTTCTACAGGTTCCTGTTTAACAAATAACAAAATTTCACAGATTTTAAGGTACGAACCAAGTCTTGCATGTTATATATTTCAGAAAATTTATTTAATTCTTTCTTACTTCTTTCTTCGTATCAGGCAAAGCTGCTTCTAGCTCATCCAAGTTGAATGCCTTTTTCTTCTTCTTTTTCTTTTTGCCGAAACTTTCCAAATCCAATGCTTCGTCATCTTCAACAACTGGAGGTTCAAGCTCCTGATTCTCTTTTTCAGTGGTATTCTCTGTCGCTTCACCACTACTACCTCCTTCATTGAAAGCTGCGTCAAGATCAAAAGTGGTCTTCTTCTTCTTCTTCTTCTTTTTCAACGTTGGGTCAAATACCTATATATTTTTTAGAGACAAGAATGAACAAAAGGAGTAACACCATTTCTTTTTAAATTTTTATGTTATATGCAGGAAAAATTAATTTTTATATAAATAATATAAAAAATGTGAGATTAGTGAGAAGTAATAACATAGTATATATGTATCATATCAAGTATTTTAAATTATTCTTTGTTATAAGAGCTTTTCGTAGACTTTCAAATATTTACAACGATAATAGCATAATTGATTTATTACTTTTAGGTGTAAAAAAGTTACACCTTTTATACTTCAAACGAAAGAGATATATAGGCAAAAGATGATACTCCCACAAAACCACAGTAAAATTTTGAGGTTGGAATCGACAACTTTGTTCTTTCACCTGCCAAATACATTTATTCACCGAGAATCTCTGTTAAGTAATAAAAATAAGAGTAGAATATAGCAGGGAAACCTACAGCGGGATAAATTCCAGAGAAATAGCAAGATATGTCAATTTGATCACGCACTCGTGCTCCGAATTATCCAACGGCGATACTTTACGTACCGAATCTTCTTCCGTCATTCCGTCGGTTTCCGTCTCAGATGAAAAGTAAATTCCTTATTTATAGCTAAGCGACATAAAGCATGTAACAGAAATTTAATGGGATAATTTAAAAGCTTTCGTTGCCGCACGCTGGCTCAAGTGGATTGCATCAGAAAAGTGCCTTCCTTCCTTCCTTCATATAGCTCCAGAGACCCGGTTAAAGGCCGGTTCCCAACGCCATTTATGCTCGTTTCTACTAGTCTAAATCTAATCGACAATTAATTCAACAGAATTGACCGATCGTATTGGCCAATTAGATGAACTAATTAATACGATTGGTGAATTCCGTCGAGTTAATCGTTGATTAAATTTAAATAATAATGGTAGAAACGAGCCTATCAGAAACCTATCATTAACCTATCAGAAAAGTGCTAGTTATGCTGGCAGTACATGGTGTTTAATTTCGTGTTGGATTGTTTGATGAAAAACTGCGTTTTGATTGGTGCGGCTTCAAAAATAAATGGAAATACAAGCACCGCGTGCCGCCGGCTTTAGAGATGAATGATAAACGACCAATGAATCGATATTCAATTTCTTTGAATTGTTATTTCTACTCGGAAATTGAAATTGACTGATACAACAGCTAAATAGCCAAACTTTTACTTTCAAGTAATATGATTCAATGAGAGAGCAGATTCGTTAGAAATAGGAGGTTGAAAATTTGTCTATAGTAAAATATATTTTAATCCAATATTTACGTATAAAAAATAAATAACAGAACGATAAAATTCATTTATAAAATACATACTTATAAAATACAATATTCTTAGTAAATCTTGAAAATATTATTTATTTATTAGATCTACGATAAAGATATTTAAATACAGTCTTGACAAGATGATAAATAAATTTTAGCACATTAAGTACTCTCACCTTCTAACCATTTTGTAATATACTGACATTTGGAAGGTGTAACATCGCCAACGTCGGAACAGTTTCCTCTGACCTTTAAAAAAAAAAAAGAATGTAGCTTAAATCGTGTAAATGATGTCAATGATATACGATAAACATTATTTATATCGATTGATAAATCTCACCGGACATATGCCACAAGGAGCTTTGATCAATCCAGGCGAACTTAACAAAGGCTGAACAGCTCTATACATATTACTCCCTTCCCCTGAGAGTATCCTCTCGACCTTACCATCATAAATTAAAGCGTTTAAAAGCATTTCTATGTCCTCCACTGATAATTTCACCTGTATAAACATATGGATTTTTCTTAGCGGAGAGAACTTTGAATGATGAAAGATACACTTTAATATATAAGTATGTTTCTTACCTTGCTTACTCCTGAATGTACAATGTACTTGTGCACATCCTTAGATGAAACAAACGCCATGTTTCTCACAGCAATAGGTCCATATTTACAATTTTTCGCTTCTGTAGCCTTTGTGTTCAAGAAAGTGCAACAGGACTGAGTTAATATATCAACAAATTCTGTCTCGAAGTCTTGATCCTGATACCATGCACCACCTGTTACTGACCTATCCGGTTCTAAGCTATACAACATGTATACTTTCTTCTTACTAGCTGCTACAGACTTAACAGCCTTAATGTACTTCTTTGTCTCTAAGCTTTTCAATATCTTATTCAATTGAGTCGGCGTCAAGTTAGTTTTATTTCTTATTTCTCGAATCCATATCCCTGTATTTCCTGCTTCCCCAATGATTGTGTACACTATCTTTTCTTCGTTATCGGCGCCTTTAACAACTTTGGTTTTCGACGGGTCCTTCAAGCGATAAGACAGTGATCCTCCCTGTTTGAAAAGGTCAAAGTGTCCTTGCGTTAGAAGTTTGTTTATAATTTGAGCTCTCTGAACTGGCTGTAAATCAGGCAGCTCGATAGCCAAGTCTTTGTCGGAAATGCCTTTGGGCCTTGTTTTCGCTAGAGAAATTATTCTGCAACAAATGCATAAAATATAAGTTTAAAATGAGTGAAAGAAAAAGATTTAATAGTAATAACATGATTTATTATATCGACTGATAAGTCCCAGCTGTTTCTTTTATTTCTCATTAAAACCACAATTTTAATACAATCTGTACTGTCGAACAATCTAACGAGAACCTAAAAGGAACTTCATGTATTTAAATCTATTGAAAATAAGCTTGATGTGCTGACATTGTCTTTAAACACTGTTAATTTTTTAATATTATCATATGTATTATTAACACTTCTATGAAAATGTAACTTGTACGACTACAATGCTATGGGACTGGATGGAGCTGATTGCTAAGACGAGTTTATACTTTTGCTCGATCGTTTCAGACTTATCCGGTTCCGCAGTGGCATTTGCATTCTGTTTTTGCGCTTCGCTCGTCTCCGTCTCCATCGTAAGGATGATTAAAGGATATTTCTCTTCTTCCGGTATATTATGCCTTTTGTTAAATTAAAACTTCTATGTTAACTTTTTAATATCAAAACGTCTCCTATTAAAAAATCCGGCACGTGTTGTTCACGTGCTGTTGACCACAAATCCGAGATGTAGCACAGACGTGAACCGAATCGCGATTTTGTCGGCAATGTCAAACAGTGAACAATGGGTGCGTTCAGGAAAAACAACGGATGTGCAACCATTGAGTGATTATTGCCTTTGATTGAGGTGTTCTTTTAAATCCTGCGTTCCGAAAACGCAAACGATCAATGAACAGTCAGTGATTTTTGGTCCACTGTTAAATCCTTAAATTTAGATCAATTACGTTGACGAATTACTCAACTGTCGTTTAACCGTTGTATTCCCTGAACGCAACCAATGATAAAACCCTACTCGACAAGCAGAGTAGTATTTAATTAACTAATCATAGTAAAGGAATATTTATGCCCGTATCATACTAAGGATTAGGAGATGAGATTGGACTGAAATTTCATCAATCGGGGCAAAGTTCACTAAACTCAAGTTTAATGTATTTTGCTTTGATTGGCCAAATTTTAATTTAATCTCAATCATAATCCGTAGTCCGATACGGGCTTTATCTTGATTGATCAATTAAATGCTGTTCTAACCGTCGAGGTAAGGTTTTCGAACGCAATCCAGCGTTCTGAAAGCTGCTTTACCTATTGAGTACGATTTTAGAATGCAGCCTCGAACATTTCCGAACGGCGTGAACTCCCAGCTGACTCGACCTGTGGCGCCGTTGATTTCACACAGGCAGTTGTACAAAAGGAAAGGTAAAAAAGTGTTCGACGCGTTAAATTCTCAGGGAAACGATTCCTACAAAGTTATTGCTGAGAGGTTAGAGTTGATAATTGTAATTGATCTTATTAAGATCCAAACGTTCTCAATAGTTCATTTATCAGAGCCATGGTAAGTGAATATAATGTAATATTTGTTGCTTGAGACGCCACGCATGCCACGTGTTGTTTGAGGTTAACTTTCTCACGTGTTCAGTGGATCGATTGTGTATTTCAAAAGGTAGTGAAAATGATAAAAGCGAGCGCATTTACGAAAATATTTCTAATTTCATAATTAGTCAATACCCAGTGAATTTGCACGCTTTTGTCATTTTCACTGCATTTTGAGACACAATCCGGCCCCCGGTTGATTTTACCTCGTGCACATGTCAATATACACTGAAAGTAATGATTTCAACATAAATATCGTTATCGTTGAGAGGCATATTTTTCCATTCGATCAAATTAACGCTTGATCCTTTTTCCAGGCAGAAGAAGCTCCAGTTAATCCAAGAGCTTATCCTCTCGCAAACACCACACTTACCGTGAAAATACTGAATGTGGTGCAGCAAGCAGTGGTTTACAAACATCTCAGGAGAGGGGCTAATGAATCAACCAAGACGCTGAACCGTGGCTTATCGGAGTTTATAATTATGGCCGCAGATGCACATCCGTTAGAAATCTTATTGCACCTGCCACTTTTGTGCGAAGACAAGAATGTTCCCTATGTGTTCGTGCGAAGCAAACTGGCTCTGGGCCGGGCCTGTGGAGTCTCTAGGCCAGTAGTTGCCTGCTCCATAACGAGCGGAAATTTGCAATTAACGTCACAGATCGGAATTCTACACGGAGAGATAGAACGGATTTTATAATAGTTTATGCTTAAAATTCGCGCATTCATTTTATACTTTATTATTCATGAGAGGAAGCTGTCTATATTTTCATCATCATCATCTTGTACATACCGATAAAATAGTCTTTTATAGAGAGATGAGCAAAACTTATAAGAGGCTGATCATGCAATTTAATTTTGCAATTTTGTATTCACGACATTAATAAATATTATATCAAACTTGCGCTTTGGGCCGCATTCTCGCATTTGTTAACCAAGTTAGGTCCCCCCCGTGCCCTCGCTTCTCGCCTTGCATCTCTCGGCTTGTGCCCGTATTACTCTGCTTATGGCAGATAATAAAAGCGATAACAAGCTGCGAGGACAAAGAGAAAATCCGCGTCCTCCCTCCCCCCTTCTTTCTCTCTCTCTCTCTCTCTCTCCTTTTTTCTACTCTTTCCCACCTCTTGATCCCTCTATCTCGAAATTTCAGAATTCGCAATCGCGATACGCGATGGAGAAGCGGAGATATCAAATTGACCGCAACGACGATTGCACGAGCGAAAGACCCCGGTCCTCCGTTTCGACTCGAGACGTGGGTGAAAAAAAAATTGGAGCGACGTTGTCCGCGCTGTTGTTCCGCAGTTTGATGACCCTTCACGTCGAGAAAGAGAGAGAGAGAGAGAGAGAGAGAGATTAGGCGAATCGCTGGCGCCAGCGCACGTAAGATACATCGGTGGCCGATGTGGAATAGCTTAAAGAGGATATGAACCGAGTCGCTCGCGCGGGGCCGTCGGGAGTGAGAGAGAGAATTTGCACGACATACCTCTCGGCGAGTTACGGCACATAAATGGGTACGTAAATCACCCGCGTAAACAGCCACGTTATATAGAGGCGTTTACTCAGATGACAAGCGACCCGTGAAGCACTGCCGCCGCCGCATCGGCGAGCTCATTAAATAATCGATATTATTTTACGATGGAACAGAGAAACCCTTGATAGAACACTTACGATCTCGGCGTTACGGACACGCGTACTCCCGATCGCGTTCGCCTCGCGATGATTAACGTGCGCGCGCGCGCGCGCGAGAGAACTTGGGGATTTATCTCGCCAATTTGTAACGGACGAAACGCGCCGCGTTTCTTACGGCCCTTCGTGCCGATAGAACCGGGAGGAAGGAGGAAGGAAGAAATCGGAGCCAGTTACGATTTATTTTCCACATACCAGCCGAGCTAACGTCTCGTGACGCTTTCTACGCTTCGTAATATAATTTAGACGTTTACTCGCACGACGATTGAGAGGCGGACTCGAAGCGAGGTGAGAAAACGAATCTCTCTCTCTCTCTCTCTCTCTCTTTCTCACTGCAAATCCAAATGTATGATTTTTTTACACGCATAAACGTGTAAAAATGATATGTCCGACTGAAGCTCTTCTCACATGTTCCTTGCCTTTTTACGTTACGTCATTTAAAACGTTTAATCGCGTTACATTATAAATTAACATTCAATTAATGAAAAATTAACGTCCAATAAACATAATAAATATTATGATCAACAAATAAGTAAATAAATATATAAATATAATAAATTATAAATTAACGTCCAATCGATGTTAAGTGGCGTGATTTCAAACAGCAAGAAATGTGTAAAAAACGCTTCAGGTAAAATAACATGGATTTGCATTCTCTCTCTCTCTCTCCCTCTCCCTCTTCCTCTCCGTACGCGAGGAATCGAAAATTTAACTCGACGAAATGATACCGGTTTCTGTCCCCCTCACCCAATCGAAAAGCGACGAAAAAGGAAGGTGTCTTCGCGACAAAAGCTACCGGGCTACCTGAGGCACCCGTTTTTGTATAAATCACTCGTCGAAAACGCGCTTGGCCGTGCGCGCGCGCACGCCCACGTGCGAGAGAGAAAGAGAGAGAGAGAGAGAGACTCGCTCGAACTTACGACGTCGTTCTTTATAATCGTCGTCGATGATGAATCGGTCGAGTCGCAAGCCCGACGACGACGATAACAACGAATATATCTCTCGGACCGCTCCGTACAGACCAGCATTCCAGAGAAATTCGTGTATCTCCCTCCGTGCACTCCTCGAGCGAGCGACCGCATTTACGCGCCGGCTCTCGCCCTGGAGCACGACGAGAAAATGAAATCGTCGGCAACACCTGTCGAAATTCTCGACGATTAGCGGTTTGACGCGTTTTCCCACGTCAATGGAGAATATCGGGCGAGATCCGCGCGCTTTCGACACGATTTCATACGTGCGAGGTATAACGAGATATAACTCGAAGATTATGACCTTAATGCTCTTTTCGATCCGAAACCTTCGATCATTTCAAAAGGAAATCCAAGTCTTTGGACAATTCGAGTATGTCAGGTTCCCTATGTTCTCTCTCTCTCTCTCTCTCTTTCTGCCGCGCGATTCCGGGGATTCACGGAACTGTCTCTCATACAGAAGAAGTATTTTTCGCGTATCGATTTGATTCAAGTTTACAACTTACGACTAGTCGAGCGGATAGACGAAAGGACGAGGAGACCGAGGGAGACGCGGCCGTTATCGCTACGAAACGTCGGTGGAGGAGTAGCGTTTACGGCCCGGTCAGCAGCCGGGGACCAATGGCGATGGAAGAGGAAAGAAGGCTAGTAGGGAGAGAGAAAAAGAGAGAGAGAGAGAGAGAGAGAATGGAAAAGAGAGCACGAGAGAATTATCTGTCGTATTTTCTTTCATACGTCGCGCACCGTGCGAAGCGGTTAAGCAAAGGTCAAAAGTTGAGCAATCGGTCCACTCTTATCGGTGCAAACACCGCCTGCCGTCGTGTGCAACGCGACGCGATGGACGACGAAGGAGGACAGAGCGAAGGAGAAAAAGCGAGAGAAAGAGGGAGAGGGAGGTTGATGAATCTTCCGCTTGTAGTGTCTGCTGAAACTCGGTCCCCGCGCTTTTCGTCCTCCTTCGGCCAGACCTCACGCTCGCGCCTCGAGACTTCCGCGATAATCGGATAAGCGATTAAAACGAGGTAAACATCGACGCGGGGGGACCAGGGGTCGGGTGAGCGTCCACGGCGAGGGAGAGAAAGAGAGAGAGAGAAAAGTGCTCCGTTGGTAGGTAGGTAGGTTCACGAGATGAAGAAGAGAAAGGGGGACGAGGGAACGAGAATACGCACAGTGGGGTGTGATGGGGGAGCGAGGAGCGACTTCAGGCCGTAAGAAAAAGAAGACGAGCTACGCGTAACGTACGACGGGGAGTCGTGCCTGCCGAAGGCGCGCGGCGCCACGGTACCCCCGACGCGACGTTGCGACTATAAGTAAGTCTCGCGCGGCGCGCCGCGGCTTAATGCCGTTGCCGCGTCCGTGGCGCCAAGAGGAAGGCCCATTAACGACGATAAGCCCCTTTCGCGCCCGATACGTACAAGAAGAGTAGAGAGAGAGAGGGGGAGGCGGTGAACTTATATTCCGTAGGATGGTGTGGATCAGCAACAGTGCAGATAACACGTGGCTGTCAGTCGCTGGCCGAGCGCGCGCGCTTCTCCGCCGCCGTGTCAGTTCCCGCCAGTGATCAGTGTGTGTCGGTCTATAATTCGGCGGCGCATTATGCGACATCGCATCGTCGCGTAGTCGCGGAGATTTCGGCGGCGTAACGAGGAGGAAGTGTGGTGGAGGGTGCGCGCGAACCCCCTAGTGCCGGCCGTCGCGATAACACACCCGATAATCGCGTGGATCGCTCTCTCCGAGCGGTTACCCCGGCGTCGAATGACGGCTATGTCCGGTGTAGTCTACACTCTGCTGAGCCTCACGGCCAGCCTCCACTGCAGCGTGCGCCCCGACATCAACCCGTGCACCTGCCGGCAGGAGGAGTATGCCAGTCCCGTTATCAACTCGGTGCAGCCGATCGCCGCGACCGCCAACGCGAACAACAATGCCGCGATCGGAGGTAGCGGCGGCGGCGGAAGTGCCAGCCACCACCGGGAACGTATCGAGGTGTGGTGCGAGAGGATGAAGTCGTTCAACAGTGTGTCCGTGGCGCTAAAGAGCAAGTTCACCTCCGAGCAGCAGATCACCCTGCGGCTGACGCACTCGAGTCTGCGGGATATATCGCAGCACGACTTCAAGGAGCTCAACATGTCCATCACCCGGCTGTACCTGAACCACGACAATCTGGGGTGAGTGATCACGCCGGCCGATGATGACGCACGAGGACGCGAGAAATGCTATTAACCCTGGCCGGTCATGTCCGCCTCGCGTGTCCTCCCAGCCGACTCCGTGAACCAACTGCTCTCTGCTCATTGATAGTATGTATCACTGCCGTGGGAGTAGTTGAATGCTAACCACGCCAAGTCGCCCGATGAATTTCGAACGTTGCGGAATCGTTCGCATCGCGAACGGTCGACCGAGCGAATGCGCACATTTTCGTTCTCGCTGTTTGCACGTCGACGAGCAGCACGAGCAGCATTCGAGCTCGCGCGCCTTCGGACGCACACGATTTATATGAATGTTGACAATTATATTAACCACGTGTAGTCGCCCGACATATGCGATCGATGTCATTTGTCACATCGTGCCGTACACGACGACACTTCTTTCCAATGAGTTTCATCACCGATAGGATAATGTATTTCTCGAGAATGATTGAAAGACGAATCCTCCTATCGGACGCTGAAAACGTTGCAAAACTCAACGGAAAAGCTGTCGCACTTTTTATTATGCACGTTCGCTCAATGAATTTATCCACCCTGGGCCAAATTCGTCTTAGAAGCTTTCGCGCTGAAAGCATCGGTTCTATCTTCTTCCAGCATGTGATGAGCGATAAAGATAAAACGAGGCTTTCGAAACGAAGGCAGCCTTAATATATGAGTGGACCGGCGAATGCTAAAATCTCGCCGGTGAGGACCGCCGAGGGAAATCACCGGGGGCTCGTGATAAAGAGAGAAGCGAAAAAGGAGAAAGAATAAGAGAAAAAAAATGGTCGCCTGTCCGGCCACGTTACTACACCGCGCGTGTTACAATGTCGCGTGAAGATAGCGATACTTATCGAAGACTCCGCTTTTCAAACGCGATAAACGATTGTCGCCCGCACCCCTTTCTTTCGCCTCGTCGATATCTCGTTGCACGCTCCGACGATACGCCGCGTTATCCGTGGAATGCATGAGACATCTCCGGTCTCCGAAAAACCTGTCAACACGAGGGATAGATAGCGCGGTAAAAAAGAATTAGCTTCAGCACAGCTAAAAAACTAGCCTCCACAGGTAAAAATTCACTGTCCGTGTAATACAATGGAAATTTCGTTAATTCTTTTATCCCTGTGTCTATTTTTTAGCTCTCGCGGTTAAAAACTAGGTCTGATAATTAAATTTCACTTGTGTTATAAGGACAGCTCATTCCTTTTTTTCCGTGTGAACCAGTTGACGAAAACAGCCGACAGACCTACTGTCTGTAGCTTTCAACGGGTATCGTTACGTTGTCGTCGCGCAGGTACGATATGCGGTGGAAGAGCTGCGCAATCACAGCGTAACGATAACGACAGTTTCGTTAAAAGTTACAGACTCATATAGGAACCCCGATCTGTCCTGAGTGTACGTTTTTCACTCCAATTCCCCTTCTACTCGTATGAGCGTGACGTATAACATTGTTCCAGCTTAAAGAATCAGAAAGGCATATTTAGCGTTCGACACGTGTTCAGAATACCTCTAGTAGCTCTATCCTGTACCTTTTCACGACAACGACCGCATTCGGCGAAACGTTTACTTTTCGATCGTTGAAAGTTCTTATTTTTCTTTTTTCTTTCCGATCTCGAGGAATAATTCAATCTCAGCACAGAGAACTTCCAACAGTTGTAAAATGAAAGCGGCCAATGTCGTTACCTATATTTCGCACATAGCTTCTCTACCATACGTTACACCTGCGGTGACAACGTGACGACACTCGTTAAGATTACAGGCCTATAGGACACGCGAGTCGAGCGCAAAAAATTCCTTCCCTCTCAAGCGGAAACAATGGTTATTCGTGACGTTCACTTGAGAAGAAAAGATGGAAGTTGAAATTAAAGGAACACGTTTAGAATTCACGCGTCCGGAATAGGGCCTCCGAAGAGAAGGGCGCGCTCGCGCGTCTGTCATTCGTGTAACCCAGCGCGTACTCCGTCGCGTATAGTCCGCCTGTAAGTGTGCCATACACGTCGATACTGGCGGCGGCCGGTATCTTTGCAAAAGGTCATCGTCTGCTATTGCGGACATTGAATGGAGACGTTTGTACATGTACAACAAAGAAGCGATCTTAATTCTCACAACGAGTATTTGCGAAGGCGTTCGCGGCTCCGCCGGCGTGTAACGCGCTCGGCTTGGCGCGAAGAATCCTACGACGGCTCCGGAGGAGACCGGACGAACGAACGAATGGACAGACGGGGACGGGCAACGATCGCCGTCGAAATCTCACGGTTGATCGTTAAGAAGCCGCGTTAATCGAGCTTGGTAACGGCGCGCGTTCGTTGGAGAATACGCCCGATAGTAGCGTCGGTATCTGCCAGCGAGGCGGGCGAGAGTGTATTTTTTGTACATTTCCGTGGCGCCCGACATTATTAGGTAATACGATAACAATGATACGTACGAGAGAGAGAGAGAGAGCGCTTACACAGCCTCCGCACACGTATTTATAACGTACGGTATAGGGAATTTCGCAACGCGCATTCCGACCACCGCGCCGCGTACGTCACGGCGAGAACGTGGCCGGTGACGTTAAATGTTATCGCGTAAGACGATCGGAAGCAGGATATCGTAGCGGACTGGAGATACCAGTTGCGCAACGATAACTGTCATAGAGAGAGAGAGAGAGAGAGAGAGAGACCCCGGTTGAATGAACCGCGATAAATCGTCTCGGGGCTCCCCTCGTAGAAAAATCGACCCGCAGCGAATTCGCCGTCGTGGGACGATTTCGAGTTTCCTCCGGCTGACCGGCGCGTTGCCTCGCGCGCACCGGTGTCATTATCTTCCCTCGGAATAACGTCCGTCCGGTGGCCGTCGTCCTTTACGAGAGTGACAACACAAAGGACCAGCTACCGGTCTTCCTTGATGATCCCACCGCGCGTGTCGCGCGACGAGAGAGAGAGAGAGCAACCGACGGTCCTTGAGGAGGTACACGTACACGACCGTCTCCTCTTCTTCCTCGGCTCTACGTCGGGAGTACCCTCGCGCGAGACGACGGGAAGGGAGACCGGGGGGGAGGGGAGGGAGCAAGAATGAAATCTTAATCGTGCTTGACCCCTTCGCGCGCGAGTTATCGACGGAGCCGCGCGTTGTTTATCGTCGTGGAATAATTAAATAACGAGGCGCAGTGAGCCAACGTTATAAGTGAATAATCGAACGATAACGGGTGGCGCGTCGCCGCTTTTTCGACGGCTGCTAGTGGCCCGGCTCCGGTTCCCCGTTAGCTTATTATTACGCGATAAAGAACGCTGCGGCATAGTAAAGGGTGTAGTTGTGAAATGTCGTCTAGGAGGAAAGGTCTCTCTCTCTTTCTCCCTTTTCGAAAACGTATCGCACACGCGCGAAAGAGACCCGACGATTTGCTGCAGGCTCGTGGACGGCGACGTTTTCGCCGGTATGGATCGGACGCAGTACCTGAGCCTCGCGGACAACGAGGTACCGTCGATACCGAGGCACATCTTATCGCACATGTCACTCCTGAGGACCCTGGATCTCAGCAGGAACCGGATCAGCCGCATCGATTCGGACGACTTCAAGGTGAGGATCTCGCGCGCGCGGCTCAGGGCATCGATCACGCGACTTCTGCCTAGAGCGTGAAGAGATGTTTTCAAATTAGACAAATTGATTCTTTTCACGCCGGACGAGAACATTCCTTCGGGGATCGCTTCCGATCGTCGCGCCCGACAATATTTTATCTTCTCCTCCGGCATGAGCCTGCGAAAAGATTCGATTTTTTAATTTGAAAACATTCGTCATTTTCCGCTCGAGGGAGAAGTTACACAATCGATACCCAGATTTGGACGGGCGCCTGGTGACGTCCCATGGCGCGTACTTTCCGCGTAACCAATTACATCTTTCTATTCTTTTAGAAGTTCCAACAGAAATACCAAGCGTCGTAATTCATTGGTTACGCGATCACGCGGTTACGCGGAGAATGCGCGCCATGGGAGAGCCTCCAGCCTGAGATTCGTGAGATCGCGCGAGAAGGAGAAAACTTGCACGAGGTCGTGTTGACGCGCGCGCGAGGACGTCGAAACAAGATGATGCGTCGCGACACATGCGACCTGCCACGTGCCGGAAGCCCGTCTTCTGCTTACGCGGCGCGGAATTTTCGCGTTTCAGATCACCGGCGTTGACAATCTCTCGCCGCGCTCTCGTGTTGCTCCGCTACTTCGCGAAGGCTTACTGCGCCTTACTGCTTCTCTCACCCACAATCGGGGAGACTTGCTCAGGGAGACTTTTTTACGAAGAAGAATCAGTTCTCGAATACACGGGGGTCCGATTTTTCAAGTTCCGCTTCGATCGTGATTTATCGAGGAGAAAAAGGAAGACAATTTCTGAGAAAAGCACGGGGACAATCGTGTAAAAGAGTTTTGCACTGAGAGAAATTTATACTTATTTTCGGCCTCAACTATATCCTTTTTATGGCTTTAATCAGAAAAATAGCAGTAGCAGTATGCATATAAGGTTACTTTCACTGACACTCTACAGTAACACTAACTAGAAAAACGGTTCTTCTGACTGTAATTCTTTCGTTATAATGATTACAAATACCAAATATTTTTCTCTCATTATGCTATGATATTCCCCATTTTTCCCCCATTCGACTTTCTATTCAATTTTGGTGTCAAAGGTACTCTGATTACAAATATATATATGTATTACGTGTAGTTATTTACCGTTCCGGAGAAAATAGGCCCCGAAAGTTTCGATCTCGGCAAATGAAGTAATCGCCATGTTAAAATGTATTGTATACAGCTTGGCAAGTATTTTAATCCGATACCAAAATTGAATGCAAAATCGAAAAAAATGGGGGGAAAAAAATGGGAAATATCGCCTCACAGACGTTTGGCCGCGCTCTTTGCGTGACGCTACGGACCCTCTTTTCTGTTTCAGTACAACCCGATGCTGCAGCATTTGTCTATGGCGGGGAACGCGATCACCGAGATGGCCCCGGGCTCGTTGCCGCCGCTGGTGAAGCACTTGCACGTCGGCAGAAATCATCTGAACAGCCTGAATCGCACTCTGAGGTACGTCGATCGACGTGCTTTCTTTTCTCCCCGCTCTCCATCTCCCCTCTCCCACGCGGTAACTTTGCGACGGATTCGCGGAACTATTTCGCGATAGTTCTCAGAATTACGTACCATGTTGCTGTTTACTATCGATTAGCGGTATCTCTTATCAAACTCGCTCCGTTGACATCATCTCGGAAGGCAACGCGAAGCGGTGACACGCGCGCGAATCGTTGGCTACGCGCAACCCACGCGGAGTCGACCGGTCGCTAAAACTCAGACTCTGACGATCGATCCGATGGAATGAAATCTCTCCCTCTCCTTCTCTCTCTCTCTCTTTGAGCTGGGTCTCGCATTACTGCTATGTTCAGGTCAAACGTACACAATAAGTCTGTCTTACAATTAATTTCAGCAGGTAAAACGTGAAGCGTTACTTCCGTAATCGAATACGCGAGTCTAGTAAAATTAAAAACTAGCCTGTTCGGTTATCTTTTACAAAACAATGTAGATGCCAAGTAGAGCAGGCCAATTATCTCGTTCCCTTCCGTTCTGAAAACATGATAACGATATCGCTAGTATTTGAAGATTCTTCTAGTATTAGTATAAGTATTCCCACATTAGCGGCATTTGTTTAATTAAAACGTTCACGGGGGGTGTGGAAGCGCGCGATGAAATATTATTGAATCTTGTACTCTATCTGTCCGTTCTTAGAATGATAAATAAACGCTCAATTAATCTCTCTCTCTCTCTCTCTTTCTTCAAAAGGGAGAGAGGAAGAGCGTTCGGACGCGTTCTTCCCGCGTGAAACAGGATTTCCTCCCGCCCCCACCTACTCCCGCTCCCCCGGTGGATTTAGCCACGTGCCCTACCCTCGCACGTATTGCTTGCAGAGATCTGAATCAACTCGAGTGGTTGTTCATTAATTCTAACGAGCTCACGTCACTCGACGGCGAGCTACCGTCCTCCGGGCACAATCTCAAGATGCTTTACGCCGTGGATAACAAGTTGACGCATCTGCCGGCCGAGTTCCGTTACCTCCATCGTCTGGAGAGCCTCTTCCTCCAGCACAACAAGATTCGAAATCTCGACGGCACTCTGCAGAAGGCGAGGCGCCTCAAGTTCTTGGAGCTCTCGTACAACGAGCTGCAAGAGGTATTTGGCTCCGCGACAGAGAGAGGACCCTTGTGTTTTTCCCTTCGAGCTCTTGAACCGGGCCTTTAAATTCCCGTTCCTGATTTTTACAACGGCGCGCAACAAACGAGCGGCTCCTGTATCTCGTGTTCGCGCGGACGCCACGAGACTATCGTCCCACTCCTCGGAACGAACGAGCCTTTCTTCTGACGCGTTGTTTTGCACAAACCGTCCGTCACCACGGCGGCTGTTTTTCGCGCGAGCAACATATTGTTGACTTCTCCTCTGTTCTTAAGCAGCCGAGACGCGAGATCGGTCAACAATGTGTCGGGATCGAGGAAGGGGCCGTTCGAGGATGAGAGCGAATTCGCGGTACGCATTCGAAGCGCACGTGCTCTCGCGTTGATACGCCTTAACGCGCCGCCGGACGGACGAGGCGTTCGCGCGCGCCGTACATTGAGTCAATTTACCACGACGTAACGTAATTATTGCCGTCTTCCGCCAGGCGGAAGGATCTCGTGTTCCCCCCCTCTCTCTTTCTCAAGCGAACGTCTCTCGACTTTCCCGTCTTCGCGCCTCTCACTCGCTCGGCCGTTGAATTAATGAGGCGCGCGCGCGATCACACATGGATAGCGAATTGAACGGACGCTGAATTGTGCCCCCTCAGTTGAACGCGGACGATTTCATAGAAGCCGAGATGTTGGAGGACCTCGAGCTCGGGCACAACTCCCTGAAGTCGCTCGGCGGCGCGGACGGCGACGGGAACGGCAGCAGCGCCCTTTACCCCCTCAGGTCGCTCAAGTGCCTGAACCTGACGCATAACGAGCTACGCGAGTTCTCCCTGACGTCCCTGCGCGGTCTGCGCGAGCTCAGGATGTTCGACCTGTCGAACAACCGGATCGCCAGACTGCACAGGGGTAGGCTCTCCTCGGAGGTAGGTACCTTGCTCATTGGAGGAAGAGGCGCCGGACGAACGCTCGTCTCTTCTCTGTCGCAGAATCTCGTGGAAGAGGAGGGCGAGGAGATCGCAGGCGGCAACATCCAGGACATGTGCCTGCAGCATAACGAGCTGCGCAGCTTGGACGGCTCGGTGTTCCTCGGCATGAAGGAACTGCAGAGGCTCAACCTCAGCCACAACGCGCTCGGCCCCACGATCGGACCCCGCGATCTCCACGGGCTCGACGGACTGCGCGTGCTCGATATCTCGCACAATCAACTCACCACGCTTGAGGACACCTCGGAGGTAAGCCACTGCTTTACCTTTCTTCTCTCTATGCATTCTCTCTCTTTCTGTAAGTACAGTATAGGTATAAGTAGTTATATTAATATCACACACTTTCTGCATACCGCGCTCCAGGGAACTATGTCCCGGAGTATATATATATATAATAAATGCTGCTACGCGGAAAAAAATGCTATCGAATCAATACAGTTTCCAATAGCGGCGTAATAAATCTTGATTCAATGGCAAATATTGTTTCAAGTATTAGTTTCAATGATGTAATCATTGATTGAATCAGGAAGGTTCGCTCTAATTACACATTAGAAATGGAAATTCGATCGATTCAACATCGTTTTCCCGCCTCTCTCTCTCTCCTTCCTCGGTGGAAGGAATCGAGTAATCGTTCGCCGTTGCAGACGTGGCTGCCATCCTTGGAGGAGCTGAATGCGTCGCACAATCGCTTGGTCACGTTATCCGGCCGCGACTTTCGTGGTTTCCCGGTGCTCTGTTGGGCCGACGTCAGCATGAATCAGATACGCACCCTCATGCCGGAGCTGGTGGCCAATACGCGGTGCACGATTCACGGGGTCTCCGACGTGCTACGTATATACCTTCAAGGTGAGTTTATATCGGGATCTCTTTCTCGCGAAACATTCCCCTCCGCCGCGCCACAGCCACCTCTGTCGTCGTCCTTTCAGCACCGCTTTCAATATCGCTCTCAGTGCTCAACACTTTCGCTACAGCGTATACGTGACAGCCCCATTCGCTCGCTCGCGTGTTTACGTGCGAGAGATTGTTTACGATATAACGTTATATAACGGCGGTGAGCGGTTAAAATTAAAAGCCGCGCGACGTTCAAAACGTGCGGTATAACCGGCGATTAATTTCTGATGTTTTCGAAAAGATTGCACGAGAAGCGATAAGCTTTTCTTCCTTTCCTGCTTCCGAAACTTACACACGATGCCATTTCGCGGCGGTGCCGTACGAAATGACGGATAACTTTTTATCATTCCTCGTGCCTATATCCATTCCTTGTTTTATTTCAATCGTTATTTTATCGTTATTTATACATATTTTTCTCGACTTCTTTCTTTCTCAGCTATTGACTCGCCGATAGAGTATATATCTTCTTACTGTTTACTATCTTTATATAACTAAAGAATACTACACTGTATTCGATAAAGATACAAATAATGATAATAAGTTGACGAAAGTATCAGTGGATTTGATTCGGATCGTGACGTCGCGTTGACGGGATACACGTTGTATGTTATCATACATCCGCACAGTGTGCAAAAGGCTCTCCACAGACGGACGGTAATCGAGTTAACTGTCGTAGACGAGACTCTGATTCCTATAGAAGAGCCCCTGCTTGGTGACACGACAGTTAGCGACGTAACAGATTCCGAGTCCGCCTGGGAAGAATGACAGCTTTCCTTTGAGTATTCCTCTCTGTCTTTCACTTTGAGATATAAAAACGTTCACATTTTAACGTAAGCGTTTTACATTCTAACGTCGACGTTTTGCGTCTTAACGTCAACGTTTCATCACGTTTTAACGTAAAAACGTTGAGAGGAGACAAACGAAAGATTCGAAGAAAACGTCACGAATTCCGCTCGACATTATCGTCTTTCCTCTAAACTCAGCATCCGCTCGGACAAACTTTGCCTCCCGTTCCGCGTACTTCCGTTTCTCCCTCCTGCCGGATCTCGTCCGCTAATATTGCTCGCTATAATCGGCACACGATTAAATTCAATTAGGTCGTTAGACGTTGATCGAAGAGAATAGAACGACGCGGCGTCGCATAATTAATAAATACCGCTTATAAGGTCTAACGTGGACAGGCCAACAGGAGGAAAACGAGCGAAGCGAGAGAGGCGAAGAGAGCGGCCGGCCCGGCGGCTCGCGAGGAGGTGCAGTGGGGGCGGAGGATGGACAGAAAATAAATTACTCGCTGATAATGGCCCGTCTCCGTTTGGCTCCGGAGGCGCATATTATTTGTTACATTTCTCGCGATAACCCTCGCAGTGGCGCCATCTTGAATTATTTATTGTATACCGGGCTCCGTCTCTCTCTTTCCCACTATGCTCCGGAGTCGAACTGTTGTTATTGTTAATATCGTCTTCGCGAGAGCACGTTATCGCGCCCAATCCCGTTATCTTCCGCGGCCGGTCTCTCCAGCCACGCACCATCAGCGTCACTCTCTCCTTCTTTTCCTCGCTCGCGTTCCCATCGGGAAAGCCGCTCCAGCTTCGCTGAGCTGGCGGCGGAAAATTCGTCGACCGTGTGAGTCGCGCGCTCGTGGCCGTTTCAAAATGATCGACGTTTAAAGGCCGTAATCTTTGTTATCGCGGCTGGCGCCACGCAGCCATTAATCCTGCACGCCTTTACGATAAATTTTTCACGATAATTCACGTAAAAATAATTACGATCATAACATAATATTGTGGATCGTGACTCGCCAATTTAGGGCTATAACGAGGAGCGAGTAGCCGGTGGAGAGGCTCTCTCTCTCTCTCTCTTTCTCTTTTGCGCTACGACTGCTTTTCTGCGTCATTTGATTTCATTTTTCATCTTTAAAATTCATTAGTAATTTTCTTTCTTTACCTGCGTGTCAGCAAACTATAATTTTTCTTTCCAATAATTTTTTTTCTCTTTTGAGTTTTCCTTTTCTTTCATTTATTTTTTTATTTGAAACCTACTTGTGCGATTGATTTATAACTACTTTACTTTTATTGTTGTATAAACTCACCAATATTCTTATTGTATATATCTATATATATATATTTTTTGTCCTTTTTTCTTTGTGTGTACAATTTTCTATTATCTACTGTAAAAAAATTTTTTTGCCGTCTGACTTGTATAAACACTTACTTATTAGTCTTTAGAGTCACGCTTTAAGACCGAAGTAAATTCTCTCTCTCTCTCGTATAAGTTTTTCCCACCCCTCCCGCCTCCTTTCTCGTCTCGTCTGCCATTCCCATTCTAACGCACACACACACACAAACTTGCGCTTTGTTGCCCGCAGATAATCCCGTGCTGTGCGACGCCGGCCTGGCCGATCTGACCGTCGCGCTCGAAGTAAATCACGCCAAGGTTTATGGGGTCGGCAACGATTGCCCAACCACGACGACGTCGGCGCCGATGGTCGAGCTGACGTCGGCGATGCCGCCGGCGCCGTTGCCGCCGACGCTGCTGTTGGCCGCGGCCGCATCTGGCGGCAACGTGTCCTTCGCCGCCACCCTCGAGTAGGGGGTCGCGCGTCGCGACCCCCCCGGTGGTGGTCGCGCGCGGAATCAGAGAGAAGGAAGCAGCGGAAGTAGAACGGACGCGAGGTTGGAACCTCTCCAGGGAAGCTTGCGGGGCTCGTTCGTCCGTCCGCTCTCGCGCGAGGATACGGCGGGGGGAAATGGTTGTCGAAAGAAGAATATCCACCAAAGTGCGAGCGCGACACGTCGTCTCTCCAGCGACACCCACGCTAGTATCGTATCGCGTGTATATCGTGCGTGAATGTACCAAGGGCTCGATACTCCGCGCATTGTAGCGAACTCGGGAGTTCCGCTCGCGTTCGGCGAGGCCCTTGCGCGCTTCTTTATACATTGTAAATAGTCTCTATCAGCGGAAAGTCCCATTCTCGCGCATAGGCTGGTTAAGCCGTCTTTGATTTAGCGTTCTTTCTCGTCACACGCGCGTATAAACAGTGGATCGCGCGAAACGTCGCTTGAATTCACGAGCGTGTCGACGAATTCCTCGGATTTCCCGGCGGTCGCGTGCGGAGGAGAGAGATGTTTCATCGTGTGCGAATAATTCGCCGAGCGGGGATTTCGATCGAATTCCTCCGTGCGGTCCGTGTGTATATGTAAATTGATTCCCCGGCGGGTCAATGGAGCAAATGAAATCTGTTAACTTATGCCATGTGGCACGGGCAGATTGGCAGTGGGCGATCAATTGACTCCTCCGTTAACTCGTGCCAATAGGGACGAATTGTTATCAGCGTGCCTCCGCGCATACATAATAGATCGGCCCGTTTCTGTGCGCGAGCGAGAAGACCCGTGCAGGTGTGAACGCGCGATGATTATATTCGCGGGAAGAGGCGGCGTGCGCGCGCGAGAAAGAGACGTCGCTCTCCACGAATTGAGGATCCCGTAACGTTATTAATCCGCACTAACCGCTGATCGTCGATCTATAAAATCCACGGGGTCGCGAAGTAACTTCTTCCGCCCGGTTCTCGTTAACGCTAGAACCGCGGCTGGGTCATTTCCGACCTATTTGTACATTCCTTTCTCCCAATTTCTTTGAATTTCCACCATTGGGAAGCTTTCTTCATCGTAAGACGATTAAACGAAGTTGGAGAAAGTCCACGAATAATTATGAAAAAAAAAAAGAGAGATGGGTCAAAAGAGTGACCTATCCGTGGTTCCAGGAGGGAAGGAATTGCCGCGGTTCTGGTGTTAAACGTACACATATTGCAGAAAGGCAGCCAATAGTACGACTGCTAGCTTAATTAGCTAGAACTCAGAATCAAAATAATTTATCTGTTAAGTATTTTAACAATGGAGGGGAAAGCCCTGCGTCGTGGACATCGCGAAAGCCGCGGAGGAAGTATTACGATGATACTGGCGAACGGCGCGAGTATCCGCTCGCATTACGGAACACATACACATCGCCGAAGACGATCGAAAACGTCAGTTAGAAAATTTCACACGTCGTGTTGGTCTTACTTGTAAGTGAATCTCTCGCGATGTCTGCTAGCGCTATTACGTATGATAGGTACCATTTATACATATGTATATGTATATATATATATATATATATATATATATATATATATACTTATAAAAAGACAAAGCAGAGACCTGTTTATAATTTTAGCATCTAAGTTATTTATCCGCACTGTGATTCGCAAATTGGTCCCCTCTTCTCCGGTTATCTTTACGTCGGACAATCGCAAACGACTCTTGTAACGGAAACGACACAGATTAGAGGAAAAAAAAGTGAAAAGGAAGAAAAAAAAATATATATATATATCGTTGTATCAACGGAACAACGAACAGCACGATCGAGTGAAACCGTTGCCGATATTTAGACAACGACGTGTGTGTGGTATGTTACATATCTTATATGTATAACTTTTACTGTAGCATAGACGTCTTAACTTTTATTAATAAAGACTACTCTCGCAAGGAGGGATATAGAATACTTATAGGGATATAGAATACGTTACTTCTTACAAAATATGTTACCTCAAGAACCATCGTAATTACATAACACTGGTATCAAATCGTTTTAAGATTTTTTTCTCGTTTCTTTATAAAATACTTCAGATATATATTTCGTACCTGACACAAAAATAGGGTGATGTCTGACACTTTGGAGTATTCAGGAAAGTCGATAATGGAGCTCAGCTGACTTTGGTATACCTTTTTTATCTTCGGTTCAATTTCTTCAACTGAAACACAATTGTATTGTTATAATATCACTGGCTGTATCTCTCAGTTTAGATGCGTATTACAACAGTTAATAATACGTACTTCTCCAATCATCGTCTTGTTTGCACGATAATTTCACAAAGTATATGTCCTCTTTGTCTTTGTTGAGATATGTGAAAAAGGAGAATTTTATGTATTGCCGGTCCTCTTCCTCTTGGAGGTTTATATGTATATCCAAGTTCATTTTGTAGATTTTACACGCACGCTTAACAGCATCCCATTGTAAGACCTTTTTCTTCTTCCTCTGATCTATTTCTGAAATGATGTTCAAACAAATATAACAAATATAGACTCAGTCAGGTAAAAAATGATACAATCATGAATTTGTGGAGTTCGATTCAAGTATGCGGAATAAGACTTACCAATCTGCAAGTCCATTATCTCTATCTCTAAAGCACTGTATTGAGCCATCATCTCGCCTGACTCTGTCTTTAAGTTCTCTTGTGACTTTATGGCATTGGATATTTGTTTATCTACTTTTTTTTCTTCCAACACAACGCTGTCTACAGCGGATTTAACCGTGTTGATTTCCTGCTGCAGCTCCGAAATTTTTTCCGCGTTGACAGATCTCTTCTTGGTGTCATCTGCGAAATATGATGACATGAAAAATTATTGACGATTCATTCGATAGCAAGCAAGGTTACTCGTGAATACAAAGCACTCACCTGCTTCAAGCAGAAGCCTCTCTTCGATCTCGGCGGCAACCCGCGATCGAAAGTCCCGACACGAGGATATCCATTTCTGCAGAATTGTGTGGTCGTCATTCTGTAGCACTTGCAGTATGTCACATTTGAGTATCTCGACATCCATCGCACTCTCGAGCAAAGAAATTCACGTGAAACACTCCGACGACGCTTGCGAGCAGCTCAACCCGTCACAGCTGCCTCCAAAATCCGTTTCGAATATTTCAAACGAGCAATAACGGCAATATCACGCAGCGAATGTCACTAGATTCATATTCACGCTCGTTCGCCGAAGGGAAATGCGCGAGAATGCTGCCGCCATCTTCCGTAGATAAGCATTCTCGAATGAATGCATATCGACGGGCGAGTTATCGACATTTATACTATCGATCTTCTCTACCAAACAAGAAAAATGAAAAACTTCCCGCTACATTTGAACGGAAATTATTTAACGTAATAAAATAACACTTTGACAATCTTGTGTATGGCACTGCGGTACGCTGTCGATCATACACAGTGGTAACATGAAACATGAAAACGTGAACAGAATGCTCGTAACATTTGTAATTCAATGTATTAAAACATCATCCGATTGGAGTTCGCTTCAGTTTCGCATTTTCTCTTATGTTTTCCCCGATATTCTCGTCATCATCTTTTCACTCGAGATGTCCATTTCAACGTCACCCACTTTCATTGGATGAAAAGAGGGAGTCTACTGCTTGGAGGACGTAGGAAGGTTATCTCCTACGAAAGAAACGGTTGCCCGGCTTAAAATGCACTCCCAGTAATTCATCACAGAGCGAGAGTTTGTCGTTCCCACCTGACAACAATATATTGGAAATATATTCACAGCTTGGTGCACCTATCAATGGCGATGAGGTCTGAGCTGGTAAAATTTGTCGTGTTATCTTCGGAAAGAGTAGCAAGTCCATAGAATTATCACCGATAATCTTAAAATTATCTGCAAGATATATATCAATAGTTTCGTGAAAATGATTAAATCGACCACAGTTATCACAATGATGTCACTTTCTTCTGAGAGCCAACCTTTCTCGTAACTTCTTCCCGATTCTTCTTCCACGACTGTTCGACAATTATGCAGCATTCTCTCTTGCCCTTTAGGAACACGCATTCCATATTTATCACGGATTTTCTTCTGCTTCAAGTGATCCCTTATGTGATACATCATAAATGAGTTGAGATGCGTGGTGTATTTACACTTGTCGCATTGCAGGTGGGAGCGAGAATGCTTCGGTTGCTGCTGATTTCTGTTGTAGATTTTAGCGTCAACTCTGCTACGATTGATGCAGCTACCGACAATCTCCACGCTGGTGCTCTTTGTAATCTGCGGCGGTTGACTCGGTCTCGGTTTGTCGCTGTTGCCTAGAAGTTCCCCCTCCTCCAGGCTATATTTTCGCTCTAGAAATCGTAAGATATGATCCCGAACGTTGCGTGTTTCCGTCTCGAGCCTGTCGAGAGTGTTAATGTGATTGGCGCAACTGCGACAGATCACGTCGTCCTCCGATATCACGACCATGTATCTGCGTGACAGAAAATGAGGAAATAATACGTCAACACTCGGGTTATCTCGTGCAAACATTTCCGAGCCACAGTCTGGATATGTCTGGAGTTGTCATGTGTAAATAACTGATAAAGCAGATCCATAACCTCTCGCCCACCAGCTCGCCGAGTTTCTCGATCACCTTCGATCGCGAACTTTGCGTTTTGCATGCCGCCAAATAGTAATAGCGTCCCTGAACGTCGGCCTCGCAAACGAAACAGCGCAGTTGTTCTTTTTTAATACCATTGTTATTGATCATGCTTTCCATGATCACAAAAATCGATAAAAGCTGAAAGTCGCGCCGTTGCACTTGTTCCTTCAAACAAGAGGCTCGTCCTCCTCAACTGCAACAGGAGTGAAGCAGAACGAAGGTTAGATACGTGAAGGAAGCATAAATTAAAGCAAGAACTTTCTAGTCGTCAATAATACAGAAATGAACATGTCAGTCAGATAAGCATGATTATAACTATCATTACGAACAAAAAATAAATGATTAATTATATACTTTGCTACATACAAGACACAAAAATTGTAGGAACATTTTCCTTGACAGTTAAACACAGTAATACCACGTTGAAAAATGATTGATTCATTTGCAAGCGTTTCATTAAATTCGTCTTAATTTTTGAGATATTAATTATCGAAGTTGAATTACACGGCTCGCCAAAAAGGTTTGAGTCTCGGCTCTATAATGTTAGTTGAAAAAGGTTTGAATCTTGGATGTGTTTCGATTTTAGTTCCAAAATCTCCGCTACGAGCGCTATTGTATTTACCGAGAAATCGAAGTCGTGGTACAACTCAACACAAGTCAGACGTTTCCTTCATTTCTCAAGTAGTATAACATTACACACCAATGAGCGATATCCAATGGCAGCTCTTCTTTTTAAAGGGAGGCCAATGTGCAACGGGTTTTAAATGTAAAAGTGTCAAAAGAGTAAGCAATACGAACAGACCAGTTGACAGTAGGTCGCCAGTAATCGTCATTCTAAAGACCAATCAACTGTTCGACTGTGACAAATTTAGGGATCAACGTGCGATATAGTTTAAAGCATCCTTATGAATTAAAACTATTTTAAAAGTCGTCAGTCGATTTATTTTACGTTACGAAAGCAATGGCATTAAATCTAATCAAGCAGGTAAATGTTTTTATACTATGGTGATAAAAGTGTTACTATTTTCATATGATAAAAATGATAGAACATAATTTTATATTATATATTTGATTTTCCACATCAAGATAAATACTCTTGTTTTCAGATTACAGTACTTGGACAACGTTCACTCATAAGAAACAGTTTGTATGCAAGATTCTCTAAATTGTACGAACCGGATTATTTAGAGGTTAGAATTGCAGACGGTTATATTAAATATATTTAACATTCCGTTGACTTTCTGACTTTTGTAGACAGGAAAATCGAAGGTTCCGCTGATGCCCACGGTAAATATACAAATCAGAAGCTATGACTATCCGGTACTCGAGAAATATCAAGAATATATACACAAATTGGCTGATATCATACAGGTTGACATTGACGACAGGTGAGTCTACAAAGTGTGTACAAAAATTTGTTTTTTCTCGAAAGTTTATTTTCATATAGTCAACATTTTTGCACACACCTAATATATCGTTTGTTAAAGTTTTCTATTCGATTGGATTCAACGCAATCATTATTCTTCTAGTTGGGCAATGCCACCTGAGGAATTCAAAGTACAAAGATATAAAGGCAAAACAACAGTGATAGCAGCTACATACAATTTTAAACTATATGAAAGAAATATACAAATATCAGAGATATCCTCTATCAAATGTTCGGCACTAATTAGGATATTGGAAGCAATCTTACCACAGGGTGTCAATCTTAATGTAGATGTTTTCAGTCCTGAGTTGGATAAGAAACGATACGTGCCGGACAAAGAATTGCTCGATTTGAAGTCTACATTGGATACATTGAAGAGCAATAAATAGTTTAAATTATATTGCTATAATTGAGATGAGAAGGATCTAACTTATATTGAGATCTTGTGTGCGTCCCATGTATATTAAAAATACTCTTGCAGTATATAACTTCAAATAAATTGGTGATGTACAAATTTAGGAATAAATGCAACTTAGGCAACAAATTTAGGAATAAATGCAGAATCGCTGTAAAAGAAGATTCCTTTTTTTTATTAATTTTGCAAAGAGATTATAAAATATGTGCAAAGGAGTTATAAAACTATTCGTACAAATTATTTTACGATGCAGTCTTATTACGTCTCTGGGCATCTTGGTGTTATAATAGACCAAAATGCACGACTTTGATCTTTGTACTGTCGTCAGATTTCGGGGATTCCTTTATTTTCTCGTCCGTGTTGTCCTCTACAAAATATCAGACTTTCGAATAACAGCCGGTACAAATCATAATACTCTTTACACACTGAAATAAACGCCAGTTGAATACTCACTGGACAACGATGGGAGATCCTTCAGATAATCCTCGTTGTTCGGACCCAGTGGAAGACTTTCGGCTAATTCATGATCTGTCGAGTGCGCTTGTACAGGGGGTCGCTTTTGCCTGTGTACCTGACCCTGTGAAATACATAATAACATTAGAGATGATTTATACACGGATAAAGATTAGGAGCACCGCCTACATAATAAATACTACATACATAATAAATATATCAGGGAGCATCTACATAATAAAATCAAGTATTCACAAGATTCTGATTTTCTTCTAGACGTGCGCGTTGTTTGGGAAGATACACTCGCAACACTTGTATTCAAGGATCACTTACCGCGCCGGGAGGCACCAAGATGTGAGTGACGGTGTCTGAGAACTTCACCTTGGGCTTCTCGTTGGAGCTGACCGGCGCGTCGCTGCCGTACGGAGGGCACGCGTAGATCTTCGAGCTCGCGGTGCCGATCACCGGCAAAGGCGGCACATTGCAGGACATCTTGGCCTCCTTGCTCGCGTTAACGCTCTGGGAGGATCTCAACAGGTGATGCCTGCTCTCGAGCAGTCTGCGCTGCACGCTGTAGCTGGGCTGGAAGTTCGGCATGGGATCGAACTTCCTGCCGCCGGTCGCCGCGGCGGTTTGCGGCGACCGTTGCGGGTCCGCGTCGTCGCAGGCTGCGCCGTGGTGGAAGGGCACGTAGTCCAGGTCGTAGTTGTATCTGTAGATCCTGGAGGACGTCTTCTGCGGGATGTTGGACGCGGAGTTCTGCCTCTGCAGGACGATGTGCGTAGCCTTGTACGGTGAGAACTTGTGAACGGACTCGTCGATGTCGCTCGTCAGGCCCGGGCTGCTCCTGGACAGGGGGAAATTCTTCCTCGGTAGCCCGTGCAGGTAAGAGACGCTCGTCAGCGAGGACGGTGGCGGAATGCTGAAGGCCGTCTCTTTCTTCTCGGCTACGGGATGCTGCAGTTTGACCGGCTGGTCGCTGCTGAAGGCGTCGATATACGCGTCGCTGATGGGCGCCGCGTCGGCCTCGGGATAGTTGAATGAGGTAGACATCAGGTTGTTGGAGGTGCCGTACAGAACAGACTTGCTCGTCGCGAGAGCTTCGGTCCTCGACGGCGGATTGTCCGGCACCTCGCCGGGAGGAGACTCGGGCTTGCTGTGGGAGACGAGAGTGCTGAACGACGTGGACATGACGTTGCTGTCGAGCAGGGAACTCGCCGGATAATCGTCGGCTGGAGCGTCCTCGGATTCGTACACCGGCTTGTTGAACGCGGTCGAGACGAAGGTGTCCCCTTGCGCGGCGGGGGCGCCGTTGAAGGAATACGGTATGTCGTTGAGCAACGACTGCTCGTCGGCCGTCACCTCCGACTCGGTGAGAGACAGACTGCCGAACGACGTGGTCATCAGGTCATCCGACGCGTTGTTGAAGGCCGACGAGCTGTCGAGCATGCTCGCCGCGTTAGACGCGAAGTTCGTCTTGTACAACGGCTGGTTGAAGGAAGTCGACGCGAGGAAGGGGCTCGGCGACGAGTGGTTGAACGAAGTCGCCGTCAGGATGCCGCTGGAAGTGTCGAAGGACGCAGGCATCAGGCTGTAGTCGCTCTTGCTGGACGGGATGTCGGTGTAGGGCGCGGGGACCACCGGCAAAGGCGGGATCTGATTGCTCCCGGCCTTCCTGTAATTGTGCCTCTTCAGCTGTTTCAGGCCGGCTCGCTTCCGAGAATCCCCGCTCTCCTCGCTGTACGTTTCCTCCTCCTCCTCCTCGCCCTTCTCGTCGCTCGAGTCGGAGCACAGGGAACACGACGCTCTCGAGCACGTCGAATCTACATATGTAACCTGAGGTGTACCGTCACTCTAACCGAGTGATTTATTCCGCTATATTTCATTACCGACTTTGCGAATTCATTATAGAACGATGCCATTTTTACAACTATACATTCGCACTTGACAATCGTGTTTGGTTCTCGCCGACGAGCGATTCGTTTTCCTATCAATGCTTACGCGAGCTCCTACGGCTGTTCGATCTGCTCAAGATACTCTCGGCCTTCCCCTTGGCCGCAATCGCCAGTTCCGTGTCGTTCAACGCGACGGCGGAGAAATGTATGTCCATGAAGAGGTCGTGATCGTTCAGGTCGATGGCCAGCCTGAAGGCCTTCTCGAACATCCTGCACCTGCAGCATTATCATTCCGTTAGAAGAAATCCGCCGTCTCTCGCCGAGCCGGGATCACGTTGTCACCTCAGTAAACGATGGAAGTATCGCCTGGTCAGGTCCCGCACCTCGTTGCCGTACTCCTCCTCGACGGCTTGACTTATCGGTCTAGCGGGCACGTGGAAACTGCCGAGCGCGTTTTGTATCAGACCTGCCGGACCGATGAGATTATTAGTCCCGTCGCTTATCAATCGACCACAATCGAGAGTCACGGACGGATGACGAGCGGAACACCTCATCTCACCGTCGTGGTTCGTTGTCAGTGGTAACTTGAATAAATAATTTAAGATCTGATTGAGCGAGTGCATGCACGCGCGCGGGTGCGTGTCCCAGTTCATCGACAGCAGCAAGCAAGTCGCCTGTTTGATCTGACAGCCGGACAAGTATCTTCGGATTAGTTCGTCGCCGGTGAGACAGTCGCCTTCGATCACTTTCAGCACGCCGATCGGCCCTCTGTCGGTGCAGAACGAGTCGTCGTGAAATTTATCGCACCGTGCGCACCTTCGTGCTGCGTTTCTTACCGTTCGAACAGCAGCAGGAACAAGGAATTGCCGTTGTTGTAGAAGCCGACGTAGTTCGGGTCGCTCTTCTTGTTCCACTCCATGTGTATCAGAGCAGGCTGATTTCTGTGTTGGAGAATTACTCAATTACACGAATGTTATCGGTCGGAATCTTCTTCTTCTAAACTGTAGACCAATTGTTAGCTGGGGCCTTAGCAGAATGGATAATTTCAAAACATATATTTCATTAGTACATGTTAATATTTTACGCTCTAAATTCTTATCTGAATTATCATTTTTTTACATTTTTATATTATACAGCGGTTCGTCGTTAATCACAAGTAGAACAGTTATTTTCCAGTTTTTAAAGGCTCGAAAGAAAATCCGCTTTTTTTTTTTTCAATATTTCTGCGCTTTCTTTCTGCGGAAGATGTCGAGAAAAAGATTTTTTTTTTTTTTACATATTTTTTCAGTTTCTAGAGAAAATTTTAAAAGAATCGTTTCTTTTTTAACTATAAGCTATTGTAATATTTAATTTAAGACCTCAGACACAAGAGAGTGATTGTGCGTTGTTTAAGACTTAAAATATAGGGACGTTGTTGTGAACCGTTAGCCATTCCATTAAGGCCCTTACTCGTACCTGAAGTACGGCGACAGATCGAGAATGTTGGCGGGCGTCGCCTCGTCGCTCAACGTCTGGCTCTTGATGCACTGCAAAGCGACGTTGAAGTGCTGTAGCTGGCCTCTGTCATTGCCCAGCACGAATATCATGCCGTCGCTATGCCAAGCGGCTAAAGTGGGTATCTTAAAAAAGGGATCCTCCGTCAGTTCTCAGATATCGAGGCAGAGATATCGGGCGATCGCAGAGCCGTCGGTTCAGCTTCGTCTTAAAACTTGCAAATTTACGTTACAGGAAGATTCATGACGAGAAAATTAGAAACCGAATCGAATTGAAATCAATAAAACAATTAGTTAGACCGGTGGGGGAGCAATTTTTGCCGAAGAAGGACCTTTCTTCCTACTGTGCGTCGCGTCGAACTTACGAAGGCCGCCCTCGCGCTCGTGGTGATCGCCTTCGTCGGGTCGTACATCGTGACGGTGCCGTCGATGCAGCAGAGCAACAGTAATTCCTGATTGGGGGAAAATTTCACGCAGCTCGTGTGCGTCGGCAACGGCACGGAAATCACGGCGATTCTCTGCAATTTGTTCTGCTGGGAGACCTCGTAAGTGCGCCATTCCACGGTGACTTCTCCCTATATCGGACATACGTACGTTCGGTAATGGACGAAATGTTTGACCTCTCGTATCAAACAATTTGGGCGGCACGGTATCGTGAGCAACGACGGCGGAATAAATGATACGGCATATTACTTACCTTTCTCGAGACCTTCTGTTCTACCGAATGAATAATATTGTCATCGCATGCATCAAACGTGATACATAATGGATCGAACTCGGTGCGTATGTAACACAACGATTCTAACTTCGTTCTGAAAATTCAAATCACTAGATCGGCACAGTGCTGGGTGGATCGATTAATCGTTTACCGTTGGCCATAGCAACGACCGAGACGATGTGTAACCATACGCGGCACGTACCTCAGGAAGAATCGCGTTATTATAGCAAGTAGAAGAGATTGAAACTTGCGTGGGTGTTAAAGTCATGAGAGAGAGAGAATCGCATAGAGATGTCTCAGCATTGGCATGGCCACTGGACGGAAGATACGTTCACTGCGAAAAGATTGCGAAATTGGGAAGTGCCTAAATGGTACCCCAGCTGGCCAGACAGACATTGCGGCACTACAAAATTGATCGCCAACGACAACGGACATATATTGGACAGCGCTAAAAAAGCCAAGTGCTCGCCATGGGGAACGTATAAGGTTTGCTTCAATCCAGTCCATCGTAATGCACGCTACAAATTCCACATGCACATAAGTAACTTTTATCTACTTTCACGAAGCAGTGCGCTATTTTTTATGTTTAAGCTCCTGTATAAAATATATATAAAAATTTAATTAATAATGGATATTACGTGATATAAGAACACGTGGGATTTACCGAAAAGGATTACCAAAGGCATAGCGGAAGAATTGTCAGCACCTTGTCAGTATAGGAAAGAAGCATGGGAATTGCACAGGAAGAAACAGGAGAATCTGTGCAAGAAAATGGAGCAAGCGAAGAAGAAGACGAAGACAAGGAAAGAGATTGAGCCACCGACAGATACAGTGAGGAGAAAACAAACAGATGAGATACAAGAATCAAGAGAAGCGCAAAAGCCAGATTCAGAACAAGAACCAGAACAGAAGGCAGATCCTTGTGAAAGTACTGAGAAGAACGAAGATTGAAAGGACACATAACAAGCTATATTTCTCAGTTTGTACCCTGTGAGACGAAAGAGATGCATATTTGCCCGATGATATTCTCTCATGGCAGGGCTCCATGGGTAAACTTCATTCATTGTGGATTTCCACCAAATTAATATCTGCAAATACAAATTTCTTCTTAGAGGTCACCGATCGAACGAGTTTCTCGTTTGTAGAAACTATTCAGGGACTACTTACCAGATCTTCTGACTTGTTCACTTGAACCTTCTTATCCAGCTTACGGCCATTGGGTACAAACACATCCGTTGTGATCAATTTAGGTTCCAACTTATTGATATTGTCGAACACATGATTTTTTGGTTTCGTCAAATACACTACTGTCACTTCATTATCGTTGTATGTACAAACTATATGACTTTTAGTAATTATCACTATAAATGAAATAAGATTTTCATCGTGAATAATGTGCGAACAGCTTGACAAACGGAGCAAAGAATTACCGTCTGAGGCGTGCTCCGACAATTTCCCCACGAGATACTTGTCGAAATTAATTTTCTCTATGTCACCGCTGAAGGGATAAATTTGTATATGCGCCAATAAACCATTGCTGAACATTAGTTGCGCAATTCGGTCACTGTACCATTGGCAATAAATTATAGAATTGTCCCTGAGCTGATCCTGCGGGTGATACAGAAATTCAACAATACCGTTCCACACAAATTGAATCGGAACGTTGGCGGACAATCATACCTCCAAGTACTTGATGTAATCTTTCAATCTGCTCCCCTTTTTATTGACTGGCACATAAATCATATCGCGCTTTTCGCAGTAGGATCTTTTGCCTTCCTGATGCGTGCCATTGATTCGTTTGTCGTGATACCTGAGGGAAAAATCCCGACACCGGAGTGATTAGAAGGGATTAATCGCAGTACCGTAACAAGATACAGTTACAGAAAAGATTGAGGAGCTCGTTCGTCGGGCACGAAATTCTCCCTTACTTGAACGCGCCGAAATCCGTGTCTCTTATGTTTACATTGTCGTCGAAGGTCCAGAGCTTCAGCTCTCCCATTAACGCGAACATGACGGTGGCGGGCGCAATTATCCCCGAGTATTATCGTACACACTCACGCGTCTCCGTATACATAATAAACAACAGCGTGCGCCAACGACAGGCTAGGTTTGCTCCGTTTCCGCGCACGCGTCACGGCCAGCAGGAGAGCCTCCTCCATTTGCGTCCCCCGCTTCTACCTGGTGCTGGCTTAACACACGTTTGAGAACTATGAGGCGCGCCTTCAGACGTGCCGCCTCAGTCGTCGAGCAGCCGCGCGACTCGTGCGATCGGAAGGGAGGGAGGAGAGACAGACCCGTCCTCGCTTCCCATTTCCGTGTGTTTCACAAACCAGCGAGTTTCGCAAGTCAGTCGTCGTTAACGAGCGGCGTCGTTGTACATTATCATCGCGGTATACTATTGCCGGCGATTGCAAAATTGCTCTTACGCGTACGTACGTTACCATGCGCTCTCTGACGTAGCACAGTCGAGTTTTCCTCTTAATTCTCGCGCGACACGTCGCAACGCGCACTCCCTCGTAATACCGTCTCGCGCATCGAGTACATCGAGTGCAGCGTTCGTCAAGGAGAAATGGCGTTGATGCAGAGGTTACTGTCCAGGCCGATGCGCCTCGCTCTTGGTTCGAATTACTCCAAGTGCAAGGCCTATTGGCAGTCGCTTGCGAAAATCACCTCCACCACGCAGCCGCTCTTCGAAAAGCAAGAGTGAGTAGAGGAATCCTGGAGTAACGATTGTCGTTCTCTCTTTGTTCGTTCCGGCGAAATCTAAGAGGAAAATTCAACACCCGTCGCATTCGTCGAGAGACAAAATTTCGAATTGAAATACAATTGAAAGTAATTATAAATATTCGTACAATTATAATTCAAAGTAATATACGGGATTTTAGCTTACTTCTTTATGTATCTTTCGTATTCTGTGAAATTTGCGCAGTCTCCATAAAAAAGTTTCTTTCTTAATCTCGCTTCTCGATTGAATTGCACATGCTTTCTTAGCAAAGCACAACGCTGAAACTATTAGTAAAACTGCCAGGACTGTTAATTGTTTTAGCACCTTTCTCATTTAAGAAGCGTATTCTGGTTTCGAAAAGAGAAAACGCACAGTGTACATTATCAATAATGTTCATCGGGGACCATGCTTCTACTTTTCTCATTTGATTGTTACATTAATATTATAACATATTGATAAACATATGATGAGCAAATAACACAGAAGAAAATAAATACTACATACTTCTTTCAGAGTCAGTATAACATTTGTTAAAGCCAGTGGAGAGAGAATATTGGCGAAAGGCAAAGAGGGAGATAGTATCTTGGACATTGTTGTGAACAACGAAGTTGATTTAGATGGTTATGGTATGAAAATTCCCTCTCTATCCAAATAATTTGTTCTCTTAATAAATATGTGTCTTTGTGACAAAATATATATACATACTCATCATCCCCCTTGTATATAGGTGCTTGCGAAGGAACATTGACATGCAGTACATGTCATTTAATTTTCCCCAAGAAAGTTTATGACACCCTTCCAAATAAGCCCACGGAGGAGGAGTTGGATATGTTGGACTTGGCGTATGAACTAACCAACACGTAGGTCCAAAAATTAATTTAACTTATATTTTCACCTATTACATAACATTTACCGGTTGAGAAAGAAAAAGAGATCTCTACGTGTGAAAGGACTATAAACAGGAGGGAGCTAAATTTTACTTTGTAATATCTATTACATCTATGCATGAAGCAACTTCCCGCATCTATATTCTCAGGAAGCTCGGAATAAAATCTACCTCGAACGGGAACTTATCAGAACCAAATATCAGTCTAATACCTTCTATCTGTTATTCAAATCGAATGTCTCGGTCCCTTCTTCTGACTACATTAGGCAACTTTTATCTTCTGAAGCTTCGTGAAAATCGTTGTCGAGCTCATTCCATCGAATATTTTTTTTCACATTCAAGTATTATTGTTCATCATAGTTACAGAAATATGTTTAATTGCAGATCGAGATTAGGGTGCCAGGTAATAATGACTAAGGAACTGGACGGTATCGAAGTGCAAGTACCAACTACCATCAACGATGCTAGGACATAATGAACAAGTATGCTCTATGATTTTATACAACTCTATGAGATATCTAATTGTCACGTACGGTTTACTCCAACTTTCCGACCTGTTCCGTATTTAGTGAAATTCAGCCTATATATTTTATTATGTTTTATTATATTTAGTAAAAAAATTATATTATTATTAATGAAAAAAAAAACTTCCGGTAACGTAAGTGCATCGGTTGCAGTATAGCTAGGAACATTATACTTAGAACGATAAGCAAAAAAAAAGCCTCTTCGGGCTCTTATTGTTTATATTTTTTGTTAATATCTATTGTACAAAGCTGTAAAATACTGTATACTGTATAGAAACATTTCCCTCTATAACTGCAACTATATAAAAGATATACGGTTAAGAATTTTCGGGTTTTTTAACTGTTGAGCTGGAAGCAAAATGAATAAATTTTTGATTCGCAAATTTCTCGAAGATAAATTCCTTCATGCACTCGACACGTTCGAGAAATCATGCATATATCCACTCTTTCTCGATATTGGTTGCGCAGAATGAAAGCTTATTGAACGTTATTTGATTATATGACTGTTGCTGAAACGCGATCTGCTGTGTCATCCGTCATTCTGCATGAAATGGCATACAGTCGAACGTCGACGTAACAGAGCGAATATTCACATACCCCGACTGATGCAGACTCTAATCTAATCGAGGGGTCACGACGCGAAAGATGAAAATTTTGAACCTGTACTGATTCAACGGAATCTCGGCTATTTTCCTTGTTATATATATATATATATATATATATATATATATATATATATGTGAGGCGTATTTACGATATTGATAAGGCCAATAATTATCATTATCTGCTAGATTCGCTCAATCGTCGAAAAACAATATTGAAAAGAAAAATGCGATTAAGACACAACCGAGCGAATTGGTGCACGCGCACTCGTGGTGTTATATGTTCATAATAATTTATTTTTCTTCTTCTCAATTAATTACATACCGAACATACATCTACTGTTATTATTACATAATTATCAGTACATAAAGCTAAAACACTTTTGTACTATGCGCGTTATATGTGGACCCAACAAATAACTTACTCGCTCGATTCAGTTACGTACTGCTACTACTTGCAAGATGCGTTATATTGCTACACTACTTACAAATCCGGCGAAGTGTTTACATGTGGTCGCCAGTCGCGCAATTTACATATTTTCAGTTTCCTGCCCTGCCCGTTGTTCCAATACATCTCTACGGACGTATCCGATATATTCTCTCGTTATGTACATATACACTTACATATACACTTAACAGAGCCGTCTTTCAGTTCATACATCGTCTCGATAGAGTTCCATCATTCTCGTCTCGAGTTTTTACTCCGATTTATACAAGTCAGATGCACGAACTACGTGTGTCGGTAAAGTCTTTCAAGCGGTTCGGTAATGACTGAACGCCAGAATGTGATCAAATCACGCGCCTAGGCGAACGGTGTAACATATCGAGAAGAGAATTTTTGTAACACCGTGTATCTAGATGTGTGAAAAATGCTCTCGATCTTTCCGGGTCTGAAAATGTCGATAGCGTGACTAAATTTAGAAACCTGCGAAACACTAATTTGCGACACGTAAGTGCGTTACGACATACCCATGGGTGATCGAACGCGTCTCTTTACGCGGCTTTATATAAGCCGTTACGTTGCACAATTGCCTTTATGGTTTCGCGCAACACCATAAGTGGCAGGAGTTTTCTCTACTCTCACTCTTTTTCTTCATTCACGCTCAATTATACAGGAAGTTATATTCCAAATATTATGGATATATCAAGCGTAAATATATACATTTATAGAGAGAGAGAATGCAAAGACAGAGAATGTTAATCTAGAAACTCCGCGCGTACGAGTGTGAAACCGAGCATTAGTATATTCTTCTTAATTTGTAAGGATTTTTTTTTCGTGTGTATTTTTGAATGGGTAACCGGAGTTTTATTTTTTTTTTTAATATTGTGAACGGAAAGAGAGAATTCAAGACTCCTGGGTGCGACTTTCTTTGTTTAATGAAGCGTCAGAAGCGAGACAAAAGCCAAGAATTTTTGCATTATACGTTCAAACAATAAGATATACACACAAAATGACATTTGTGATTCAGCACACTTGTAAAATTATCTAAACACTTTTCTTTTACCCGAACAACCAATAAATAATTTCTTTTACTCGAAAAATCAATAAAATATTCGTTACCGACGTTAACGCAAGATTAACTTGACATAGAATCTTTCCTTTCTAATTTCTCTTCTCATGATTTTGTCAGTGTTAATTTTACGACTATTTACTGATTGTTCGAGTAAAAGTGTTCGTTCAATTTTACAAGTATGCTGAATCGATTGCCATTTTGTAGATATATCTATTTATTTAAACGTATAATAACGTAAAAAATCTTGGCGCGCGTTTTCTGACGTCACTGAACAAGGACAGTTGCAGCGACTACGCGGAACCTTTAATGCGAAACATTATTCCAACGGCCGACAAAAAATGTACGAACAAAGATGAATGCTCTCGCAACTATTTTATACTTATTTTTACATACTGCAAAACTACGACCCCTCTTTTTAACGCATATTCCTTCACGACCGTAAGCGCGCCCGCGCCGCGCGCGGTAATGATATAAAAATATAAACTTAATTCTAAGTACGCTTACATCTAGGATTTCTCATAGCGGCTCTACTATAGCTCGTTACTTTTTAGTGTATAAAACGCACCGATTGTTCTACGTTAAAAGGAAACATAATCATGTATTTAATTCATAAATTATGTAACGCATAGAGATTCTCTTTTTCGCTCGAAGACTCGAAGCTTGACGAACTCGCTCGGCTAATTAGTTTTCGCAGGTCGTTGGTAGATTAATGAACGTACAGATTTGCACTTTGTGGCACTCGAGGCCCGTCGATTCATGCTCTCCTTATTGAGATTCTTCGTTTTTCTCGCTTACATCATACGATACGCTACTCATCTCACATTAATTATCCGCTCTCCTTCCTTCCTCAATCTCTCCCTCCTGCCTCCTTTTTATTCCTTTTAATTTTAATCGAGAGATTTAAACCTCCCCACGGATACAAACCTGATTCTGCCACTGTGTCGAGTTCGCAAATTTCAAGCATCTCCCGATTGAGGCGATCTACGAGATCAAGTGTACACGAGGTATATTCTCTCTCTCTCTCTCTCCGGTGATTTAAATAATGAAACATCATGTTTTCCAATTAATTTGGAGACGAGTCTATTCAACATTTTGTTCTCTCTTTTTTTCGTATACCGCCTCAATCAACGGCGCAATTATGCGATAACCAGAATTCTAAAGTCTTATGCTTCCGTGTGAACGAAAGTAACCTAGGACTAGAGGTTTTGCAAAATAAGTACAACTAATACTAACGTAATCCTAAGAATAATAAGCGAAAACATGGCAAGATTCACATACGTGCCAATTNATATATATATATATATATATATAATTTATTTATTTATTTATTGTGCTGTTTCAGGGGTTCACTTTAACAATTTTACCCGATTATGATAATTCTACTAAGGGGTGCGTTCAAAAATCGTACTCGATGAATGGAGTAACGTTCATTAACAAATTACGATAAAGCAATCTTTGCTCTATCTTAATCGGTTAATTAAGTGCCACTACCCGTCGATTAAGATTTCTGAACGCACCTAAGGACAATCGCGCGGCTCTCTTGGCAAGCATCGAAATGCAGTTTCGCGAGGTTTCGCATCCAACGATTTCTTTTCTCTTGATCGTTGTTAACCACGTGGGCTTCTGTCACCCGACATAACACGAGTCGTCGCATGCTCGCTGCGACGGAATTGTACTACTTTATTATGTATATTAATTTACGAGGCGCATAAAATGTATAAAATACACTCGATGCGGAGGAATTTTTTCGTCGGGACCGTGCGCAACAGGTTACCGAAACCCGTTACTGCTCCCGATGATTTCACGGGGTGTGTGTGTGTGTGTGTGTGAGTGTATACGTGTACAGGCCGTGCGTCAGGTAAAAGCGTAAATCGGCAAGTTTTGTTCGGCGAGATCGACGCGGCGGAATTTCTCCGGGGAATATTATGTACAGCGGTTGTACGTACGCGGTTCCTACGGAACGCGCTGTAAAGGCGATCGGGGCGAAACCTGCTTGAGAAAATTGTAATTGGTAGCGATATGCAAAAGAATGTAGCTCGTCAAGGTCAACAGGAACTAACACTACCGGCAAGTCATTAAATCATGTTAGCTACAATACTAGCAGGATCAAGACACAGACTCCGACTATGCGAGAACNAGAAGACGACAAAAAAAAGGGGGGGGGGGGAGAAAGAAGAACATAAATCGGGTAATACTGGTTGGCGGATGACCCAAGTTTGTAAAGGCGGTCAGTGGCATAGAGCGTACAGCCTTCGTAACGCGAGGCTAGTCGTCGCTAATCGCCGGAATGTGCGCGATAAACGGACGCAGGGCTGACGAAATCTCGCTCGGTAAAGTCTAACGGCGATAGTCGACTTACAGATAACAGCGCCGATTGATAATTGTCACTCGTGACCACTGATGCAATAATGTTAATTATCAATACCAACTATCAGTACAAAATTAGGGGCGTGTACACGCAACGTTATGGTTCATAACACGCAGATTTAAGATTTAATTAATTAAGTTTAATATTTTTCATTCTCGGTATACTCATTCAGTGGGAATCTTGTTTTAACCTTTGAATTTTTTTTCTTTTGAACATTTCTAACTACTGTTAAGGTTTGGTATTTCGTAACATCAATTTTCTTTTTCTCAGAGGTTCTCCAAAGATTAAACAATCTTTTTTAACGGGACACGTTCATTCATTGGCTAAGTTTGTGTTGCACGCTTTCGTGCTGAGAGCATCGCTCTATCTTCCTCCAGCACGTAATGAGAAATAAAGACAGGCTTTCGCCACGAAGGCGTGCAAAACGAACTTGGTTCGCAACTCACTCAATTCCATCCAAGGAATTTAATGAGAAGATTCGAGATTTCAGCTGCATTTGTCTCATAATCTCCCGAGCGGACGTTAATTCACCGACCCGCTTGAAATGCGCCCAAGATGAATTCATCATTTCCATTAGATATTTCCATTCACGAGCGTGAAACGTTACGGGTCGCGATCAACAAAGTACACGCGAGAATTCGTCGGCCCGGCGTCTTCGCTCTCGGCGGTTCGTGTTGCGGGCGTTACAAAGGGCGCTTCCCTCTCGGGCCCTTAATCGCCGCGTTCACTCACACCACCGCGTACAAGCGCGCGGTTAAGCCCGGGACTAAGTCCGCGCGCGCGCACGAACCCCGAATAAATTGCCCGGCAACAGGTCGCTCCGATTTCTGGGCGGCGTTTTCCCGTAGATCGCATCGATCCTCGACACTTTGGTCCCTTTCTAATAAATCAACACCGGCTTCTCCGACCGGTGGTAGAGGGCTGGAGCGTTCGTCACGCGAATTCATGACTTAGATTATTTCCGTTGTTTACGTGTGTGTGTGTGTGTGTGTGTGTACGCTCAGTCGTCGTTGAAAACGCCAACACGCCCTCGTACAGAGATCCCGCGACTTTTTTGGATCTCCACGGAGAGAGCCCCCCCCCCCCACTTATTGACGGCGATCCTCATAGGCTATGCGGTATTCTTCGTGAACGTCTTCGTTTACAACGTCTCTGTCCAAACGTTTACAGCAGAAACGTGAACTCAGCTTAGGCTTACGCTATAACAGGCCTGTGATTTCTCGATAAAACCCGTTCACTCGCGACAACCCGTCTCTAGACGAGAGTGGACAATTCGTGGGGACTGTTGGTGGTAGCGGCGCTGCTCAGGTCGAGCGTGGCCGTCGGCAGGCCGGGACTGACGCTGCCGCTGGTCTCGCGCGGCAAGTGCTGCGACCTGTTGAGCTTGCCGTTGCCGCCGCCGCCGCCGCCAGGACTCGGCGGCGAGCGGTCGCCGGGCGTCGTCGGTGGTGTGGCGGTGGTGACGACGCCGCCGCGATGCGTCAAATGGTTGTGCTGGGACGAGGCCTGCGGCGACGACAGCAGCAACGGCGGCGACATGGACACGTGCCGCTGATGGTGATGATGCTGATGCAGGTGCTGATAATGGTGCAGGCCGCGAGCCGATTGGGCCAGACTGACGGTCGAGTGGGTGGTCGCCGGGCCGCCGATCTTCGCGCCTACGTGCAACGTCGACAGGGTCGACGGTCGCAGCTGCAGCTGCTGGTGATGGTGGTGGTGATGGTGCTGCTGCTGCTGTTGCTGCTGGTGATGCTGCTGCTGATGGTGTTGCTGCGAGTGCTGCGCCGGCTGATGCGACTGCTGGTGCTGCAACTGCTGACGCTGCAAGTGCGCCGCCGCTGCTTCGCACTGCTCGCGGGCCAGCGCCTTCACCGCGTTCGTCTTCTCCTGCGAATCACACGAAATGCGAGGTCATTCCCGGTGGTCTCCCTTCCTTCCTTCTCTCTCTCTCTCTCTCGTGTGGGGCTACCTGTTTTTTTCGACGGGTCGCGGGGGTTCTCTCTCAGGACGGAATCTGTCCGAGTCGCATGTATTTGAGGAATTCGCGTTAACAGGACCGGGCCGGTTCGTGCGCCTGTGAGTGCGTGACAGGAATTAGGAAGTCGGTGTCGTTGGAAGCGCGCGACTATCGGACGTGACGCGAGAGCGGGGACGTCGGAGCGATTCCTGACGCATTTTCGATTAACGGTATCGCTACATGAAGGTAATGCGTCTAATTCTAACGGAACATGTCGCGGACATGTTCTTTCGGAGGTGTGCGTTACGCGCGCACGATCATCCGAAGGAACTGATCGGAGCCCGCTGACTTTCGCTCCTCGTGCTAGCACGCGAACACCCGTGCCTCGTAGTTTGATACCCGCTCTCTCTCTCCTTTTTTATTCTTCAACTCGATCAGGATCAAAGATAAGCCCGTGTATCAAACACGGGTATGTACACAGAGAAGAAGATTTCTTTGGATTTGACAGGATCTCGTTTCACTGAGACCGAGGGACTGAGATATTTCATTTCTGGAGCAGAGCAAACAAGCGAATGTTTGATTCGACAAACGTTTGGTTTCTCAAACAAATATATTTTTTGTTAAATAACATTTCTTTTGTATTTTCAATCAACGATTGTCTCGTGCGATAAATTATTTGAAAGAGGTCACACTGCATTATAAAAATATTCTCCTTTTGTTTCGGTGGAACAATAGTATATAATAAAATCTAATTCTTCAATTCAAAATGCAAATATTATTTCCTCTAAATGATACTTTTTTTCCATCAAATAACTTGGTTTATTCTAGCGAAACAAGACACTTTCGTTCGAGCAAAATGATATTTGATATTAAATAATGTTGTTTATATTAAGCGAACCCAAGTTAAACGCGTATATTAAATTCGGGAAAACCTTTCCTCTCTGTGTGTGGAGAAAGATCCCCGTTGCGACATTAAACGAGCATTACGGCGAGAAGAGAGCAGCAATCTTTCTCTCCCCCGTCACGCAATTTATGTAACGGCGAAGTATCGGCGAAGTTTATCGTTCTATGGGTAAACGACGACGGCGAGGGGGAGGAAGAAGAGGAGGACGAGGAGGTGGCCGAGGGCTGAGTTACAGAAATCTTCCGCTTAATTATACGATTACGCAACGCGAGGCGAAGTATCGTCCCGGAATCACGCGAGCGTAAAGTTTATCTGCTATCGGTCCTTCTCCCCGTGTTGAAAACTTGCGGCGAACACGTCGGTTCACACCCACCGTCCACTTCGCGCACGCGTACCCACGCACGCACGCACTCACTCACACACAGATGCACGCTTGTAGTACGCCGCACGACATCCCGCGTACGGATCCAGTTTGGAATCGAATTACACGGTAGAATGATCACCGACGTAAATAATAGCGTGATAATGACATCGATCGTTGCGGGATATGCTAATAAGGTACTGCGGGGGGAGATTAAGAGCGGCAGGGGGGGGGGGACTTGTGTGCAGTCCGCTGCATCGCCGGCTCGTGAAATACGAGAAAATAAAGAGAGGCGGACTGCCTCTACGACGGTGAGATCCGTATATCGCGATGATCGAAAGAATTCGCACGCCGTTAGGCCGGCCGTGAGGGAGGGACACAGCGGAGCGGGAGGGAGGGCAGGAGCGGGCGGAGAGAGGGAGCGTAAAAAATGCATTTCCAGGCGGCGTACTCACTCTCTGCCACACGAAGACGTTGTGGACCATGGCGCACCCGCAGAACACGATGCCGAGGCCGATGAAGACCGACGTGACGATCGCCGGCGTCGAGTGGAACTGGATGAACGTGTACAGGATCATGCCTGCGGATCAAACGCGAACGGGATTAATATATCGCAGCGCGACGGCGGCGAGAGAGAGAGAGAGAGAGAGAGAGCGCGCGATTAGAGACGCGCGGAATCATTAGCTCGTTAGCGCGGGCCCATCGGGACTGACGTAAGGTATCAAGTCGGCGGCAGGTGCGCAACGAGAGCCGTGATATGAATTTATGTGTAATTTGCATGGATATTATAGACAAACATCTTCCTCCCGACCTACAAAGGGTACCGGACGTCGGAAATCTTCGCGATCATCATAACGGAGCTGATCGACGCTGATCTCGGCAATTCGATACTCGCTCATGCGTTGTATATATGTTAATAATGATAACGTATTTTACTTAGGGAGAATTTCAATGAAAATGAACTATCACACGTGCGTCGGCTCTTACTGGCCATTTCTCAGCATTTCTTCGGATCTATTTAGAGCCGTTTAATTGCTTGGTTCTTTTTCAAATAATATACAGGATGTCTGATAATTTTCTTGGAATCTGTGGTGGTACAAGTAAAACGGATTAAATTGGACAGGAAAATCATGCATCATTTTGCAAAATTCGTAATTTATAGCGAGAGGCGTGCTCCTTTTCATTAATATAAAATTTTCGTATATTATCATATTAATAATGATAATATAAAAAATATGAGACACACGCACGAAGGTATTAACCTTTCACAAAGTGAAGTTTCAGAAGCTTACGCTCTCCACTTGCACGGCCTTTCGCGGATAACAATCGCAATTACGTGGATCCTTCCGAACGCGGATCGAGAACAAGATTCGAGCGATACGATAAATGAAGAAAGGGGTTCGTTCTCACCAGTTAAGAAGACCGGAATGCTAATGAAGAAACCTCCGACCGCGCACACGCGGCTGATGGACGATTTTTGCAGGTACTTGTTACTCCTGAAACAGAGAAAAGTCACCAAGCGAAGGTGAGTTTCGCGTGTCCATGATAATTGGGCGAGTTATAAAGGATTCATGTTTCACCGTATCTTGCGAAGGGGGACGCGCACGAATTGCCCGGGCCTTGTAATTCCCGGCAATTATGATTCGCAAAAATGCCATAATGGTGCCTGCTCGTTCCTAGTCCGGACTTATTACTTGTTAAGCGACAATCGCCAACACTAATTGCGCGTTGTATTTGTATATAACTCAAACGTTCATATATAAAAAAAAATCACATATTTTAGAAATAAAAAAATTTGTTTAGATTTTCGCTTGAAGATCGCTTCAGACTTCAACCTCCAATCATTCGGAAATACTTATTCTCTTTCCGGATACAGAAACCTTGTTGACCAGTGTTATCAATCTTATATGTTTATAATATTTTGTAAATATTTGTGACAAAAGTTCTATAATATTTCTGCAAGTAGAACAGCGTGCCCCACATATCGGTCGATTGAAGCATCCCCATCGTTTCTGAAAAAAAGGGAGAGATTTTTCAGGGAAAATCGGATCCACTCCGAGTTCCACGACGCAACGAGAGTATCGTTGTGGTATTTCGCGCCAAGACCCGCGAGTCGCAGGAATATCTTACGTTCTTCGGGCGATATTGCATAATCGCGAAAGTGCAGCGCGATATGATCGGCACATAACGGTACATAATCTCCACAGATAAGCCGCATGAGTGCTTCTTTTTTCTCCTCTTTGTCTTCGTCCGGCATTTTATCGTGCTCGCGAGAAGGCAACGACGATCTCTCGTCCGTACGCCCCGTCGAAAAAGAGCCGGACCCGTCAAAACGAATTTATGGTCCCGACGGAAACACGGCTCACTAGGTGTTTTTGTGGCGCAACTAATCTCTCATACGTCGCGGTCGCACTATGGTTAAGGAGCGCCCTCCGTCGTAATCATCCTCACGGGTTCTCCATAAATAAAACGTCCGCTACAATGCTGCTAGGCGCGCGAGGCTGATAAAGACTATTACTTAAAGACCGCCTTTAACTCCTTCGGATTAGATCCACCAATTGATGGGCCCATCCGCGCTGTTTCCACGGGAGTACCGCGGTCGGACGAGATTTAAATGAATTATCCGACGGAGAAAGAAAGAGAAAGGGCCAGAGGCCCGGTGATTGAATATAATTGAAATTTACGACGACATCGGTAGGATTTGATTCGTGAGAGAATTCATAAATCGAGCCAACGTCGTCTTATTAACTTCCCGCGCATCTTTCACGCGCAAAGATACAGAGAGAATTTGGAGAACCTCGCTGAGGAGGAAGGATCGTCCCCGAAGCGGCGGTTTAAGATACATCCCCGTATGCCTACACGAAGCGTCTGTGCGAAGAGACGATTATCAAGTGATCCAAGCGCGATCTTCGGCGCTTCATAAATTAATTGCGGTTATGGTAATTCAATCGAACAATGCGGTAACTCTACACTCTCGGAAATAAGTTACCGGTGTAACCAGTCCACCGAACAATGGTACCTCTAATCGCTTCACATGACCCGCTCGTGCATCCAAAGCGATCGTTGACCTCGAAGGGCGGTAGCAACGGCTGCGTGGGAATTCCTCATTGCGTCTTATAGATGATGCTCATTTAAAAGCGGCACGTAGACGAGGAGGATTCGTGAGTTTTTGCGAAGGAACGAGGCTCCCGATATAGAGAGAAAGAGAAACCGAGGAAAGACGCGGCATGGCGATCGTGAGAGAAATTATAAGGAAACCGCGAGAGAAAGAGAGAAAGAGAGAGATTCGAGGGCGATCTGTAATTCGAGAAACGTAACTCTGGCCTCTTATGTGCGTCGTGTAACGGAGACGAATTTGAATATAAAACATTCGGATTCCTCGAGTATCGCTTCTTAGGGACTGAATCCTACCCCGAATTTCCTCCCCGACTGACTAATAGCTCCGTTCCCTTTTTCCCGTTTTCTCCGATTTGAAAATAGACCGAGAGAGATTCTCCGTCTTTACATGACACACATGATACACATTTGTCACGTGTGTCCCTCTCTCTTTCTTCCTCGCCTCGGCGGAGGGACCTATTTGACCCGGACAGCCGTGAATAGACGCGCTTTTGTCGCCGCCTCCTCCGTCATCTTTGTCATCGTTGCGTTTGTGCATCGGCTCTCCATGAATGAACATACCGAGAATCAAAGGCGGCGCGCGCGTCTTCCTGTTTAACGCGCGAGATCAACGGGGATCCGTTTGAATGCCGACGGAACGGCGCTCCGAGAGCGAGTCACTCTCCGGCGAGTGACAAATCACGCCGGCGACGAACTCTTACACCCGTTGTGGCGGTTCTCCCCTTCGCGAGAGGAAGAAAGAGAGCTCCGATTCTTTCGCGGGGAATCATACATATGCATCGTCGCGCGCGTGCTAACTGTTAATCGCCGTCGTCGATGCGAGCGAGCGCGATTGCGGATTCCTGCGGCGTGTGCTCCCGCACAGTGGGAATCGTCTCGTCCTTACACGCAACAAAGCTCTCTACCGTTTGCTCGTCCCGTTCGTCCTGTATTCCCCAAGCATTGCCGACCGCTAGCTTAATTAACCGAGATTTACGCTCTCAAGCGGTCGACCCGATTGGAAAATCCTACTCCCGGTGGATCGACCACCTCCACTGATTATCCCATCGTAACCCGTAATTAATTTATGGTGCTGGAAATTGCCTGCATTACTCGATATTATTCTCTCTCTCTCTCTCTCTCCATGTAGGATGCACTGCACACGCAGGGATTTCTTGAAGCCGGCCGGATATATCCCTTTAATCGTCGCTTCGGGAACGATCCTTCCCCGAGCGAGATCCTCGAAATTCTTCCCTTGTACTCGACGTACAATCCGTCCCGTATCTTTGTACGTGCGCCGATAAGTAAATACGACGACGTTGGCTCAATTGATGAATTCTCTCACGAGTCAAATCCTCTGCTCGTCGTAAATTTCAATTTTCGATATCTTCCACCCACGGCGATCAATGCCTTTCCTTTTAAGCGTTCATGCCGCTTTAACCCTAGATCACTGAACTATCGTACTAAATTACGCCTTATCAAACTCCTACCACACGAACAGTTTCTGCCCTGTGTCTGCCCGAATCCAGGGAGATGACAAACTAACTTTTGCATTAGCTGTAAAACAGCTATATTTCATGCCCACAATATCAACGCGTGTTCAGGGTTGCGTCGGGTAATTATTGTCTTAATTTCTCATTGTTTTTACGTCTAATTATCATAAATATGCTAATTCTCGGTAAAAATAATATTTTTTAAATATTACACGGTTCTCGCGATCGTATCATTTTTACGAACGATCAGTGATGACGTGAGTCACGGGACAGTTCAGTAATCTAGTGTGAAAGATAGACGGATGAGCAACCGGTGGATCGACCGTACGATGATTTAATCCGTTACGCACGAGCCATCGATTAACATCGCAGATAATAAGAGGAGCTTCCACGAAACTCTTAATGGAGCGCTCTCGGAAAGCATCGGCCGCGCGAATAACATCTCCATTTCACGGTGGATCGGCGAAACAATTATCGCTTCCTGGGCGCGATCGATCGCGCGGATCGCGTCCAGGAAATGGAAATGGCACACGCGTGAGCGAGTAAGTCGTCAGAAGCATTGACCCCGTGGCGCGCGCGCGCGCGCCACGCATCGGACCGAAATATCCGCGAAGCCGGTTGATATTTATAAGCCGTAAAGCTTATTAATTAGCTGCGGCCGGCCGGGAGAGTCAGCGACCGTTTTTAACGGCCGCGCGGAAAATCGCGTCCGCGTGCCCGCAGCTGCTGCCGCAGTGTTCACGGCCAGGGCCGAGAACAAGCTCGAGAATGCCGCTCTAGAGCGGGAATCTCGCTAGAGTGACATTCTTGAACGCGGGTCGAGTGTGATAAGCGATGACGCTCTATCTCGAAAGTCGAGCGCACGTGGAAAACCCGTCGATAATCCCCACCGGTCCGACCATCTTCCGACGATCTAAGATCTACAGCTAGATTATACAGGGTGTCCTAGATCAACACGGATAAAGCTCGCGAGGGCTTGGTTCAAGCCATTTATCCTTGTACCGGCCTACCGTTTCCCGTACGCCCATTAACTCGCGCAGATTAATTCATTCCCCATCAACTAACATCGCAAAACGGTGTGGAACGGTGTTTTTGCTCGCCCCAATCCGTTCCACGGCCTCACGAGCTTCGTCCATGCCGACTTCCTGCTCTAACTAGATCGAGACGCGAGAAGCTCGAGCGATGAAACAGGCGGGGAAGGTATGACAGGGAGGTACGACGAGGAATCTTTCGTCAAAGCACGCCCCTTCCCCGGCGATGCTCGTGAGGCCCCGAGGAGCAGATCCGCTGAACCTACGCGCGTCAGTCTAGTTTCTCGCGGAAGTGCCGGCGACGGCGAGCTCTTCGCTCCCCGTGGGACGATCATCTTCTTCCATCTTTCCCTCTCTCTTACTTTCTCTCCGTTTCTCTCGCGTTCTCCCTTCGAGAGCCACGCGAGCACCCGTATGCGCGCGCGCGAACGAACCTCGCCGTTACGGGAAGAGCCACACGAGCGTGTGTACTCTGTTGCGAAACGGTTACGGCGATCAGGAGAGCGAGCGTAGAGCACCTAATCGAGACCCTGTACACACGCACTTCGTTGTTATTCCACCGCGGTCCTTCCTCCTTGTCTTTATACGGTTCGCCGCGCGGACTGAGGCGACGACGAAGAGCGGAGCGCGAAGTCGCGGGCTGCTGCAGTCATTCTAGGCGCTTCCGGTGGAAGTCGAACGTTTGGAACTGCGCCGCTACTCCGATTTCCGCAAAGCAAGGTGGATGTGCGTGCGCGGCCAAAGTAGCCGTGACGGTTCCTCTCTCTCTCTAATCGGAACGAGGCGCAACGCTCCTTAAACGCCACTCACAGGGGAAGAGGTGACTATTCGGATCGCAATCGTCGTTATCGGACTTATTATTATTATGTAATCATT